ATTATGGTCAAATAAGCCTGATTTTAGTAAATGACATACTCTCCAAGGATATAAAAGACGGGTTGGAGGAGCAAACACTTGTCGAGATAAAACTGAGATTGCCAAATGGCATATCGTCGAAGAAAACAAAGGGCGGGTGGGCGGGGCTAGTACTGGCCAAGATAGAACTGATTTTGCCAAAGGACATACCCTCTAAGGCAAAGGGTGGGTGGGCGGGGCTAATATTTGCCCTTGATAAGACTGATTACGGCAAATGACCTATCTCTAAGAAAATGGGGCTATTGCTTGCTCATAAGACTCTTTGAAAAAAAGCTAAACCCAGCTCCGCTCACCTCTTTTCTGTATTTCACCGACTTATTTTGATAAATTGTAGAATCTAAGATTAACTCAAATTAAAAATTGGCCCCGCGCACCCACCCCTATTGCATTTTGATCATTCATTCTTATTGGGTCTGAAGAACAGAAGATGAATTTTATATTGATAAATAATAGAATCAAGGATTACATTTTTTAGGAGTAACAAAATTTCATTTTTACTGAATTTTCAATTTTTCAGTTCTTCCATTTTTCTAATTACAATTTTTCGTTTCGGTTTTTGTTTTATTTATTTTTTCAATTTTTCGCTTTTCACTGTTCGGATTCTATCATTTTTCTTTTTTTTTAATGTGAATTTTTTCAGTTTTTGGATTTTTCAAGCTTTCAGTCTTCAGTTTTTGAGTTTTTCAATTTTAAATTTTTTAGTTTTTCGTTTTTACTGTCCGAGCGTAAGCGAAGGAAATATTGTAACCGAGTCCATCGGACGAATGACCACTTTTATGTTTACTCGACGTTTCAAAATTGTACATAGTAAATGGGTTTTAAATTGTATAAAATAACATAGTCCTACACATGTAGTTTAGGAAGTCGTGTTGAGTTTTTACCCGAAACGTTCAGATTTTTGGAAAAAAAAATCAAAATTATAAAACATTTTGCAATTTAATTTTGAATCTGCAAAACTGAATACTTATGACGACATTCTAAAATTTTTTTCTTAATATATGAAGTCTTTTCACAACAAGGAACTTAAAACATCAAAATGGTAATTTTGGTATATCAATATGGAATTTGTAATTATGTCCATCCCTCGGTCTGACAACCAATGAAAAATTCATCACAATTGAGACAGGGTGGGTGGGCGGGTCTTATATTTTGCTTACATTCGGAAAGTATTGTAATCGACTCCGTCGGCTGAGTCTCTACTTTTACGTTTTCTCGACCTTTCAAAGTCTCCCATCCCGGATTTTTATTAGACCCATAATCTCCGAAAGTACTGGGCCGATTGTTGTCAAATTTTGTATTCATATTAGGAATATCATGTAGATGGTAAAACGCTAACCAAAATTTGTCTAATCATCCCCACCAATGTGATGACGTCACTTCAGAATTGTAAATTGTATAAAATAACATAGTTCTATATATACATAGTTTATGACTCCGTGTTGAGTTTTTACCCGAAACATCCAGTTTTTGAAAAAAATAAAAATTATAAAACAACATTTTGCAATTTAATTTTGAATCGCATGATAAATTTTTAATCAAAATATATTTACTTATCCCCTCCAAAAAATTGTTGACGTCAGTTTAAAATTTTAACGAATAAATCCTATCTAAAATGTACAAAATATGATGAGTATGTACCTGTGATTTATCATTCCGTTCATATTTTTTGGATTTGCATATACAGGGTGACTCAAAAAGAAATAATGAATGCGTGAATTTATTTTAATGATTTAATCAAAAACTAAATCTTAGAGATCTTTTAAAGTCATCAGAAGCATTGTAAATTTTTGATTAAAAGTTGCTGACGTCACCTCAAAATTTTGACGAATAAATCCAATCTTAAATGTGTAAAATATGATGAGTCTATACTTGTGATCCATCACTGTATTAATATTTTTTAGATTTGCTTACACAGGGTGTCTCACGAAAATTAATGCCTGAGTCAATTTATTTTATTGATTAAATCAAGAATTGGATAAACTGAATACTTTGAAATCTTGAGGGTGTTTTGAAATTTTACTACTTTCGACCAACAAGAAACTTATTTAAAATTGTAAAGTTTTTAAGGAAATATGGATTTTGCAATTACGCTCCGCCCCTCGGTCTAACAACGAATGAAAAATTCATCACAATTGCGATGGGGTGGGTGGGCGGGGCTTATATATTTTGCCTTATTTTCTTAATATACGTAGCCTTCTTTTCACAACAAGAAATTTAAAACACACGTTCATTACGTTCAAAATCGTCACCACCTTTTTCATAATGAGAAAAAAAACTTGAAAAGACCTAGTACTTTCCAAGATAAGACTGATTTTGCCAATTGATATACCCTCTAAGAAAATAAAGGGCGGGTGGGTGGGGCTAGTACTTGCTAAGATAAGACTGAACAATATTAAGAGTAGTCATTGAAATGAAGAAGGGGTAGATGGGCGGGGCTACTACTTGCTTATCACTCTTTGGAAAAAAGTTAAACTCAGCCCCGCCCAGCTCTTTTCTCTATTCCACCTACTTATTTTGACAAATTGTAGAATCCAAGATTAAATCAAACTAAAAAGTGGCCCCACCCACCCACCCTTATTGCAATTTGATGATTCATTCTTATTAGGCCTGAAGAACAGAAGATGAATTTTTATTTATAAATAATACGAATCTAATTTTAACTGAATTTTCAATTTTTAGATTTTGCAATTCTTCAATTAGCAATTTCATGAGTTTTCAGTTTTTCTAATTACAATTTTCGTTTCGGTTTTTGTTTTATTTATTTTTTCAACTTTTCGCTTTTCACTGTTCGGATTCTATCATTTTTCTTTTTTTTATGTGAAATTTTTCAGTTTTTGGATTTTTCAAGTTTTCAGTTTTTCGATTTTTCAATTTTAAATTTTTTAGTTTTTCGTTTTTACTTCCCGAGCGTAACCGAAGGAAATATTGTAACCGAGTCCATCGGACGAATGACCACTTTTATGTTTTCTCAACGTTTCAAAATTGTACATAGTAAATGGGTTTTAAATTGTATAAAATAACATAGTCCTACACATATAGTTTATGAAATCGTGTTGAGTTTTTACCCGAAACGTTTAGATTTTTGAAAAAAAAAAAAATCAAAATTATAAAAATTTTGCAATTTAATTTTGAATCTGCAAAACTGAATACTCTGAAGTCTTGCAGACGTTTTATAGTTATTGCAAGCACGGTAAATTGTTAATCAAAATATATGTTTATTCATCCCAAAAAATTGATGACATCCTATTTTTTTTTTTTTTTTTCTTAATATACGAAGTCTTCTTTTCACAACAAGAAAAAAAAAATCATCATAATGGAGACAGGGTGGGTGGGCGGGCCTTATATTTTGCTTACACTCGGGAAGTATTGTAATCGAGTCCGTCAGCTGACTCTACTTTTATGTTTTCTAGACCTTTCAAAGTCTCCCATCCCGGATTTTTATTAGACCCATAATCTCCGAAAGTACTGGGCCGATTGTTGTCAAATTTTGTATATATATTAGGAATATCATGTAGATGGTAAAACGCTAACCAAAATTTGTCTAATCATCCCCACCAATGTGATGATGTCACTTAAGTATTGTAAATTGTATAAAATAACATAGTTCTATATATACATAGTTTATGACTCCGTGTTGAGTTTTTACCCGAAACATCCAGTTTTTGAAAAAAATAAAAATTATAAAACAACATTTTTCAATTTAATTTTGAATCGCATGATAAATTTTTAATCAAAATATATTTAGTTCTCCCCTCCAAAAAATTGTCGACGTCAGCTCAAAATTTTGCCGAATAAATCCCATCTAAAATGTACAAAATATGATGAGTCCGTACTTGTGATTTATCATTCCATTCATATTTTTTGGATTTGCATATACAGGGTGACTCAAAAAAATTAATGAATGCGTAAATTTATTTTATTGATTTAAAATTGATGACGTCACCTCAAAATTTTGACGAATAAATCCAACCTTAAATGTGTGAAATATGATATATCTGTACTTGTGATTTGTCACTGTATTAATATTTTTTAGATTTGTTTATACAGGGTGTCTCACGAAAATTAATGCCTGAGTCAATTTATTTTATTGATTAAATCAAGAATTGGAAAACTGAATACTTTGAAACCTTGAGGGTGTTTTGAAATTTTACAACTTTCGTCCAACAAAAAACTTATTTAAAATGGTAAATTTTTTAAGGAAATATGGATTTTGCAATTACGCTCCGCCCCTCGGTCTAACAACGAATGAAAAATTCGTCACAATTGCGATAGGGTGGGTGGGTGGGGCTTATATTTTGTTGTCTGTCGAAAACACCCCACAATATCAAATGGACTCATATTACAGTGTTTTTACAACGATTTTATTTGGTATATCGTTTATTCAAATCGGTCAGAAAATAAGAAAATTGAACAGTTGCCTTTGAAATGTCAGTTTTGTGAACAAATAAATGACAAACCAAATCAATTTAAATTGCCAAAAAAATTAATTCCCATTTTTACTGAACACAACCGTACTTCTAGTTTCGCATATGTATTTTTTTAATTATTACGACCCTTCTAAATTTAGCCAAAACAGCAGACAATATTGCCACTATATCATACTATGTCAGCATTACGTGCATTGTCGTTAAACGTATTGAAAGGATATTGTTTGAAAGTTTATGATCCTTGAAATTTAAATACCATTGTCTTCTTAATTACACAATTATTAAACTTTGGAACTGTTACAGCGAAATGGACTTGTTAATAATAGATTTCTGACTTCCAAGACGTCAAACAAATTTTTTACTTTTAAACAGCGCGATCTCAAGATTCTGTTCAACTAAATTAATTTAAAATGTGATGTCATTTTCTCACGTCATAAACGTCAATTTGACAATCAGGAACGCCATCATAAAATTTTAAATGTTGCCAATATGACAAAAAAACACTTTTTTTGTCACCGTTGCTACGACCCTCAATCAACAAAACCCCATCCACCTACGTGTCAATTTCGACCCAACCATGTCTATACAAGGAGAAGACGCCGAAATCCAACCCAGTGAAAGCAAAGAATCCCAAAATGCCCAGATTTACGTAGAATGCGACCGCAAATGTCTACACCACGGCGACCGCATTTGCTTTAACGATGAACTCGAAAAGCAAACCGTCAAGAAAATCCCCGCCGAACCCACGAGCACGGAAACCTTGGACTCGGAAGCCAGCATCCACTCAGGAGAGTCCCAGTTCAAAGTAAAATCACCGACTGGCTAAACCGTCCTTCACTCTCTCTTTCAGACATTCGCTTTCGACGCCGAGGAGCAAGACCCCGACATGCAGAAGTGCATGGCGTTTTGGACGGGCATTCTGGGGAAAAACGTAAAACCGATCAAGTGTACCGCCTTCCAACATAAGAAACCTAAACCGAAACGAAGCGAAAAAGAACCGCAGAAGTCAAAGCCCGATTTTTGTGATGACGAAAACACGACGAAATTGTGGCAGGACATCTACAAAGATCTACAACGACGAAATCTGGACAAATACAAGGTAAAAACGGGTTGTGAAAATTGTAAGGTGTGTTTAGTTGGTTCGCAGCACGAAATGCGACCCGTGTGAGTACATTGATGAAGAAGCGGAGAAGAAACAGGACGTGAAAGATATCAAAAATTTGAATCATTGGAAAACGCACAGTCGACGTAAGTTCAGTGTTGTTTTATTAGTTAGTTTGTTCAACTTATTGATTTTTTTAGCTTCGAAAATCGATGTCCAAGCTCAAGTACAGCGCACGCTAGACACCCTCAAAAAACGAACGACTCAAGCCGGTCCAAAAAAAGTCTCGTCTGTTACGACGGAAGAAAAAAAGGGTGCGGCGAAAGTGGTCAGTGATAAACCCGCCAAAGTCCCGTTTTCGCCACCACCCCCCACCCGCCAAAATTCCTCGGAAAGTTGTTCCATATGCGGCTACGCCGCATCCGAATGCATTTGTGACCAAATTGCAGAAATCGAGATTCACGATTCAAAAATTTTAGACAGTCAACACGATTTAAACGAATCTGAGACTTGTTATCCCTGTGAGTGCTCGACTGAATGTGTGTGTGAGCCCCCACTGGAAGACAAAGCAAAAATATGTACCTGTGGGTGCACTATAGATAAGTGCATTTGTGACGTGCTCAAGGTCAACGAGTGTCCTTGTGACTGCGGCGTCAAGGACTGCTTATGCCAGGAGTTGTTCACGCGGTCGTGTCAATGCGGTCACGTCAATTGTGACTGCGACATGATCGAGATCTTGAACACCTATCTGGAAACTTTGAACACCCCAACCACCGTTAGTGTCACAATGGAAAACGACGATCTGCTCATGGTTTCTCGGCAGTCTCAAACCGACGCTGAGATGAAGTGGGTGCTCGAGACGACTCAGAAGCCAGGGAGTTACTGCGTCATTTGTGGTCATTATAATTGTTACTGTAAACCTGAAAGTCAACCAAAATAGAATAATCGTGTTTGTGATTTGATGCTTTCGGGAATCCATTTCGTAGGTAACTACTGGCTGTGATATATTAATAAATTACATATCACACCAGAAGTTCCTTCAAGCCAGATTCCCCGCACGTCTTTTACCCTCTTCTCCGTCCCTCGTGGTACAGTCGAATGCAATCTGCTTTGCTGAACCAGCTTTATGACATATAAAACACTCATACAACTAGATCACCAAAGAAGAATAAATCCGACTATATTCTTGCAACCTGTTGCACGGGCCCCCGAAAGCGAAGCCCCGGACGTCGACCAAACCCCAGTTGCAAGCGAGTGTTCGATCTAGTCACAACCCAAAAGCATGTGAAACGATAGACGGAACACTGGCTTACACCGAGAGTTTTGCTGAAAGCGAGGTTATGTGCGTGTTGGTGGAAAAAATGGGCTCCTAGACAACGGATGTACACATTAGCGTTATCACGACGGTTTGTTAGTATTTCGGCGAGATAAGGAGCGAGATTAGCAACTTTTTACAAAAAAAAACGTAAACTTACCACGTGCTAGGGTCAATGGAATTCACGAACCAAATGGAAATCGGAGAAAGAATGAGACAACAATGGCGGGAAGATGGCGGGAAGCGGCCCTGACAGGGGGCTGCGTCTGCGCAGAGGGGCGTTGGCGCGAAATTACGCTTACCTACTTGGGGTAGGTCTTTTTTGTCGGGCACAGGTATGCGGGATAATCAATTCGAGGCAGGGCCGGAGCGGCCCCAAAAACCGGACTCTTACAGGAACACCAACACTAAAAATCTAAATATTGCATAGTAAGCAGTTTTTAAATGGAATCTTTATGGGCGACATTTGCATATCTTGGAGCAATTTAAATTTCAAAATTTCGTTTAAATTACATTTCGTGCATTTCAAACGGTAACATTTGTTTAAAGAAATAAAAGCTAATGTTGTGTAAAAAAAATCCACAACAATTGAATGTCGGTATATTGTAAAAGTCAAATTTAAACACAATTGAGTGTTATACAAAAATAGATTAAAAGCATTGTAATGGTTATCCTATACAATTTTTCTTTCTTTTTTTTTTAGTTAGTGGTGATAAAGTTAGTACTTATATCTGTTATAACACAATTGAATTTTGTAACTATATGTACTCTTGAACACAGTATATTGTACTATTTGTACCTACTTAACATTTTTTTAACCACACCTGACTTTTAGAAATCAAAAAATTATGTAAAATTGTATTTATAAAAAAGTATAAAATATGTCATTTAGCCACCACTTTTCTTATGAACACCTATTGCTTAGTATTAAAAAAATTAGGCGTTCATAAAGAAAAAAGTCAATAGAAATCTGATGACTGGCATGAAATATTGTTAAAAAAGTCACTTGAAAGGCGGATGTATGACATGTTTCTTTACTTACAGTTCAATAATCTACTTTTTTTATCGCTACATATTTTTTGTGACCTTGAAACAATAAATTTTGAAGTTTTACAGTTTATCTCAGAGATTACAAAGCTTTTATCAAAAAAATTAAAAAAATATGAATTCGTGTTTAAAATAGCTCTCAACAATTGACTAAATTCATATCCATCGCAATAAGTTATATTTTAAAATTTGCATTACTTTCAGGACATGGTAGCAAAAAAATAATGAATGAAGTAATTTATTACTATTGGGACTTCTAGTATTTTGTTTTTGAAACAATTGGAAAAATCTCAGGAACCTTTGATGTTCTATTTTTGAAAAATTTGAAAAAATCCAGGGAGCCCAAGTGTTTTATTTTAAAAAGAGTTTGAAAGAAGCTTATAATTCCCTTGTGTCTTTTTTTGGATGTAAAAGATTGAGTCTCGGACTTCCCCCTGATGTTTTTTTTAAGATTTTGAAAGAATCTTAGGACTTCCTTGTGGCTTTTTTGCAGCGTAAACAAATCTTTAAAGGCCTTTGTATATTTTTTTTTGAAATAATTTGAATAAATTTTGGAAATCCCGGGTGTTTTTTTCTTTTAAAGAGTTTGAAAGAATCCCTTGTGCGTTTTTTTTTTTTTTTTGGAACGTAGAAAGATCTTTGGAGTCTTTTGTATTTTGTTTTTGAAATAATCTGAAAAAATTTTGGGGACTTCTGGCGTTTTGTTTTTGAAAGAGTTTGAAAGAATCTTAGGACCCCCTTGCACTTTTTTGTGGAATGTAAAAAGATCGTTGGAATATTTTGTGTTTTATTTTTCAAATGATTTTCAAAACTGTTAGGCACCCCTGTTGTTTTATTTTTTAAGGAGTTTGAAAGACTCTAGCGTTTTTTTTTAAGACAATGAAAGAATCTGAGGGTTTCTTTGGTATTTTATTTTAAATCCGAGTCTCCACTCTGGTATTTTATTATTAAAAAAGTTTGAAACAATCTTAGGACTCTCTTGTGTCTTTTTTTGCAACGTAAAAAGATCTTTAAAGCTCTTTTTATGTCTTGTTTTTGAAAGAATTTAAATAAATTTTGGAGATCCCTGGTGTCTTTTTTTTTTAAAGAGTTTACAGGACTCTTTAAAGATCCTAGTGTTTTTTGTTTTAAGAAAGGGAAAAATCTTGAGGTCCCCCTGGTAGTTTATTTAAAAGAGTTTGAAAAAAAAATTTAGAGTCTTCTTGTGTCTTTTTTTGAAAATGTAAAAGATCTTTATAGCTTTTTTTGTTTTGTATTTGAAATAATTTGAAAACAAATTGGATTTTGGAGACCCCTGGTTTTTTGTTTTGAAATAATTTGAATAAATTTTGGAGATCCCCGGTGTTTTTTCTTTTAAAGAGTTTGAAAGATTCTTTAAAGACCCTAGTGTTTGTTAAAGAATGGAAAAAAATCTCAGGGTCCCTCTGATGGTTTATTTTTAAAAGAGTTTGAAAGAATCCCTTGTGCGGTTTTTTTTTTTTTTTTTGGAACGTAGAAAGATCTTTGGAGTCTTTCCTATTTTGTTTTTGAAATAATCTGAAAAAATTTTAGGGACTTCTGGCGTTTTGCTTTTGAAAGAGTTTGAAAGAATCTTAGGACCCCCTTGTACTTTTTTTTGGAATGTAAAACGATCTTTGGAATATTTTGTGTTTGATTTTTGAAATGATTTTCAAAAATCTTAGGCATCCCTGTTGTTTTATTTTTTAAGGAGTTTGAAAGACTCTGCGGGTTTCTTTGGTATTTTATTTTGAATCCGAGTCTCCACTCTGGCATTTTATTATTAAAAAAGTTTGAAAGAATCTTAGGACTCCCTTGTGTCTTTTTTTGCAACGTAAAAAGATCTTTAAAGCTCTTTTTATGTCTTGTTTTTGAAAGAATTTAAATAAATTTTGGAGATCCCTGGTGTCTTTTTCATTTAAAGAGTTTACAAGATTCTTTAAAGACCCTAGTGTTTTTTTCTAAAGAAAGGGAAAAGTCTTGGAGCCCCCCGGTAGTTTATTTAAAAGATTTTGAAAAATTCTTATAATTCCCTTGTGTCCTTTTTTTTACCACAGAAAGATCTTTGGGGTCCTTCGTATTTTGGTTTTGAAATAATTTAAAAAAAATTGGGGACTCCTGATGTTTTATTTTTTTAAAAGTTTGGACAAATTTTAGAATCTTCTTGTGTCTGTTTTTTGCAATGTAAAAGATCTTTAGAGCTTTTTGTGTTTTGTATTTGAAATAATTTGAATAAATTTTGGAAATCCCCGGTGTTTTTTTCTTTTAAAGAGTTTGAAGGACTCTAAAGACCCTAGTGCTTTTTAAAGAATGGAAAAAATCTCAGGGTCCCTCTGATGGTTTATAAATAAATAAATAAATAAATAAATTTTATTGACTAACAGAACAAAGTTCCAAAATAGACAATAGTTTAAAAAAAAAAACAAAATATGAAATAAGATGTCCTTATAACTACAAACGTCTTAAATAATTGTTAAACATATGTTGCGAGCAACTGAAGATGTCTATATCTACTAAGTTATTAACCGCCAATCCTATTCTATTTACTACAGAAGTGTTGTAACCGAGATTTGTTCTTTTAAACGAACATAAGATTGTGTCCTGGTTCCTAGTATGTACCAAAGGTACTCTAAAATTAAATAAGGATAAGAATTCGGCACTATCAATTTGATTATTGAACAGTTTATATGCAAACTTAAGCTCAAATTTTAACTTACGCTGTGTAAGAGTCTCTAGTTCTGTTATAGCAAGTCTTTGATTATAATTGTAATTTGATTTATTGAGACCCATTTTAAACATTAAATAATTACAGAACTTTCTTTGTACCCTTTCGAGGCGAGTTTCGTGAATTGCATATGAAGGAAACCATATAAGAATGCCATATTCTAAAATTGGTCTAACCATGGTAATAAAGAGCTTACGAATTGCTATGATGCTATGGAAATCTGCAGTCATTCTTCTTATGAAACCACTAACTCGAAAAGCCTTATCGATTACAAAATCTATATGCTTAACAAAACTTAAAGTCGAATTAAAAATGATCCCCAAGTCCCTAATTTCGCTAACAGCCTCCAGGATTTGGTTGTCAATGCTATATGAAAATTTTATAGTGGATTTTTTCCTGGAGAATGTTATTTGTTTACACTTTTTGTTATTTAATTGCATGCTATTTTCACTACACTTTATTTTTAAAAGAGTTTGAAAGAATCCCTTGAGCGCTTTTTTTTTGGAACGTAGAAAGATCTTTGGAGTCTTTTGTATTTTGTTTTTGAAATAATCTGAAAAAATTTTGGGGACTTCTGGCGTTTTGTTTTTGAAAGAGTTTGAAAGAATCTTAGGACCCCCTTGTACTTTTTTGTGCAATGTAAAAAGATCTTTGGAATATTTTGTGTTTTATTTTTCAAATGATTTTCAAAAATCTTAGGCACCCCTGTTGTTTTATTTTTAAGGAGTTTGAAAGACTCTAGCGTTTTCTTTTTTTTTTAAGAAAGTGAAAGAATCTGCGGGTTTCTTTGGTATTTTATTTTGAATCGGAGTCTCCACTCTGGCATTTTATTATTAAAAAAGTTTGAAAGACTCTTAGGACCCCCCTTGTCCCTTTTTTGGGAATGTAAAAAGATCTTTGGAGTATTTTGTGTTCTATTTTTGAAATGATTTTTTCAAAAATCTTAGGGATCTCCGTTGTTTTACTTTTTAAGGATTTTGACAGACTCTACCGTTTTTTTTTTAAGAAAGTGAAAAAATCTTCGGATTCCTTTGGTGTTTTATTTTTAATCGGAGCCCCATTCTAGCGTTTTAAATGAAAAAAAGTTTGAAAAAAGCTAACAATTCCCTTGGGTCTTTTTTGGTTTTGAAATTATTTGAAAACATGTTGAGGACCTCTGGTGTTTTTTTAAGAGTTTGCAAGTCTTAGGGGCTCTTAGTATTTTTTTTTTTTTTTTAAGAAAAGTGAAAAATCTCGGACGTCCCTCCCATGTTTTATTTTTAAAAGATTTGAAGAATCTTAGGACTTTCTTGTGTCTTTTTTTGCAATGTAAAAAGATCTTTAAAGCTCTTTGTGTTTTGTTTTTGAAATAATTTGAATAAAGTTTGGAGATTCCTGGTGTTTTTTTTCTTTTAAAAGGTTTGAAAGAATGTAATGTCTTTTTTTTAAAGAATGGCAAAAATTCTTGAGGTCCCCCTGAAGTTTATTTTTAAAAGATTCTCTTGTGTCATTTTTTGGTACGTAGGAAGATCTTTGGAGTCCTTGGCATTTTGGCTTTGAAATAATTTTAGAAAAATTTGGGGACTCCTGGTGTTTTATTTTTGGAAGACTGAAAGAATCTCAGGACCGTCTTTTTTTTTTGAAATGTAAAAAGAACTTTGGAGTTTTTCGTGTTTTATTTTTGAAATAATTTTCAAAAATCTTAGGCACCCTTGTTGTTTTATTTTTAAAAGAGTTTGAAAGAATTTTTGGATTCCCTTGTATCATTTTTTTATTGAAATGTAAAAAGATCTTTAGAGCTTTCTGTGTTTTGTTTTTGAAATAATTTGAAAAAATTTTAGAGACTCGTGGTTTCTTGTTTTGTAAAGAGTCTGAAAAAATCTTAGAAATCCTTGTGCCTTTTTTATAGAAAGTAAAAAGATATTTCTGTTTTGTTTTTGAAAGAGTTTAAATTAGTCTAAGGAACTCCTTGTGTCTTTTTTAAAAGAATATAAAAATATCTCGGATTCCCCATGGTGTTTTATTTTCAAAAAGTTTGAAAGAGTTTTAGGTCTTTTTTTTAAAGTAAAAAGATCTTTGAAGTCCTTTGTTTTAGTTTTTAAAAAAGTCTGAAAGAATCTTATAATCCCTAAAAGGAGCTTTGGAGAATTTCGCCCCTGCTGTTTTATTTTTAAAGAGTTTGAAAGACTGTTAACACCCCCTTATGTTTTTTTAAGAATGTGAACGAGTCTCGAGGGTTTCTGTTGTTTTATTTTTGAAAGAGTTTGGAAGAATTTTAGGATTCCCTTGTGTCTTTTTTTTTCGGAATTTGAAAGATCTTTGGAGCTTTTTGTGCTTTGTATTTGAAAAAAACAAAAATAATTCAATTGGTATTTTGTTTCTGGAAAAGTTTGAAAAAATTTTGGGGACCCCTAGTCTTTTGTTTTTATAATTTATCTAAGAAACTGAACTTATTTTATTGCCTGTAGTTCTGTCTAAATAAATAAATAAAAATAATAACTTCAGACCATTTTTTTGTATTTAACATAAAAGTGCTGAAAAATGGACTATTATAAACGTATCCACTTGCACAATTAATCACTCGGCTAAACGCCTCGCGAATCATCAAATCGACCTTTATTCACCTCTATCTTAAGTAACTATTTCCGCTTTGTTTACGGAGCATCTTGGAATTACACAAATAATGTATAAATTAAGTTTAAACAAAACGGTCTAGCGTATCAGAAAATTGGAAATACGGCTCTGCACCACATTCCACAAGAAATTCCAGTCAATTATCATAACCTCATTACCAGTTTTTTCACATATAAAAATAAACTTTTATTTGGAGTGGCAATGCGAGCTATAATTATTATGTTTATAGCTACGTACAAAATCCAAGAAAATCAAAATCGAGAGATATTTTATACGCAGACATTAGGAACATTTTTTTGGAGGAACTGTACGTTCCAAATTATTTTTACCTGCTCGGCTAACTCTCGGTCTCTACCCTCCCGAAGGGTGAAAGCACATACGTTATACTTGATTATCTTGAAGAGGGTTGATGGGAAAGTGGGAATCTTTTAAGATAAAAAATGTGGGAACATATAACAGTCTTATTTAACGTTCATTACTCTAACTTGATTTTTATCAAAAATATGAATACAAAATAGTTTGATGTCAATGCACGTTGACTAAGTATAACATGTGATTAATGTATGTCAGACGTGATTAAGCGTTTAAAAATTTGTCATTAGTTTTTTATCAGTTTATTTAAGTATGTTAAGTGTCGGCTACCACTTTGTGTTTTATGTACTTGGTCTATATATAACTATTTTCTTAAATTAGTGAAGAAGTGGGAGGCGGTACGAATTACAAGCAATGCAATTTGATTTAATAACAATTTTAAAAGTAGCTTTGCTATTAGAAACTTAAACAACATTTAAAAAAATGAGTTGCCAATTTTCTAAATTCTTTTCAAAATTTCAGGTTAGAATTTGACAACAAGCTTTAAGTCCATGCCGAAAAAGAGTTGTTTGCACTTTATTTTTCGTTTCAAGAACTGATTAATACCTAAGATAATTTAAAATAGATCTAACCAGTACCAGCTGGTTATATGTACTTTTATTTTTGTAAAATTCCAAGTAGTTATCGGGTACAACAATATAAGGTGATTTCTATTTGAGATAATGCACAATGGACTTAAGAATTCTTTGTCAAGTGTGATCGACGAGTAAAAGTGATTACTGTACCATTATTATCATTTATTGTTTTTTCATGTTATTGTAACAAAATCAGATAAATAAATAATTCAAACCTATTTTTACACAGCACTTAACTCTAGTCACTAAAAATAACTTATTTTTGTTTTAAAATATCTTGTATATCTTGAAAGCTCTTTCCTTTGGTTTCTGGAACGTAAAACAATGTAAAAATCCATCCGGCAAAGCAGAAACCACTAAACAACCAAAACGTTTCCCCTTCACCCACGCTTTCGTTGAGATTGTTGAAGAATTTCGTGACAAGGAACGACGTCGTCCAACAAGCCCATGCCACCAGAGCAGCAGCATACGGTTTCACGCTGGTTGGAAATAACTCAGAGGAAACGGTCCATGGTATTGGTCCCAGCCCGATGTTGTACATTATAATAAAAGTAATTAAACTCACAATAGGTAGAAACGATATTGGAGTAGCGTCATAATTTGGAGACGCTTTAAAGTAAAAATAAACCCCGAAAGTAACATGTGCCAAAGACACCCCCAGCAACGACACTAAAAGCAAAAGTTTTCGCCCAAGCCGGTCCACCAAAAACGGTGTACCAAAACTTGACAAAAACACAACTAAACCTATGATAATCGAAGACACTTCGGGCGATAGCCCATTGGCTCCGGCATCTTGGAAGATTTCTTCAGTGTAGAACAAAATGGCGTTGATCCCGCTGAGTTGTTGGGTTAGTATTAAAACGAACGAAATGACTAAACCCTTCATGTAGATTCTGGATTTGAAAAAGTCGATGATGCTGGTGTTGTCTTTGTTCTCTTGGAGTTCGGACTTGATGTAGCTCATTTCGTTTTCAACCGCCTTTTTGTTGTTGGATCTTAGTTTCATGAGAGATTCTTGAGCTTGCTCCATTTTGTTAACACTAATTAAGTAGTAGGGAGATTCGGGACCCATTAAGAGAAACAGTACGAAAAACGCTGCAGGTATAGCGGCTAGGACGATATTGAAGGCCAGAATGGGTGTGTAGGGGCCAATCACGTACGGAATTAAGTTTCCAAAAGTCCAAAAAATGTTGAGGGTTACTGACAAAGTACCGCGATTGGAGTCTTCAGCCACTTCCGCTACATACATAGGTAGTAGCGTGTAGCCACCACCAATCGCGATTCCAGCAAGAAGTCGTGCAAAGTAGTACAAGTAGATCGAATTAGCGAAAGCCAGAGTCACAAACGATATAATAAAAGGGATAGCGGTACTCAGTAGACCGAATTTTCGTCCATACTTCTCCGCTATGAAGCCGTAAGGGAACGGCCCCAACATAGCCCCTATGTTGATTAAGGAGCCAATCCATGATTCCTCGTCTTCCGTGATGGACCGACCGAACGGGTTTTCGTCAGAGTCGTTCGAATACAATTTAGGTATAATCGGAGAAGTCCATGTTATAGTAATGTCGCCAGAAGTTGCCAAAAGGTCGACTGCAGAATACCAAGTATTAGCCAGAGTTAGAAGAAAGATTAAGAGTTCTTACCAGTTAAAACTGTCAGAAGTGTGTAGCTGAATAACTGGAACATTCTATGTTGTGTCGGTTTACCAGTTGCATCGGTACTGGAGGAACTTCGGTCCGTTCGGTCTAATTTATCTTGGTGCCGCTTAGCGATCATGAGTGGCTCAGGAATTGTTTAGTTTTTCGTTGGGTAGATTAGCAGTAGACGTGATTGTGCAGTATTAAAAGTATCTGTTCTAATTTGGGTTGGTTCACAATCGAGCTTAAAGTATAAATATAACCAATCAAATCTTCATCATTGGGGGACTCTATTTCGTGAGGGTACCTACAACGATCAACAATTATTTTTTACAAACGCGACAACAAGAACCGGTTTATTTTTTACACTTAGATGATGACCGGTTTCACTTTGTTCATGAGCATCTTCTAAAAGAAAAAGGAAGTGAAGTGTCCAAATTTCGATCTACAAGCTCGAGTCAAACTACTGCAAAAACCCAATTTAGTTTTTACTGCTTCTATTTTATTTTCAATCTTGATTTTATAGTAAAAGGTGGAATCAAAAGTACTATAATCTTAATAAAAATATTTTAATGATCTTCTACTTATAAATGTTTGAATGACGTAATTGTGTTCGCTTGAGCAACTTTGTGCAATATTATTATTTTATTTATCTCGTACTTTTAAATTACCGAATTTATTACTCTTGCTACTTTCTCGAAATAAAATATCGGAAATTGCCAAAATGATTGCAATCAAAAAAATATATTAAAGATATCTTAAACATCCGATTAATAAATATGTGTAGCTAGTTTACGGCCCCCGTTTCTCTAGGCAACCCACAATACACCAGTTATTGCATTTATTGGCAACTGGGGTAATAATTATTCCCTTCTCTAATATTTTTGAGCACCTTCAACCAGTGGCGTAAATAGCACCCCCGCAGACCCCGCAATGCGGGGGGGCGCAGAGTCAAAAGGGGCGCAGAACGTAACGTAACCGATAAATTTTTTATTAAAATGTGCAATTTTTAAAGAAGAGGTTTTCATTGGAATTGAAAATGAGATCAGGTAAATTAATAGCTATTTAACGAACAAGTTGTTAATAAAGGTGATTAATAATCGAGATATTTTAACGCGCGAGGAACGAGTTTTTATATTTTTTCTTTTTCTCAATTTGAAATTTTTCAGTTTTTGGATTTTTCAATTTTTTTTGTTTTCATTTTAGATATGTAATAATAATTATAATTTTTATTAGAGTTGTTCACTTTTTCAATTTTTCGTTTTTGGAATTTTTTAATTTTTCGATCTTTGAACATTTTTCGATTTAATTTGTTCTTTGATTCATTAATTTTTTCCCGATTTCTAGTTTTTCAATGTTTATATTTTTCGTTTCTTCAGTTCTACAATTTTGTCAAATAAATGTTATATAAAATAAAAAAAAAGTAAGTGTACCTATGATTTATGAATCCGTGTTGAATTTTTATCTTCGACATCGAAATTTTTGTGGAAAAATAAAACAAAATTGAATTACAATTTTTCGATTTCTTGATTTCTCGATTTTTAGTTTACTTAATTTTTAGATATTTCAGTTTTACAATTTTTGCAATTTAAAAAAAATATATTTTTACATTTCTCAATTTCTCTATTAATCAGTTCTTTGATTTTTCGATTTTTCCTCTTTCCAATTTATCGATTTTTCAGTTTTTCGATTTCTCAAGTTTTCATTGTTCCAATTTTGGGATTTTTCAATATCTCCAATTTTTTAATTTAAAATTTTTCACTTTTTTGGTATTTCGGTTTCTCGATGTTTCGATTTTTAAAATTTCTGATTTTTCGAATTTTGAATATTTTGATTTATCGTTTTTTTTTAAGTTTAAATATGTATTTCAGTTTTAAATTTTCCGGTTTTTCGATTTCTCCATTTCTCGGATCTTTTGATGTCTCAATTTTTTAATTTCGATTTCTTGGCTTTTCCATTTTTCAATTTTTTATTTCTTCAAGATTTTAGATTTTTTAAATTCTCCATTTTTCAATTTTATGTTTTGTTATGCTCCGATCTCCCGATTTTAACCTTTTTAACGTGTATTCCAATTTTTGGATTTTGGAATTTTCGATTTCTCACATCTCGATTTTTCGTTTTTTCGATTTTAAAATGCTTTTGCTTTTCGTTCTTTTTTCGATTTCTGGATTTTTCAAGTTTTCGATTTCTCAATTTTTCAACATTTCAATTTTGAGAATGTCTATATTTTTCAGTTTGTTGATATTTTCATTTTTCAACTTTTTAAATTTTGATTTTTCGACTTACCGGAAATCGATTTTTGGGCTTTTCAATTTTTCGACTTTTCAGTTTTGAGATTTTTCAATTTGTCGATTTTTTAGTTTTTCATTTCTTCAGTCTTTCGGTTTTTCAAGTTTTCGAATTTTTAAATTTAAAATTTTTCAATTTTTCGATTTTATTTTTTTTACGTTTTGATTTCCCGATTTAAATTTTTTTTATGCTTTTCAATCTTTGGTTTTTCTAAATTTTCATTTTTCCATTTCTCAATTTCTCGATTTTTCGATTTTTTAATTTTGTGTTTTTTTTAATGTTAAATTTTTCGTTATTGTAATTTTTCTATTTTTTAAATTTTAGATATTTAGATTTTTCGACATCTTGAATTCTCGATCTTTTTTCAGTTTGAATTCCTCCGTTTTTCGATTTTCCAAAATTCCGATTTCTCAATCTTTCGACTTTTCAGTTTTGAAAATCTTCGATTTCTCGATTTTTCAGTTTTTGATTTTCCAACTTTTAGATGTTTCAAATTTTAGAGTTTGCAAATTTCACGAGTTTTCAGTTTTTAATTTCGTCAATTTTTCGATTTGCAATTTTTCGTGTGGGTTTTTAATTTTCTTTATTTTTTCAATTTTCGGCTTTCAATTTTCCGTTTTTTTAATTTTTCATTTGCAGTTCTAGTTTTCATTTTAATTATGTAACACTCCTAATAATTATAATTTTTAAAGTTGTTCACTTTTTCAGATTTTCGTTTTTGGATTTTCCAATTTTTCAATTCGAATGGTTTTTCTTCTTTCCCATTCTTCGATTCATTTTTTTTTTATTTTTAAGTTTCTCGGTTTTTAGTTTTTCATTGTTTCAATTTTTCATTTTTTCGTGTTTTTAACTTTTCGTATAAACAAAATAGAAAAATTGTAAAACTGAAAAAGTACAAAATGAAAGCTTCGAAAAATAAAAAAATTGGAAATCAAGAACTTAAAAAATTAAAAATTGAAAATGTAAAAAATTGAATAAACAAAAAATTATTAAATCCAAAGAAACGCTGAAAAAATAAAGGTAATGGAAAAATGAAAAATTGTGATATAAAATCAAGAAAATGAAAATTACAAAATCAGGAAAATGAAAATATCGAAAATCTGAACAATATAGAAATTTCCAAAATTGCGATGTTTAAAATTGAGATAGCGAAAACATAAAAATCAAGAAATCGAAAAATTTTTAAAATTGGAAAATTGAGATATGAGAAATCTAAAATTCCAAAAATGGAAAAATGGAAAATTTAAAATATATACTAGAAAAATCGAAAATTTTGAAAATCGAAAAACTAAGAAATTGAAATCGAAAACTTGAGACTTCAAAAGATCGAGAAATCGAAATAGGCCGAAAACGGAAAATTCAAAATTGAAATATTTACTTAAAAAAAAGATAAACGGAAAAATCGAAAAACTCAAAAAAATCGATAAACCTAGATATGAGAAACAGAAAATTCCAAAAATCGAAAAATTGAAATACAGATTAAAAAATTTAAAAAATCGAAGTTAAAAAATCGTAATAACAAATTCCATTCGATTTTCCGTTTTATCGATTTTGCAATTTTTTGTTTTTTCAATTTTTTCCAATTTTTTAATTTTCCGATTTTTCAATTTTTCGAATTTTCTACTTTCCGAATAAACAAAATGGAAAAGTTATAAAATAAAAAAATTGTAAAATTGAAAAACGCAAAAGTATAAAATGAAAGCTTCGAGAAATCTAAAAACTTGAGAAATTGAAGAAACGGAAAATTCAAAAATCGAAAGATTAAAAGTTGAGAAACTTAAAGATCGAAAAATTGCGGTCGAAAACACGAAAATTATTGTAAAATCTAAATATTGAAAATTAGAAAATGGAGGAATTGACAATGTGAAAAATTGAATAAATGAAAAATTGTGATATAAAATCCAGAAAATGAAAATTAAAAAATCGTGAAAATGGTATAAAAAAAAAATGAAGAACTTGAAACAACATCATTACGCCGAATATGTTCACCGCTACACATAACCTCAATTTAGTCCTTAATGATTCTGTTAAGAATGTACCAAGAATTTCCGTATTTTATGATTTAATAAATGCTATATACGTCTATTTCAGTGAGAGTTTACCAAGATGGCAACAACTTAACATTGAGATGAAAGAAAATGATAAATGTGTTATAAAAAAAAAAAGATCTTTTTCTAAATTAAAATTAATTAAATCATATTTGGGAAGCACGATAAGTCAAACACGATTAACCAACTTAGCATTGAGTGTGATCGATCCCAAAAATTAGATCTCGACAGTGTCATACGCGAATTTATGAACTCTTGACAACGTCGAATGAAGCCAGTATAATCAATTAACAATTTTTAAAAATTATTATGTGTATAAATTATTATCATTTGTAAATCTGTGTTATTCGGTGCCACTACTGGTAAACCAGTAATTTCATATTAATTTTATATTACTTTTTAAATCTGGTGTATGGGGGCGCTTACAATAAACTGCGGGGGGGCGCAGTGGAAGTTAGCTACGCCACTGCCTTCAACAGTACAAAAAGCGGATTTCTAACCGAATATCCGTTAAAGTTTCATTGACAAATACTCTGATGGTGCTTTCAAACAAAGCGAAACCGGTCATTATCAAAATTATAGTGATTAAAAGTACATTCCGGTTAAAAAATGTCATTACATTCACACCCATTACAAAAAATGTTTATGGTTTTTAAATAATCGAAAATTTCACGCTCTTCCTACGGTTTCGAACGAAAGTATCGGAAATTACCAAAATGATTACAAATCAGCAAAAAAGTAAAAGTAATTTGGTAAACATTCGATTACCAAATTAATACAAATGAATGAAGTTATGGTTGTTAGGCAACCCACAATATACAAAATCCAGTTATTCCATTTCTGGCAATTTTTATCCCCTTTTACAAGTATTTAAGCACCTGCAACAATATAAAAAGCGAATTTATTAAAGTACTTACGTGTACACACTTTCTTGACGTACTATAAGTAAATAAGTAAAATAAGTGGAAACAAAAATTCAAACAGTGTTTTTGCAGTTCTACTCTTTACCTATATACACTGCTGTAGTTTTACAAAAATGACAAGCACCCATACAGTCACATTTAGACCATTGTTTTCAGTTTGGGTAATCACTGCCACCTCCACATTCAATAACTACCATTTCTCATACTTTTATCGGTGCAATAAAACTTGGTGATTTATAAGGTACTAAAATTTAAGTAAGTGGTGTAAAACTGCATCAGTTTGGTAGAAGTGGTAATAATTATTATTAAGGTGTTTAGGTAAGCTACATTTCAACTTGGAAAATGTCTTGAATCAAGGTTTTTTTTTTGTAAAGCTCAGTTGTCTAAATTTTGACAAGGCCAATATTAAAACATGGTAATAAACCCAAATTGTCTTTTTATGAAATCTAAATAAATCATTCAAAATAACAATGAATCAATATTTTTGATAATAATGCATATCCCGGATGATAATAAAATTTAGTTGGGCAATTGTGGTATCTATCTGTCAAAGCATGCAAAATTATAGTTACATGATAATATTTAATACATTTTTGTATGTTCATGCAATAGTTACTTCAATGATAATACGATTCAATTTATATATAATAGAACGTAATTAGAACACATTAACATCATTGTTAATTTTTTTATCTTGAAATACCTGACAGATAACATTTTAAAGCAAAGTTCGCGCATCAGTGACTTAAAACGTGATGTGATTTATAAAATGCAACTACTTAACCTCGACACAAAACAACACATTTTTATAGAACGTTTATTCGCAACAAATACATGATTTTAAAACCGCCTCCGTTCCAAAATCTCCTGAATTTCTTGAAAACTCTTTCCCTTCGTTTCTGGGACAAAAATAAAAGTGAATAACCAACCAGCAAAACAGCAGCCACTAAACAACCAGAACGTTTCTCCACTCCCTAGACCAACCTGCAGATCGTTGAAGAATTTCGTGACAAAAAAGGACGTGGTCCAACACGAAAACGAAACTATGGCAGCTGAATACGACTTGACGTTAGTGGGAAAGAGTTCTGACGAGATTGTCCACGGTAGAGCTCCCAGTCCAACATTAAACGTAACAATATAAGCCAGGAAACTTAATAGTGGCAACCAAGAGATAGAACTGACGTCCTCGCTGGTCCTGTCTTTGAGATAAAAATAAACGCCGAAAGCTAAATGGGAAATGGTCACTCCCATTAGCGATATTAGCATGAGTATGCGTCTGCCTGCCCTGTCGGCCACAAAGGGTGTTCCAAAGCTTGAGAAGAAAATAACCAGACCGACGATGATGGAAGATATTTCTGGAGCTATGTCGCTGGCACCAGCTGCAATGAAGATCTCCTGAGTGTAGAATAACACAGCGTTGATACCAGAAAGTTGTTGAATTACGAGTAGGAGTACCGAAATGAATAACCCCTTCATGTAGATCCTATTCTTGAAGAACTTCAAAATGGAAACTGCGTCAGTGTTTTCTGCAAGCTCTGCTTGTATTTGTTTCATTTCCGTCTCCACTCCTTTTTGATCCTGCGATCTTAACTTCATCAGAGATTGTTCAGCAAGGTCCATTTTATTTTTTGCGATCAGATAGTAGGGGGATTCGGGTCCGATGAAGAAAAACAGTATGAAGAAACTTGTGGGTACGCAGGCTAAGATGACGTTCAACCACAACGCTGAAGTGTATGGTCCGATGACGTACGGCAACAAGGTACCAAAAGTCCAGAAACAATTCAGGGTGGCGGACATCATCCCTCGATGTTTGTCTTCAGAAACCTCAGCAACGTAAGTCGGGAGGAGGGTGTAACCCCCACCCACGGCAAGCCCACCCAGAAGTCTTGCAAAGTAGTACAAGCCCACGGTTCTGGAGAAAGCAAGAGTTAAATAGGAGATGATGTGCGGAATTGCGATGCAAAGAAGTCCAATTTTGCGGCCGAACTTTTCGGAGATGAATCCGTAAGGAAGAGGTCCTATCATAGCACCGATGTTTATTAAAGATCCGATCCATGAATCTTCGTCTGCTGTGATGGGTTGGTCGAAGGGGTTTTCGTCTGAATCGTTGGAGTAGAGTTTGGGGAGCATGGGAGAAGTCCAAGTCATTGTTATGTCGCCCGAGGTCGCCAACAGGTCGACTATAAATCGGTTATTTTGTTAAGAAAACAACAAAATTGGAGAAGTTGGAACCTACCTGTTAGAACGGTTAGAACCGTGTAGCTTAAAATTTTCAACATTTTCTCTCTTTTCGGGTGAACACATACAAAACTACTGAAAATTGCTGAATGCGTTCAACCACTTTATCGGTTCATCTAGCTGATACTTGAATAGTTTTTATCTATCTTGATTTTTGTTAACTTTCAGGCCTAAATTGCACCGTCACAATCGAAGGTATTTCATTGTTTTTCGCTAATGTTAACATTATTCACTTGTGATAAGTTTAGTGTTCGCAATGTATATATTTTCATAGATTGTGGTTGTCCCCGAGAGGCCACCTGGCCTTCATATATTTGCCTGTCATAGCTACTGTACAGTGTGTGATTGTTGTGGGATCACTGATATATCACATAATTGATTTGATTTGTGTTGTCTCCAGGGAAACCGTGAAACAACAGCTCATTGTATGTTTTATTTACTTATCTCATTGATCAAAAAATGAAATCAATTTATAGTCACTCAAGTGTTTGTTTATACATACATGTAAATCGTATGCGGAAAATTAAGTAAGTAAAATTTTGCAACCCAAAGTCAAAGAATCTAGACATCGACTTTGTGGTCTACTCAGAGTGTCTCATCAGATTCCAAAAAGTAGACGAATTGAGTCAATTCTAGTTGTAAAGGTTGCAACAAGTGACGTAAGATTATTATCAAACACAAAACAATAAACAATCCATATCTACACTAATTTTATTAAAATCAGTCCTACACAATATGTATATACAAAATTAAAAAAATACAATCACTTCGGTTATTAAAAACATAAATCACCTACTCAATATTTGCTGAATTTCTTGTAAACTCTTGCCCTTGGTTTCAAAAATGAAGAAAAACACAAACAAATCGAACAAAACGCAAAACCCAGAGAACAACCAGAAAGATCCAGCACCGCCCACGGCTTCCATCAACTCCGCGAAATACTGCGTCAAAATCCACCCTACGAACCAGTAAATACAAGTCACAATCAACGAAGCTTTAGAAATGACGTTCGATGGTAAAATTTCAGGCATGATAGCCCAAGGGAGAGATCCCATTCCAAAATTGTAAAACATCATGAACACTACCAAAGAAACCACCGGCAGCCAACCAATTCCTGACACGTCGTCGTCATTATCTTGCAAATAAAAATACACACCTAAGACGACTTCACAAATCGTGGCTCCTGTAATACTCACGAGAAGCAAAGTTCTTCTGCCGGCTTTATCACTGAGTAGTGGAGACATGAATGACGAAACCAACTGAACTGAGGCGACAATAATTGAACAGATTTCGGGGGCGATGTCACTCCCTGTCAAATCGAAAATGTTTTGCATGTAAGAGAAGATAACGTTGATGCCTGAAAATTGCTGAAATGTGGTTAAAGCGACGCTGTAAATGAACGCTTTAATACTGGCTTTGGTTTGAAAGATACCCAAGAAAGTACCTTCGGTCATTGAAGCTAGATATTTCTTAATTTGGGTTAGTTCTTCTTCCAGATCTGCGAGTGGTCGGCGACGGAGATATCGAAGCGATTTTAGTGCTTTCTGGTCTTGGTTTTCTCTAACCAGATAGTAGGGAGTTTCGGGCGAGAAGAACCAAAACGCTGGAATATAAACAAGGACGACGCCTGTGAGAATCAAGTTGAATGCCATTATAGAAACGAAAGGGCCTATACTATATGAGAAAAGCATCCCTGCTACTAGAAAACACCCTGTAGAGGCAGCTAATAACCCTCGGTTTACATCTTCGGCTACTTCCACCACGTAGATAGGCAAAACGCAAAACATACCCCCAATTCCTATTCCCATCAGGACTCGACCAAAATAGTAGAGCTCTATGGTTTCGGCAAATGCCGAGGTTAAGTATGCCACAAGAAACGGTATGACTACGACTATTCCAGAAATCTTTCTGCCTACTTTTTGTACCAGATAAGCCCAAATCAACGGACTGACAATTCCACCCATCGATAAAAGTGACCCAATCCACGATGCTTCATCCTGACTGATTTGTCTTCCTAGAGGGTTATCAGAAAGTGCTTGGAGTTTTGGGATGACGGGTGATGACCAGGCCGAAGCAGTACCGACAATGAACGACAAAAGGTCGGCTAAAACGATAAAAATAAAAGTTTGAAATACATTTTTTATATCTACCTGCTGCCACTGCAATGTAGGAATATTTTCCTCCTTCGAAAAATTTCATCCTGAATGTATGGGATTTTGGTACATGGTGATGTGATAGATGCAACAAGAAATTCGTTGTTTGACGATCTTAATCTCTGCAATTTCATCTCGGGTTGTGTTTCTGGTGATAAGATATCGACAATCTTATCATCATTTTAAATTTATTCACGTGATTAAGTTAAACCAACTTGCCTTGGTTCTGTTTTGGACAGATGTAAATAAAAACTAATCAGGCGTCTGTGGTGTTGGACGTTGTACTGGATTAGTTATAGCATGTGTGTGTTTTTAAGTTGTAGGTTTGGATTTGATAATAGATAACAGTGATTTATATGTACTTAAGGATGTTTTATGGGTAAACTGTTCCAAATTTATTTGAAACTGACGTTTGTACATTTGAAATTTATAACACCAAACTGTTGTATATTCATAAGAAATAATACGTAACTGCACATTTGAATTTGAAATGCTTTAGACTTCACTTAATGAAAACAAACAAAGTGTTAAAATTGGTTATTTAGAATGGCTTGTATTTCAGTCAAACTCTTCGCTTTCGTCTGAAACAAAACGCAAAACCCTGCGAACAACCCGAAGGACCTTGCCATACCAGTCTCATCCAACAAGCCCCCAAAATACGTCTAAAGTATCTGAAATTATCGAAATGATTACAAAACAAAGAAGCAACTTTGTAAATCAGCCCCGTAGCTACGGGGGGTCAAGAGGGGGCTGAGCCCCCCCTAGCAGTTGTGGTTGCCCCCCCTGGAAGACTTATACATTATAAATTTCAAATTAAGGTAGTAATAAAATTTCAATATAATGCCGATTGCCGAAGCATATTAACTGGCCCCACCCGCCCCAACTTTATTTTCTTACAGGGTATATTATTTGGCAATATCACCCTATAAAAAAATGAACATGTCACATTTTATTCCATAGCCTACTATGTACTTGAGAAAAGTCAAAAATATTATATGGATTTTCTAAAAATTGAGCTTTTATTGAAATGGACAAAAAATCGACAAAAAATTCTGAGATGTAGATCTCGATGAGCTTAATCAAAAAACATAAGGTCTTGATGGTCCCAGACCAAGATTTTTCAAAAATTCGGTTCCAAAGTCGACATTTCAAAATTTCTCAAAAATTACATTTCTTTTGGCGGCTCTGGAAAAATTGTACGAATTTTCGAAAAAATAAAACCAAAAAAAAAAACATTTGGAGATCGAAATCAATAAAAAGATCCCTTCTGCTAGTTTTCGAAAATGCGTGGGAAAAGTCAAATTTTTTTTATAGATTTTCAAAAATTGAGCTTTTGTTGAAATTGGCTAAAACTCTACAAAAAATTCTGAGATGTAGATCTCGACGAGTTTAGTCAAAAAACATAAGGTCTTGCTGCTATTCGGTTTCCAAGTCGACTTTTTAAAATTTCTCAAAAATTATACTCCTATTTCTTTTGACGATTCTAGAAAAATTTTACAAATTTTCGATCAAATAAAACCAAAAACAACATCTGAAGATTGAAATAAATAAAAGAATGACTTTTGGTAATTTTTGGAAATGCTTAAGAAAAGTCAAAATTTATTTAGTTTTCAAAAATTGAGCTTTTGTTAGAGTTGACAAAAAATTCTGAAATATAGATCTCGATGAGCTTAATCGAAAAACATGTTCATGCTCCCGGAGCAAAATTTACGAAATATTGGGTTTCTACCTAAAATTTCTAAAAAATCTCAAAAGTGACTTAAAAAAAAGTTATTTCTTTATGCGATTGTGGAAAAATTCGACGAAATATCAAAAAAATAAAACCAAAAATAACATCTGTAGATCGAAATCAATAAAGAGATCCCTTTTGCTAATTTTCGAAGATGCTTGGGAAAAGTCAAAAAATGTATATGGATTTTCAAAAATTGAGCTTTTGTTGAAATTAACAAAAAATCAACAAAAAATTCCGAGATGTAGATCTCGATGAGCTTAATCCAAAAACATAAGGTCTTGATGGTCCCAGACCAAGATTTTCGAAAAATTCGGTTTCAAAGTCGACATTTCAAAATTTCTCAAAAATTACATTTCTTTTGGCGGCTTTGGAAAAATTGTACAAATTTTCGAGAAAATAAAACCAAAAACAACATTTGGAGATCGAAATCGATAAAGAGATCCCTTTTGCTAATTTTCGAAAACGGTTGGGAAAAGTCAAAAACATTTTATGGATTTTCAAAAATTTAGCTTTTGTTGAAGTTGACTAAAAATCCACAAAAAAATCTGAAATGTTTATCTCGACGAGCTCAATCAAAAAACACAAGGTCTAGATGGTCCCAGATCAAGATTTTCGAAACATTCGGTTTCAAAGTTCAAAAATTACATTTCATTTGGCGATTGCTGAAAAATTTTACGACTTTTCAACCAAATAAAACCAAAAACAACATCTGGAGATCGAAATCGATAAAGGAATCCCTTTCGGTAATTTTTGAAAATGCCTGGGAAAAGTCAAAAATTTTATATGGGTTTTCAAAAATTGAACTTTCGTAAAGTTGACAAAAATTCTGAAATACAGATTTGGACGAGCTTAAAAAAACATGACAGGTTCATGGTTCCGGATCAAAATTTTCGAAATACTCGGTTTCGACCTCGAATTTTCAAAATTTCTCAAAAATTACCATATTTCTTTTGGCGATTGTGGAAAAATTGTACGCATTTTCGAAAAAACAACCAAAAACAACATCTGGAAATCGAAATCAATAAAGGAATCCCTTTTGGTAATCTCGAACGTGCTTGAAAAAAAGTCAAAAATTTGACACAAGTTCTCAAAAATTGCCATATTTCTCCCGTCGATTCTGGAAAAATTGTAAGAATTTTCAAAAAAATTGAATCCAAAACGATTTTCGGAAATCGAGATGAACAAAGGAGTCTCTTTTGATAATTTTTGAAAATGCTTGGGAAAAGTCAAAAATTTTATATGGGTTTTCAAAAATTGAACTTTCGTTAAAGGTGACAAAAAATTCTGAAATATAGATTTGGACGAGCTTAAAAAAACATGACAGGTTCATGGTTCCGGATCAAAATTTTCGAAATACTCGGTTTCGACCTCGAATTTTCAAAATTTCTCAAAAATTACCATATTTCTTTTGGCGATTGTGGAAAAATTGTACGCATTTTCGAAAAAACAACCAAAAACAACATCTGGAAATCGAAATCAATAAAGGAATCCCTTTTGGTAATCTCGAACGTGCCTGAAAAAAAGTCAAAAATTTGACACAAGTTCTCAAAAATTGCCATATTTCTCCCGTCGATTCTGGAAAAATTGTAAGAATTTTCAAAAAAATTGAATCCAAAACGATTTTCGGAAATCGAGATGAACAAAGGAGTCTCTTTTGATAATTTTTGAAAATGCTTGGGAAAAGTCAAAAATTTTATATGGGTTTTCAAAAATTGAACTTTCGTAAAAGTTGACAAAAAATTCTGAAATATAGATTTGGACGAGCTTAAAAAAACATGACAGGTTCATGGTTCCGGATCAAAATTTTCGAAATACTCGGTTTCGAGCTCGAATTTTCAAAATTTCTCAAAAATTACCATATTTCTTTTGGCGATTGTGGAAAAATTGTACGCATTTTCGAAAAAACAACCAAAAACGACATCTGGAAATCGAAATCAATAAAGGAATCCCTTTTGGTAATCTCGAACGTGCTTGAAAAAAAGTCAAAAATTTGACACAAGTTCTCAAAAATTGCCATATTTCTCCCGTCGATTCTGGAAAAAATGTAAGAATTTTCAAAAAAATTGAATCCAAAACGATTTCTGGAAATCGACATGAACAAAGGAATCTCTTTTGGTAATTTTCGAAAATGCTTGGAAAAAGCCAAAAATTTTATATGGGTTTTCAAAAATTGAACTTTCGTAAAAGTTGACAAAAAATTCTGAAATACAGATTTGGACGAGCTTAAAAAAACATGACAGGTTCATGGTTCCGGATCAAAATTTTCGAAATACTCGGTTTCGACCTCGAATTTTCAAAATTTCTCAAAAATTACCATATTTCTTTTGGCGATTATGGAAAAATTGTACGAATTTTCGAAAAAACAACCAAAAACAACATCTGGAGATCGAAATCAATAAAGGAATCCCTTTTGGTAATTTCGAACGTGCTTGAAAAAAGTCAAAAATTTGATACAGGTTCTCAAAAATTGCTATATTTCTTCCGTCGATTATGCAAAAAATGTAAGAATTTTCAAAAAAATTGAATCCAAAACGATTTCTGGAAATCGACATGAACAAAGGAATCTCTTTTGGTAATTTTCGAAAATGCTTGGGAAAAGTCAAAAATTTTATATGGGTTTCCAAAAATTGAGCTTTTGTTAAAGTTGACAAAAAATTCTGAAATACACATCTCGACGAGTTTAAAAAAAAATGACGAGTTCATGGTTCCGTAACAAAAGTTTCGAAATATTTGGTTTCGAAGTCGGATTTTTAAATATGTACTAAACATGCAAAAAAATAAACTCAAACAAATTGGATGTTACCTATATGGCCACTACACAAATTTTTGGATGCAGTACAGCTGTTTGTGAATCTACATTCTTTGTTTTAACCAGCATTTTAACCAAGTACCGTACTAATTTTTTGGACTTCGACAGGTTTTTACGAAAATTTTGCGTAATCGACGTTTCCGATTATTTTAATGTTCTTTCAAATATAAAAACTCAGAAAAAATAAAGTAGTTATTTGAGTGTATTATTAAATATTTACATGAAGCCCCCTCTGTCGACAAACTTGCCCCCCCCCCCCCCAATAAGTTTTCTAGCTACGGGGCTGTTGTAAATATTCGATTAATAGATTAATACAAATGCACCAAGTTTATTCTTGTTAGGCAATCCACAATACGCCAAATCCTGTTCCATTTGAGGTAATTTTTAACTTGTTTTCTACAGTCAAAATATTTCAGCACCTTCAGCAGTATAAAAAGCGGATTAGTTAATGTACCCATGTGTACCCATTTCCTTGAAAGCATCCATATTCCATACATTTTATGGATGTAATAATACTTAACGATTTATATGGCACTTTAAATTTTAAGTAAGCGTTGTAAAACTGCATCTATTTGGTAGAGTTGTTAACATCTAAGTGAGTCCGATAAAGTAATCAGAATCCGCTTTTGTAAAGCCCAATTTTTTGACAAGGGCAATGATTTCTGTCGCAAATTCTAATCTTAGCAGTAAGTTCAAAAACGTGTCAAAAAAGCTTCAACCATTAAAATATAGAAGAAAACCCAAACTATATGTTCATTGAGTTCTAGGTGTCCAAAAGAACCAAAATAAATTCTAATACATTTTTGAACATATACCTTTAAGTTTTTCGTACGCAAGTTACTCCGTTGTCATGCTAATTGCTTGCACATTTAAAATTACAAATTCAAAATTACTTTTATGTTAAGAAGTATATGCGGACTAGTCATAACCACAGTTGACTACACTAATTGTGCCATAATCGTATATATTGATGAAACGATTCAATTTATATTTAATCGACCGTAATTAAAACACATTAACATCATTGTTAAATTTTATCTTGAAATATTTGACAGATAACACTTTAAGTGATCCATAATCAAAATTCGGCGCATCAGTGGCTTAAAACGTGATGTGATTTACAAAATGCAACCACTTAATCTCGACACAAAAACAACACATTTTTATAGAACGTTTATTCGCAACAAATACATGATTTTAAAACCGCCTCCGTTCCAAGATGTCTTGAATTTCTTGAAAACTCTTTCCCTTCGTTTCTGGTACAAAAACAAAAGTAAACAACCAACCAGCAAAACAGCAGCCACTAAACAACCAGAACGTTTCTCCACTTCCTAGACCAGTCTGCAGATCGTTGAAGAATTTCGTGACGAAAAAAGACGTGGTCCAACACGAACACGAAACTATGGATGCTGAATACGATTTGACGTTAGTGGGAAATAGTTCGGACGAGATTGTCCATGGTAGAGGTCCCAGACCGGTATTAAACGTCACAATATAAGCTAGGAAACTTAATAGTGGTAACCAGGAAATAGAACTGACGTCCACACTAGTCCTGTCTTGGAGATAGAAATAAATGCCGAAACCCAAATGGGCAATGGTCACTCCCATTAGCGATATCAGCATGAGTATGCGTCGCCCCGCTCTGTCGGCCACAAATGGTGTTCCAAAGCTTGACAAGAAGATAACTAGACCGACGATGATGGAAGATATTTCTGGAGCAATGTCACTGGCACCAGCTGCATCGAAGATCTCCTGAGTGTAAAATAACACTGCGTTGATTCCAGAAAGTTGTTGAACCACTAGTAGCACTACCGAAATGTATAAACCCTTCATGTACACCTTAGACTTAAAGAACTCTAAGAAGGAAACTGCGTCTTCGTTTTCTGCAAGCTCTGCTTGTATTTGTTTTATTTCCACCTCCACTCCTTTTTTATCCTTCGATCTTAACTTCATCAGAGATTGTTCAGCACGGTCCATTTTATTTTTCGCTATCAAATAATAGGGAGATTCTGGTGCTATTAGGAAAAACGATATGAAGAAACTTGTCGGTACGCAGGCTAAAATGACGTTCATCCACAACGCTGAAGTGTAGGGACCGACGACGTACGGCAGGAAGTTTCCAAAAGTCCAGAAACAATTTAGGGTTGCAGACAACATCCCTCGATTGTTATCTTCAGAAACTTCAGCAACGTAAGTCGGGAGGAGGGTGTAACCCCCACCCACGGCAAGCCCACCCAGAAGTCTTGCAAAGTAGTACAAGTACACGGTTCTGGAGAAAGCAAGAGTTAAATAGGAGATGATGTGGGGAATCGCGATGCAAAGAAGTGCAATTCTTCGGCCGAACTTTTCAGAGATGAATCCGTAGGGAAAGGGTCCTATCATAGCACCGATGTTTATTAATGATCCGATCCATGAATCTTCGTCTGCTGTGATGGGTTGGTCGAAGGGGTTTTCGTCTGAATCGTTGGAGTAGAGTTTGGGGAGCATGGGAGAAGTCCAAGTCATTGTTATGTCACCCGAAGTCGCTAACAAGTCCACTATACATGGGTTAGTTAAGAAAACACCAAAATTGGAAAAGTTGGGACTTACCTGTTAACACTGTTAGCACAGTGTAGCTTAAAATTTTCAACATTTTGTCTCTTTTCCGGTGAACACTTGCAAAAGTACTGAAAGTTTCTGGATGCGTTAAACAATATTATCGAATCATCTAGCTGATATGAGAATAGTTTTATCTATCTTGATTCTTGTTAACATTTAGGCCCAAATTGCGGCGTTACAATCGTAGGTATTTCATTGTTTTTCACTAATGTTAATATTATTCACTTGTGATAAGTTTCATGTTCGCAATGTATGTGATAGTGGATGTCCATGCAAGGCCATCTGGCCTTCATACATTGGCTCGTCATAATTATCGTACACTTGTTTGATTGTTGTGGGATCACTGATTCATCACATAATTGATTTGATTTATGTTGTCTCTAGGGAACCCGCGAAACAACAGCTCATTCTGTGTTTAACAGTGTTTGTTTATACATGAAAATCTTTTGCAAAAAAAACTAAAAAAGTAAGTAAAATCTGTATTCACTTCGCAACAAAATACTCAAATTTTAGGCAGACAACATTTTTTCAACAAATTTAAAAATTGAAGTTTGAAGTACATTTTTCGTATCTACCTGCTGCCACGGCAATGAACGAATATTTTCTTCCTTCGAAGAATTTCGTCCTCGGTGTTGTATCAGAAGCAACAAGATTTTCAGTTGTTTGATGATCTTACTCCCTACAATTTCGTCTGAGGTTTTGCTTCTGCCGATAAGATATCGACAATCTTATCACCATTTTCAGTTTATGCACGTTAAACGAACTACCTTGGTTCTATTTTGGACAGATGTAATTAAAAATTAATCACGCGTCTGTGGGTTTGATAATAGATAATAGATGTTTTATTAAAATATGTATATTCATAACAGAGTGTTAAAATTACTTATTTAGTATAGCTTGTATTTCAGCCAAACTCTTCCCTTTCGTCTCAAACATAAAAAAGAAAACAAACAAATCAAACAAAACACAAAACCCGGCAAACAACCAGAACGACCCCGCCATACCAATCCCATCCGACAAAGCCCCAAAGTACTTAGTTAGGAAAAAACCCGTAAACCAGTAAAAACTGGTAGCACTTACGGCCGCATTTGAAATAATATTCAACGGTAAAGCCTCACCCATGAACGCCCAAGGGATCGACCCCATTCCAAAATTATAAAAAGCAATAAACATCACTAACGCTAACACAGGCAGCCACCCTAAGTTCGAAACGTCGTCACCGTTCTGCTGCAAATAAAAATAAACCCCGAGAAGAATTTCAGCAACTATGGCTCCAGTCACGGCAATCAGGAGCAAAATTTTTCGCCCGACTTTATCTAAGAAAGGGGGCGAAATTACAGAAACGACAAACTGAGCTGAGCCTACAATAATCGAGCACACTTCTGGAGGAATGTTGCTTCCAGTGGCGTCAAAAATGTTCTGAGCGTAGTACAAAATGACCGTAACGCCTGAAAACTGCTGGAATGTTGTTAAAGCTACACTATACAGAAACGCTTTGATGGTTCCTTTCGTTTTAAATATATCTAAGTACGAGCCTGGTTGTAAGCGCTCTAAATGTAACTTAATCGCGTCTAATTCCGCTTGGATGTCTTCGTCTGGTTTGCGTCGAAGGTAGCGAAGAGCCTCAAACGCTTCGTTTTCTTTATTTACAGACACCAAGTAGTATGGGGTTTCTGTGGCCACTAGCCAAAAAACGGGAACGTAGAGGACACAAATCGCCGCTAGAATTAGGTTGAAGACCATGATGGAAACGTATGGTCCGACGCAGTACGAGAAAAGCAAACCCAACATGATGCTACTGGTTGTCGTTGCTTGTAGTAACCCTCGATTGACGTCCTCCACCGTCTCCACTACGTAGATAGGGAGAATGCAAAACATGCCTCCGACTCCCGCTCCCATTAAAATCCGGGAGACGTAATACAAGGGGACGATTTCAGCAAAAGCCGCTATGAGGTAGGCTATAAGAAAGGGGAGCGCGATCACAGCCACGGTTATTTTTCTTCCAACTTGTTGGACTAAGTAGCCGAAGAGGAAGGGGCCGAAAATTCCGCCCATTGCAGCTAAGGAGGCGATCCATGAGTTTTCATCACTGGTGATTTGACGGTTGACGGGGATTTTGCTTATGTCGTCACCTTCCAAGATTGGCAGCACTGGGGACGACCACGCTATGGAAGTACCAGTGATGAAGGCACTGATATCGGCTGCAATTAATTATGTTTATTATGCATGATTAAACTGAATAAATTACCTGCAAAGATGACGAAATATGAATATTTACTTCCTTGGAACAAAGGCATTTTCAACAAATTTAAGTTACTTTCACGAACATACTTTTATATGTTGTGGAAGATATAACTACGTTTTAAAAATGGCACGAATTTTATCAGTTGTTATATTCGATAAATGATTACATTGAAAATAGATCTGTTATAGACAGAAAATTGCTATAATGGAATGATCGTATGATTTCTACGAAGTCAAGTTGGTGACCCCTCCATTGTTGTAAGGAACAAGGTTAAACATGAAAGGAATAGAAAGGAAAACCTCACAACAGACGGAAAAATGTACCAAAAGAAAAAAGAACAACAACACAGAAGATATAAAGATTAGAAATCAGATTAGTGACTACAGCGGAAAAAGCAAATAAAAACCGCATCACCATCGGTGGATTTAAAGATAGACAATACACAATACATCATTCAAATACCACTCTTCGATTTTGGTTACTCGTATCATTGTTTAAGTATATTATAGTTGGACAACCTAATACAAATTTTACTTCGCCTAAATAGTGAGCTTTAGGACAAGGAATCCAGGGGGCGTGGGACAAATTTTTCGTCAACGCGCATTTTCACTACAGTGAGCGAACGTTTTAGATTTATTTTACTCTAAATCAGATGGCGCCATCAAACATTAGCAAAGTCAAACACCCTTCACTCTTATACGAGGAGTTATTCATAAATCCATAATTAACATTGTTCCGTAAACAGTAATGTGTATAAACATATGTGTACAAAATATGAAAATATACTTGACATAAAAAATATGAAGCAACGTGTTGTAACGTGATAAGAAAGAATTGAATTTAAATGAATTTGACGCATATTTTTATTTGACTATATCTGAAGACTGACAGAAACTTTCCAAGGGTTTTTAAACTGGTATAATTGTTTAGTTTTACAAGATTAAAGTAAAACAAGATTTTAAGTAAAATTTAGATTCGTGGTGTTACAAAAATATTAACACAAAATGAAAATATATGTTCAAAGTAAATAACAGAATGACATAAACTTTCGGCGTTAAATTACAAATAATTACAAGAGAGAAAAAAACGCATAATAGTATATTAAAGAACGAGTTTCATAAGGCAAATATTGAGGCACGAATCCAAGTTTATAGAACGAGCGGCGAAGCCGCGAGTTATATAAAGGATGAGTGCCTCAATTGCCTTATGAACGAGTTATTTATACTATTTTTTCTACCGCACACGTTTTTTCCCAAAATTTAATTGAAATTTGCATTTTTTTCAATCTGGGGACTTTTGTCGTGGTTGGTGATGGGTTGGTCTGACACTAACCACGAAATATTTGAGGTTCGAATTTTCACAACAACAATTGTAATTCGAATCAATTCGAGTTTTTGTAATTTAAAATTGGTTAAAATGTCTTGCGAAGAAGTTACGCGTCCGGAAACGTGGGAAATTTTAAGTTTAGATTTGCCACTGATATTCACCTGACATTTCTCGTCATTGCTACCAATCTTACCGATCTAAATTACACCAGATCTATTAAAGAACGCCTTTCCGCTATTAACGAACTGCTGTGACGTCATTTGCGTGCGTTAATAGCTCTATTAGAAAACCAAAAAACGTGGGCGGTAGAAAAAGAACTTAAGAGGCATGTTTGTAATATCGAGTTGTTAAAGGCTGCTTTGAAGACTGTTTGTTTCTATGAAAAACAATTGCTATTATCGGACATTTTGGTAGATTTTGTGCCAAAAATACGAGATAACTAATTGTTTCTTGAACTAGTTTCCGTAACTTCTAAAATTTAAAAAGGATACGCCGTTCTGCTGTAATAAAATCTAGAATAAGGTCAAAATCACACTAATATTACATCTGATTTTGTTAACCACATGAATATAATTTACATTAAAATAAGTTACAGACATTGTTTGAAATGTTTATTATAGTTCGAAAACAAGATAAAATAAATAAATAAATAAATAAAATGTGCAGTTTATAAACTTCAGAATTTTAGTATAAAAATAATCATGTTTGAAGCTTTATTTTGTTCCATTTTATTGGGTGTATTGGGCCCCTCTCGGGATATAACACCGACATCAGTGCACCGACCCAACGTTCTTCAACCGATGGGATGATTTATTACTTCCGTTATGCTGGCCCTACACACAGCGATTTGGTTTTCGGATTTTCGGCTAGATCTGCACAGTTAACTCTTTGCGCACTGCACACTGACATAGAGTATTTTGTTCACGGGAGCATTAAAAATATTACGCCGAAAGCACTTCTTCAAATATTATTTTTTTTAAGATGTAATATTTGTCAGCGTTTCCAAAATTTTCTTCTTTGCACAGGTCAACTAATTTTTCGTAAACCGCATTTTAAAATTTTTGTTATTGTTTTTTTACTTTTTAATTTTGTAAGACATGAAAAAATGTGTTAATTAACACCAATAGTGATTATGATAATTTTATAATTATCATTTTAATGAAATTGTGTTCTTCACTTCGCGAACGACAGCAAACAATTTAAAATTACCGCTAGTCAAGCACCTGAAAATCCATCTCTCCCAAATATGTCTTTCTTGACACGATTTGTAATCCGAAGTCTCCCTTCACATGCAATTTTTCGTTGCCTGAGAACTTGTTTGATCTACAGACCAAAGCACACTCAGGCCAATATCGGCTTTAAGCGATTTATCTATAAACCGATATTCGTTAGAGTTGATGTGATACACATCCACTACGAAGAACTAACCCATTTCGACCATTGGACTTTACAACGAATAAGTGAACAAAGTTCTTGAACATTTTAACGATTTAATACATAATGTTCCCGAATGACAAAATTTACATTTCAAATTGTATTATTAAATTACACTCTCCAAAATTTGTCACGAACAATGAAATGACGCAATCTCCAAATTTTACAATAGTAAAATTGTAGTTTCGCCCCGTTTACGGTTAATGCATCCGTGTTTTCACCTTAGACGTCAAGATTTTTGGAAAAAAAATCAACATTTTCCAATTTATAATGTTATGTATTTAAATTTTAAAAAGTAGAATAGTCCTGATCTTGTGATTTATACCTAAATACGCTATTGGGATTTTTCGGCTTGTCGATTTCTCGATTTTTCAACTTTAAATGTCTCAATTTTTCAATACTTCAATTTTGGGCTTTTCCGATTCCTCCATTCCTTAAATTTTCTATTTCTCGATTTTTTTATTTTTCGATTTCTCAATCTTACGATGTTTCAATGATACGATTTCTCAATTTTTGTCCTCTTCAATTTTACGGTTTTTAAATATTTCGATTTTTCAGTTTTTCAAATTTTCACGTTTCTAAATTTTCAGTTTGCCGATTTCTAAAGTATTTTTTTTATTTGTCCATTTCTGGATTTCCTAAAGTTTCGATTTTTCACATCTTCAATTCCTCAATTTTTCGATTTTTTAAGATTACGATTTTTCAATTTTGCTTTTTTAGATTTTCGATTTCTCAATTTTCCAATTTTTTAATTTCTCAATTTTTTTAATATTGCTTTCAGTTATGAGATTTTTCAATATTTAAATTTTTCGACTTTTCGATTTTTGAATTGATGGATTTTTTTTGATTTCTCGCTTTTTTCCTTTTTGGATTTTCAATTTATTGTAAACTTTAGATTTTTCAATTCTGGGACAGTTTAATGCTTCGATTTCTCAATTTTTAAACTTTTCGATGTTTTAATATTTCATTTTTTAAAATTCTAGGTTTTTCGATATCTCGAGTTTTCAGTTCTTCTATATTTCAATTTTTCAATTTTTCGATTTTTTGAATTTTAATTTTTGATTTTCCAGTTTTTCTTTTTTAAAATTATTCAATTTTTTAATTTCTCAATTTATCGAATTCAGATGTTTCGTTGTTTTGATTATTCAATTTTTAACTTTCCCTTTCGGCTTCCGACTCCTCAATTTCTCGATCCTCCGATTTTTCGATTTCTCGAAGTCTTAGTTTTTGAATTTTTCAATGTTTCGATTTTTGTATTTCTCGGTTTTTGGATTTTTTTCTTTTGAGCTTTTCAATTTCTGGATTTTCCAATGTTTCAATGCCCCGATTTTTCAATTTTTCAAATTGAATTGGATTTCTCGATTCTTCAATTTTGCGATATTTTAATTATTCATTGTTTTAAATTTTAGTTTTTTCGATTTCTCGATTTTTTGACTTTTCAGTTCTTCAGTATTTAAATTTTTCAATTTTTCAAATTTTTGCGTTAAATTTTCAGTTTTCTGATTTCTCAATTAATCTATTTTTGATTTTCCCACTTCTCAAAGTTTCGATTTTTCAGTTCTTCAATTCTTCGATTTTTCGACTTCGCTTTATTGGTTTGTCGATTTCTCAATTTTTGGATATTTCTTTCAGTTTTGATATTTTTCAATACTTCGATCCTTTCATTTTTCGACTTCTAGATTTTTCTATTTTTTATTTTTGGATTTTCAGTTTTTTGTTTTTTATTTCAATTTCTCAATTTTTCACCTTTTTCATATTTTAATTTTTAAATTTCTAGATTTTTCAGTTTCTCGAGTTTCCAGTTCTATATTTTAATTTTTTAAATTTACGAATGTTTAAATTTTTTGAGATCTCAATTCATTGAGATTCGGATGTTTCGATGTTTTGATTATTCAATCTCTCGCTTTATCAATTTTTCCATATTTAAGTTTTCCATTTTTCGATTTTGGCCTACTTCGGTTTCTCAATTTTTTGATTTTTCGACTTCTCGATTTTTCGACTCCTCGATTTTTTTTGTCTTTTGATTTTTCGATTTCTCGATGTCTCAATTTTTGAATTTTACAATGTTTCGATTTTTCGATTTGTTGGTTTTTCGATTTTTTGCTTTTCGGTTTCTCAATTTTTCGATGTTTCGATTTTTGATTTATCCGATTTTTCAATTGTCCAATTTTTTAAATTCTCGACTTCTCGATTCGTTGATTTTTCAGTTTTTCGATTATTAAATTTTAGATTTTTATTTTTATTTTTTTTTTGATTTTTTGATGTTTGGATTTCTCCATTTTTCAGTTTTAGGATAAGTATTTTAACTTTTCAATGTTTTAAATTTTAGATTTTTCGATTTTTTAGTTCTTCAATATTTTTTTATTTTTCAAATTTTGACGTTTCTGAATTTTTAGTTTTCGGATTTCTCAATTAATCTATTTTTTTATATTCCCATTTCTCCACTTCCTAAAGTTTCGATTTTTCAGTTCTTCAGTTCTTCAATTTTTCGATTACTCAGGTTTTTGATTTTTCAATTTTTCGATTTTTTAAGTTTGCGATTTTTAGACTCTGCTTTTTTGACTTTTTTGTTTCTCAATTTTTTAATTTCCTAATTTTTTTATATTTCGTTCAATTTTGTGATTTTTCAGTTTTTCGATTTCTCAATTTTAACTTTTCAATTTTTGAAATTATTAATTTTTTACGATTTTTTGAGTTTTCAGTTCTCTATATTTCAATTTTTCAATTTTCGGAATTTTTAAATTTTCGATTGTCCAATTTTTTTTTATTTTTCGATTTTCAAATTTTTCGATGTTTCGATTTTTGAATTAACCGATTGTTCAATTTCTCGATTTTTAAATTTTAGATTTTCCAATTTTAATTTTTTTGATTTTTTTATGTTTCGATTTCTCGATTTTACAATTTTCCCATATTTGAATTTTTCAATATTTTAAATTTTCGATTTCGAGGATTTACTGTGTTACAGTAGTCATCAGATTATTGTTGTGCGTTAAAATGCCTACATACTGATAAGCACGTACATACAAGACACATTTAAGGCTGTTTTAAGTCTGCTAGATATAATTTTTGCAATTTTAAATGTATTTCTTGATGTCTAAATCGTATATATTTTGTGATACAATCTTAGGATAAAATGCTTTCAAAAATAATATGTATTTAATGATTTGACTACTATTAATAAAAAAAATACGTAAGAAGATGTTCATTTTGAATTAATTTGGTGTTCATAGTTTGATGATAATCCATAGTTATTCTGCTGGAGGGAAATTATTAGATGACTTGTTACTAATTAATTAAAGTAGTGGTCGTTTAATTTCGTATACCTTTAAAGTGGACGAAGGAACGCATATTTGTTAGCCATGCAGTTCATGGATAATAGGTATACCGCGATAATATTAAATTTTTGTTACCTTAACCTTGAAACAGGTATGCACTACATATACATATATTACAGTAAAGTCTTCAACACGTACGTTTGCTTATTTTGTGACTGCTCCCCGTACAAAGTACTGATTAATACGTCCGTTTACTACCTTATCGACATCACGTGCTTACGGACTATTTTTACCCCCTTTCGTAAGGTACCGTCACTTCATAGTGAAGCGAGTGAGATGTAAAATATATATTCATTCTTTTCTACATGGGAAAGTGATTGTCCGTATAGGTTGTCCAACTATAATATACTTAAACAATGGTACTACTCTTAAACCTCAAGATCGTACTCTTCGATTTTGTTTCCTTGTACCACTGGTACCACATTTTCCCGAAGACAATAAGGAGTTAGGCAACCAGTAAAACACTCAAGTTTCAACTAAGCAGAAAACCTGTCGGAATTGTGTTTAATAAAGCTTTATTATGTGTATTAATATTGTCACTGACACCAAAATAACAAAAAATATTCGATGAACACAGCCTCAGGATACTACTTATTCAAAATAGCTTGAATTTCCGCAAAACTCTTCCCCTTTGTCTCAAACATCAAAAACACTACAAACAAGTCACACACCACCAACAACCCCGCAAACAACCAAAACGACCCCCCCATTCCGATAGCGTCCGACAAATCTGCGAAATACTTCGTCAAGAAAAACCCAGTGAACCAATAAAAACTGGTAGTAAGCGTGGATGCTTTGGCGACGATGTTCGACGGTAGAAGCTCACCCATGGACGCCCATGGTACAGGACCCATTCCGAAATTGTAGAAAGCAATGAACATAACTAACGAGAACACTGGCAGCCAGCCAAGATCCGAAACGTCGTTACCGTTTGTCTGGAGATAGAAGTAAACGCCCATGAGGATTTCGGCAGTTAGTGCTCCAGTGGAGGCAATGAAGAGTACAATTCGTCGACCGGCTCTATCTAGAAAGGGGAGTGCCATTATTGATACGAAGAGTTGGGCGGAGCCTACGATGATTGAACATACTTCTGGGGGCAAGTCGCTTTTAGTGGCGTCGAAAATGTCTTGGGTGAAGTATAGGACCACGTTTATCCCCGAGAATTGTTGGAAAGTGGTTAAAGCCACGCTGAAGAGGAGCGCTTTGATTGTTCCTTTTGTTTCGAAAATGTCGATAAAAGTGCCAGGTTTGAACTGCTCCAAGTGGGTTTTTTTGGCTTCTAGTTCTTTGCGGACTGTGGTGTCGGGTTTGGATCTGAGGTAACGAAGACTCTCGAAAGCTTGTTCTTCTTGATTGGTAAGAATTAAGTAGATGGGGCTTTCCACAGCTGCGAACCACACAACAGGGATGTAAATAACACAAATAGCAGAGAGAATTAGGTTGAAAGTCATTATGGAAACGTAAGGTCCGATGCAGTACGAAAAGAGAATTCCTATCATGATTAGTGTGGATGTGCTTGCTTGTAAAATCCCGCGATTTGTGTCTTCGGCTACTTCTGCCACGTAAACTGGTACGCTACAGAACGCCCCCCCTACTCCCATCCCCATTAAGAACCTTGAGACGTAATACAGGTACACCGTTTCAGCAAAAGCCGCTATCAAAAATGCGCTTAAAAACGGTACAACAATGACCACCAAGTTGATTCTTCTTCCAACCCTTTGCATTAAATAACCGTGGATGAATGGTCCGACAACGCCTCCCATTGCAGCCAAAGACCCAATCCATGATGACTCATCACCGGTTATTTGTCGGTTTAACGGGATTCTACTCAAATCATCACCTTCCAGAATCGCCAGTACTGGAGATGACCACGCCACAGATGTACCACTGATAAAAGCGATAATATTTGCTAAAATTACAACCCTACTATAAATGTAGCCAAATTTAAATATTCACCTGCTTGTACAACAATGTAAGAATATTTGCTTCCTTGAATCAACGTCATTTTTGGTAACTCGACTTGGAACACACTTTTGACTTAACGACAAGTTATGGTTTGAAGAAGATCACATCTATCTATCGAATTGTTGTTTGTAATCAGTACTTACGTATATTGAAAATGGCTTTCAAAAACAATTGACGATGTTTAAAAATCAATTGTAAAGTAGTGCAACGAAAAAGCGCACAGTGCCACGTTTTGTAAGATGTCAAGGCGTTTTGGCCAGAAGACAGCATCTTCAGACAACTATGGACCCCGGCGGTCATAGAAAATTACTTTTGGAGCGACATTTAGTGAAATTCATTGTTTCCAAAAATGTAGCAACTAAAGCAATAAAAATGCATTGGAATTATACATTCCCTCAATTTGTAAATTCAGTATCGTTGCAAAAGATCACTAATCTGCATTTTTCAGATAAGTTTTTTTCGATGTAAAGTTGAAGATAAATGATAATTTATCGAACCATACTCGAAAATTTCCATTGTGTAGAACATAAGTGTGTGACTTTGTCAAGGTCTGTGCCACGACAGATATAAGCCTTGAAGTGTCACGTTTTAGCACAACATGTCGAGTTTAATAGAATAACAAATTGAAAAACACAAGAAAAGAGAAATGTGTAGCCAAAAAACTGCCGCATATTGTACGCTCTACGCCGTTGTCGCAAAATAACCAGTTAAAAACCTCTGGAAACCCTGTATTCCACGGAATCTTCTGCTTTTATTTCAATTCAAGTTCAAGTTCTATATTTCTCGAACTTGGGGCGATATCCGGATAAATAGTAGTATTATCACAGAAAAACTGTGTTGTTTTTTTAGTAAAGGTTAAAAGAATGGCGGGGGGCACTGCCTAGGTTGTTTTTGAGAAAATTTAAAAGAGTCTGGGGGCCCCTTTCCCTGTTGTTTTTGACAGAAGGTAGACGAATCTCGAGGACCCCTTCTGTGTTCCTTTCCTTTTTGGAAGAAATTAAAAAAAACTCAAGTGTCCTTTCTGCCTTATTTTTGGCAGAAGTTAAAAGAATCTAGGGTACCCTTTCTATGTTGTTTCTAATAGAAGTTTAAGGAATCTCGGGGACTCTAAGTGTGTTTGAAAGAATCTCGGGGACCATTTCTGTTTTACTTTTTGGAAGAAATTACAAAAATCTCAGGAGTCCCTTCTGTCTTGTTTTTGGTAGAAGTCAAAAGAATCTAGGGGACACTTTCTATGTTGTTTTTAATAGAAGAGTTTCGGGGCCGCCCCTTTCCATGGTGTTTTTGACAGATGATAGAAAATCTCGGAAGAAATTAAAAGAATCTCAGGAGTACCGTCTGCCTTGATTTTGGCAGAAGTTGAAAGAATTTTGGGAACCATTTCTTTTTTTTTTTGTTTTTAACAGAAGTTAAAAGAATCTCGGGGACTCTAGCTGTGTTGTTTTGGGGAGAATTTAAAAGAGTCTCGGTGCCCCTTTTCCTGGTGTTTTTGACACAAGATAGAAGTATCGGGGGGACCATTTCTGTGTTGCTTTTTGGGAGAAATTAAAAGAATCTCAGGAGTCCTTTCTGTCTTGATTTTGGCAGAAGTTGAAAGAATTTAGGGAACCATTTCTTTTTTTTGTTTTTAAAAGAAGTTAAAAGTATCTCGGGGATTCTATCTGTGTTGTTTTTTGGGAGAATTTAAAAGAATCTCGAGCTCCCTTTCCCTGGTGTTTTTGACACAAGATAGAAAATCTCGAGGACCCTTTTTGTGTTGCTTTTTGGGAGAAATTAAAAGAATCTCAGGAGTCCTTTCTGTCTTGTTTTTGGCAGAAGTTAAAAGAACCTAGGGGACCCTTTCTATGTTGTTTTTAATAGAAGTTAAAGGATTCTCGGAGGCTCTAAGTGTGTTGTTTTTGAGAGAACTTAAAAGAGTCTCGGTGTCCCTTTTCCAGGTGTTTTTGACACAACATAGAAGAATCTCGAGGACCATTTCTGTGTTGCTTTTTAGAAGAAATTAAAAGAATCTCAGGAGTACCGTCTGTCTTGATTTTGGCAGAAGTTGAAAGAATCTAGGGGACACTTTCTATGTTGTTTTTAATAGAAGTTAAATGAATCTTGGGGACTTTCCCTGTGTTTTTTTTGGGAGAATTTAAAAGAGTCTCTGTGCCCCTTTTCCTGGTGTTTTTGACACAAGATAGAAGAATCTCGGGGGCCCTTTCTGTGTTGCTTTTTGGAAGAAATTAAAAGAATCTCAGGAGTTCTTTCTGGCTTGTTTTTGGCAGAAGTTAAAAGTATCTAAGGGACCATTTCTTTGTTTTGTTTTTAATAGAAGTTAAAGGAATCTCGGGGACTCTATCTGTGTTGTTTTTTGGGAGAATTTAAAAGAATCTCGAGACCCCTTTCCCTGGTATTTTTGACAGAAGATAAAAAATCTCGGGGACCTTTTCTGTGTTGCCTTTTGGAAGAAATTACAAGAAGCTCAGGAGTCCTTTCTGTCTTGTTTTTGGCAGAAATTATAAGAATCTAGGAGACCATTTCTATGTTGCTTTTAATAGAAGTTAAAGAAATCTCGGGGACTCAAAGTGTATTGTTTTTGGGAGAATTTAAAAGAGTCGCGGTGCCCCTTTTCCTACTGTTTTTGACAGATGAAAAAAAAAAAATCTCAGGAGTCCTGTCTCTCTTGTTTTTGGCAGAAGTTAAAAGAATCTAGGGGACCATTTCTTTGTTTTGTTTTTAGTAGAAGTTAAAGAAATCTCGGGGACTCTATCTGTGTTGTTTTTTGGGAGAATTTAAAGGAATCTCGAGGCCCCTTTCCCTGGTGTTTTTGACAGAAGATAGAAAATCTCGGGGACCCTTTCTGTGTTGCTTTTTGGAAGAAATTAAAATAATCTCAGGAGTCCTTTCTGTCTTGTTTTTGACAGAAGTTAAGAGAATCTAGGGGACCTTCTCTATGTTGTTTTTGGGACAATTTAAAAGAGTCTTGGTGCTTTTTTTCCTGGTGTTTTTGACAGAAGATAGAAGAATCTCGGGGACCATTTCTATGTTGCTTTTTGGAGGAAATTAAAAGAATCTCAGGAGTCCTTTCTGTTTTGTTTTTGACAGAAGTTAAGAGAATCTAGGGGACCTTCTCTATGTTGTTTTTGGGAGAATTTAAATGAGTCTTGGTGCCCATTTTCCTGGTGTTTTTGACACAAGATAGAAGAATTTCGGGGACCATTTCACTGCTGCTTTTTGGAAGAAATTAAAAGAATCTCAGGAGTCTTGTCGGTCTTGTTTTTGGCAGAAGTTAAAAGAATCTAGGGGACCATTTCTTTGTTTTGTTTTTAATAGAAGTTAAAGAATCTCGGGGACTCTATCTGTGTGGTTTTTTTGGGAGAATTTAAAAGAATCTCGACCCCTATCCCTGGTGTTTTTGACAGAAGATAAAAAATCTCGAGGGCCTTTTCTGTGTTGCTTTTTGGAAGAAATTACAAGAATCTTGGGAGTCCCTTCTGTCTTGTTTTTGGCAGAAGTTAAAAGAATCTAGGGGACACTTTCTATGCTGTTTTTAATAGAAGTTAAAGGAATCTCAGGGACTCTAAATATGTTGTTTTTGGTAGAATTTGAAAGAGTCTCGGGGCCGCCTTTTCCGTGCTGTTTTTGATAGATGATAGAAAATCTCGGGGACCTTTTCTGTGTTGCCTTTTGGAGGAAATTACAAATAGCTCAGGAGTCCTTTCTGTCTTGCTTTTGGCACAAAGTTAAAAGAATCTAGGAGACACTTTCTATGTTGTTTTTAATAGAAGTTAAAGGAATCTCGGGGACTCTATCTGTGTTGTTTCTTGGGATAATTTAAAAGAATCTCGAGGCCCCTTTTCCTGGTATTTTTTCAGAAAATAGAAGAATCTCGGGGACCTTTTCTGTGTTGCCTTTTAGAAGAAATTATTAAAAGAATCTCAGGAGTCCTTTCTATCTTGTTATTGGCAGAAGTTAAAAGAATCTAGGGGACCATTTCTTTGTTTTGTTTTTAATAGAAGTTAAAGGAATCTCGGAGACTCTAAGTGTATTGTTTTTGGGAGAATTTAAAAGAGCCTCGGTGCCCCTTTTCCTGGTGTTTTTGACAGATAATAGAAAATCTCGGAGACCCTTTCTGGATTGCTTTTTGGAAGAAATTAAAATAATCTTAGGAGTCCTGTCTGTCTTGTTTTTGGCAGAAGTTAGAAGAATCTAGGGGACAATTTCTTTGTTTTGTTTTTAATAGAAGTTAAAGGAATCTCGGGGACTCTATCTGTGTTGTTTTTTGGGAGAATTTAAAAGAATCTCGAAACCCATTTCCCTGGTGTTTTTGACAGAAGATAAAAGAATCTAGGGGACCATTTCTGTGCTGCTTTTTGGAAGAAATTAAATAAATCTCAGGAGTCCTTTCTATCTTGTTTTTGACAGAAGTTAAGAGAATCTAGGGGACCTTTTCTATGTTGCTTTTGGGTGAATTTAAAAGAGTCTTGGTGCCCCTTTTCCTGGTGTTTTTGACACAAGATAAAAGAATCTCGGGGACCATTTCTGTGCTGCTTTTTGGAAGAAATAAAAAGAAACTCAGGAGTCATCTCTGTCTTGTTTTTGGCAGAAGTTGAAAGAATCTAGGGGACCATTTCTTTGTTTTGTTTTTAATAGAAGTTAAAGGAATCTCGGGGACTCTATCTGTATTGTTTTTTAGGAGAATTTAAAAGAATCTCGAAACCCTTTTACCTGGTGTTTTTGACAGAAGATAAAAAATCTCGGGGACATTTTTTGTGTTGCTTTTTGGAAAAAATTAAAAGAATCTCAGGAGTCCTTTCTGTCTTGTTTTTGACAGAAGTTAAGAGAATCTAGGGGACCTTTTCTATGTTGCTTTTGGGTGAATTTAAAAGAGTCTTGGTGCCCCTTTTCCTGGTGTTTTTGACACAAGATAAAAGAATCTCGGGGACCATTTCTGTGCTGCTTTTTGGAAGAAATAAAAAGAAACTCAGGAGTCATCTCTGTCTTGTTTTTGGCAGAAGTTGAAAGAATCTAGGGGACCATTTCTTTGTTTTGTTTTTAATAGAAGTTAAAGGAATCTCGGGGACTCTATCTGTATTGTTTTTTAGGAGAATTTAAAAGAATCTCGAAACCCTTTTACCTGGTGTTTTTGACAGAAGATAAAAAATCTCGGGGACATTTTTTGTGTTGCTTTTTGGAAAAAATTAAAAGAATCTCAGGAGTCCTTTCTGTCTTGTTTTTGACAGAAGTTAAGAGAATCTAGGGGACCTTTTCTATGCTGTTTTTGGGAGAATTTAAAAGATTCTTGGTGCCCCTTTTCCTGGTGTTTTTGACACAAGATAGAAGAATCTCGGGGACCATTTCTGTGTTGGTTTTTGGAAGAAATTAAAAGAATCTCAGAAGTCCTGTCTGTCTTGTTTTTGGCAGAAGTTAAAAGAATCTAGGGGACCATTTCTTTGTTTTGTTTTTAATAGAAGGTAAAGGAATCTCGGGGACTCTATCTGTGTTGTTTTTTGGGAGAATTTAAAAGAATCTCGAGACCCCTTTCTCTGGTGTTTTTGACAGAAGATAGAAAATCTCGGGACCCTTTCTATGTTAATTTTTGGAAGAAATTAAAAGAATCTCAGGAGTGCTTTCTGTCTTGTTTTTGCCAGAAGTTAAAAGAGTTTAGGGGACTCTATCTGTGTTATTTTTGAGAAGTTAGAAGAGTCTGGGGGGGGGGGGGCGTCCGTGTTGTTAAAAGAATTTCACAACATTTCAAAATAGTAAAATCGTTAATTAACCAGTCTGACACTAATTATGGGGGGACCATGACCTCGAATGCAATTAATTTTTTATTTAAACAATGCACTTGTATAAAATAACAAACTAAATTTAATCTAAACCTTAATTAAATAGTAAACTAGTTATTTGTGACATGCTTAAAGTTGGGTCTAAAGCTCATAGTTTATATTTTCGCTTATATCTGTTATATTTATTAGAATAAATGAGCAAACTTTCCAAAAAGTTGCAGATAATTTTAGACCAACTTTCTCTGAACACTTTATGTGCACCTGTTTAAAAAATCACAATAAAATCTTCAGTTTTCGCTTATATTTGGGTGATACGAACAAAGACACCACTGAAAACGTGAAACGATGATCTAATTTGCACAATTTAAGATCGGACGTCAAGCTAAAGATAAAGCAATTTATCAATAAGTGTATAACGTCCATCAAAATAACAACGTAAGTAACATTGTCAAGGTCTCTGTCGCAGTAGATAATAATTGAATAGTCAGCATTTGGCAGCAAATAATAAACAAACATAAAAAAATATCCTTTATTACAGTACATAAATAACTATATACACAATAAATTACACAATTTCCTAAAAACGGAACTACACCACATCACGATCCTAAGATCTCCTGAATCTCCTCAAAACTTTTCCCCTTCGTTTCAATAACCACAAACAACGTGAAGAAGAACGCAAGAACACAGAATCCCGCAAACATCCAAAACGACGGTCCCATTCCAATCCCATCAACAATTTGCGAAAAGAACTTAGTTATAAGAAAACTTATAAACCAGCAGAACGCCGACGTGATGGAAGAAGCCGTCGATTTGACGTTCGATGGGAAAAGCTCACTCATAACAGCCCATGGTAGAGGTCCGAAAGCACAGTTGTAGGTAATAATATAAACTATCAGTGACACGACCGGCAACCACGATATATCATCGACATTGCTACCGTCGTCTTTGAGGTAAAAGTACAACCCTAGAGGTACCTCCGATATGACCATCCCCACAGCGGAGAAATAAAACAAGATTTTCCTCCCTAGTTTGTCGACGAACAACGGAGTGACGAAACTCGTCCCGAAAAGAACCGCTCCGATGATAATACTGGACACTTCCGACGGGATGCCTCCACCCGAAGCGTTGAAAATAATTTGGGCGTAGAACAAAACAGCGTTGATGCCTGAGAGTTGCTGGAAGCCTACTAAAGCCAGGGTTATGATCAAGGCTTTGATTAAACCTTTGGATTTGAAGAGGTCGGTGATTGAGCCTTCTTTGGATTGTTCGATTTGGGTTTTAATATCGTCTAGTTCGTCGTCGATTTTGTCGGATCCTCTGAGTTTGCGTAGACATTGAGATGCGGCGTCTAGGTCGCCTTTGGCGACCAGGTAGTGTGGGGTTTCTGGTGCCACGAAGAAGAATAAGACCATGAAGGCTCCAGGGACTACTGCTAGAATGACGTTGTAGGCCACCATGGGGGCGTAGGCGCCAACGCTGTATGAGAAAAGGAGTCCAAACGTGAGCAAAACGTTCATGACTGAACCCAAAGCACCGCGGTTTGAGTCTTCGGCTATCTCTCCTGTGTACATAGGTATGACGGTGAACACTCCTCCTATAGCTACTCCAATGATGATTCTTGCCACATAGTAAAGTTCGACGATTTCGGAAAAGGCTAGCATGAGATAAGCCACCAAGAAGGGTATTCCTATTGACATTAGAGTAAACTTGCGACCGATTTTATCAGCTAGGTATCCATAAATGAAAGGACCGAACACTGCTCCTAGTGATAACAAAGAACCAATCCATGAGTTTTCTTCAGCGGTGATTTGTCGACCGAAAGGGATATCGTCTACGTCTGTAACGTTCAACTTAGGAAGGATGGGTGACGACCATGACAAAGAGGTTCCAGTAACAAATGAAATTATGTTACCTAAAACATATTCATTGTTTATCTTGTATGTACCATTGACGACAAAAGTGACTTACCAGCGGCAGCAGCAACGTATGCTTGACTAATCATTGTAAGTATAATCGTATATACACAGATTTAAAAATCACATAATTCGAACGACTGTTTCTAAGTGTCTGTTGTTGATCTCACCGTTCCTTTTTCTTATGTGTCCGCACTATCAAGCGATAACAGATATTACGATCGATCACTGCACTTAAAATTCCAAAAATTTCCTCTTTAGTAGTTTGCAGAAACGTATCATTCACTTGATAAGAAAACTATTAACAGTGTCGTCGGGGAGTATTGTATCGATTTTTTTGTTTATAACTGGGCACGTACGTTATTGGATGTAGATGACTGAACCTTTTTAATAATTCCAATGAACAAGGTTTTGATTGGAGCGATAATATAGTGGAATCTGATTTTGCTCGGTCAAACACGTTTCGTTCGTACACGCAATATGATGTGTTTTGGTGTTATCATTAGTAAGATGTACGTGGAAGGACATGGTCGGAGGTTAATTTTTGTTCCATTGACGAATTTTGGGGCTAATTTATAGTCACACGTTCGAAAACTATAGACGAAAAAAAATTGCTCAAGTGTACTTTTGTTTAAAAAAAAAATGGTGCTAGGTTGACTCTGTCAATAAGTAAATTTGTTTGGCAGAGTTTTGCTACGCCTATGATCATTGGAAATATTTGACGTTAGCACTAATAATAACAAAAACCATGTTGTATTTTGATTAATTAACAGTAACGTAAATATAGATATCAATTATACACTTTATACAAGGCGATAACAAAGTTCAAATAAAAATTTTCCCCACAAGTTGCTAATATTTTGGAAGAGAACAAGTGTTTTTTTTGTTACACTATTATAAATGAAAAGTTCCACTAGTGCGTGATAAACGTGACTAGTTGTGTACTAATTTTTTTCCAGTTTCCACCCGCACTTTAAGTGATACTTCAGAGATAACCTCACAAAAGGCATTCTTTTAAAACAATTAAAACTTTTCCGTTCACTTAAAAAATAATTATCGCATCTGTACACAGTATTTAATTTTGCACCGTCTGCGTCATTTTTTTTAATGCAATATCGAGTTGAAACAGGTGTATTTCCATGCAGTTTCCAGTATTCTGGGCTTATCGGATATTAAATGACACATAATCGTGAAAAACACGTGAAACAGATTTTTTCTGCAAGCTCAGCATGAATGAGTAATTTTTTTCCGAGTAAAGTACTGATTGTAGCACACTTTTTGGCGGGAAATTTAAATTCTAACGTTCAAATTTTCGCAAAAATATTTGCAAGGTATAATAACGTTTTATTCCCGACACGTATCGCAGATAATGGCGACCTGAATAAAAATAAATATGTAGTTAAAAATTGTAAAATTCAAAAGTTCATTCCAAAATTTAAAGCATTAGAATTAAGACATTTTAAATTAAAAACTCCATAAAAATTGCAAATGAAATTCCAAAAATTAAAAAATTCAAAACTTGAGAAACAAAAATCCAAACATTGCAAATCGAAAAATTGCGAAGTAGGGAAATTGCATTAAAATAAAAAAAAAAATCAAAAATGAAATGATCGAAAAATGTGTATAACAGAAAAGCGAAAAATTGAGAAATGGAGAAAATAAAAACATGTAGTTAAAAATTGTGAAATTCAAAAGTTCATTCAAAAATTAAAGAAACAAAAATTGAAACTATCTAAAAATTAAAAAATTGAAAAACGAAAAATTAAAACATCAAAATTGAGAAATTTTAAATTAAAAACTCGAAAAATTCCAAAATAAAAATGAAAAAATAAAAAATCGAACGAACAATGTTGTGATTGAAGATTACAAAATTTGAAAAATTCAAAAGTTGAAAAATAAAAATTAAAAAATTGCGAAGTAGGAAAATTGAAAAATTAAAAATCGAAAAATTGAGAAATGGTAAAAACAAAAACGCAATGTATCAAAATTTAAAAATAGTTGCTGAAAAATAAAAAAATTGTTAAACCGAAAAATAAAAATTGTAGTTAAAAATTGTGAAAATCAAAAGTTCATTCTAAAAATTAAAGTAATGGAAAAACTAAAGTACATGTGTGTATGAAAATTGAGAAATTTTAATTTAGAATTCGAAAAAGTGCAAAATTAACAAAAAACAAAAAATCGAACAATGGTTCAAACAAGGAAAAAATGAAAAATATCAAAAGTTGAAAAAAACTCAAGAAAATGTTAAAACTTAAAATTAAAATATATAAAAAATTTTAAATTTAAAAGCTGAATCGAAATATTCAAAAAACGAAAAATGAAAATATCTAAAAGTCAAAAAACAGAAAAACTGAAAAAAACGAAAATTAATACATTTAAAACGCGAGAAATTTTGAAATAAAAATCAAGAAAATAAAAAATCAAGAGATGAAACGGTTTAAAAATCCAAAAATTGGAAATCGGAAACTTGTGAAATAGAAAAATTTGCAAATTAAAAAGCGAAAAACCTAAAAACGGGCAATGGAATAATTGAACAATTAAAAAATGAAAAATAAAAAAATATTGAGAAATCGAAAAATTGAAGAAACGAAAAACTAAAATATCAAAATATTGAAAACTCAAAAAAAAACCAAAGTTGTTTAACCGAAAAATTGAGAAATGAAAAAAACAAAAAAAGCAACGTGTTAACAAATTGAAAATTTCGAAAAATTCAATAGTTAAAAGCAAAATTAAAAAATTGTTAAACCGAATAATAAAAATATGCTGTTAAAATTTGTAAAATTCAAAAGTTTATTCCAAAAATTCAAAAAACGAAAAATGAAAATAATTAAATAAATATTTAAAAATGGAAAAAGCGGAAAATTAAAATATGTGTATGAAAATTGAGAAATTTTAATTGAAATTTTAATAAAAAAGTCGAACAAGTGCAAAATTAACAAAAAACAAAAAATCGAATAATGGAATGGTTCAAACATAGAAAAATTGAAAAATTCCAAAAGTTGAAAAACTCAAGAAAATGTTATAAGTCAAAATTAAAATACATAAAAGTTTTAAATTCAAAAGGTGACTCGAAATATTCAAAAAACGAAAAATAAAAATATCTAAAAGTCAAAAAACAGAAAAACTGAAAAAAAAACAAAAATGAATATATTTAAAAATCGAGAAATTGAAATTGAAAACTCGAAAAATTGTAAAATAAAAATCAAGACATGGAATGGTTGGCAAAATTAAATATCAAGAAATTGAAAAATTGAAAAAACGAAAAACTAAAATATCAAAATACTGAAAAATAAAAAAAATTCAAAAATTGTTTTACCGAAAAATTGCAAAATGAAAAAGACAAAAAAGCAAGGTATTAAGAAATTAAAAATTCGAAAAATTCGATAGTTAAAAGCAAAATTAAGAAATTGTCATACGAAACAATAAAAATATGCAGTTAAAATTTGTGAAATTCAAAAGTTTATTCCAAAAATTAAAAAAACGAAGAATGAAAATAATTAAAAATTTAAAAATTGAAAAAGCGAAAAATTAAAATATGTGTATGGAAATTGAGAAATTTTAATTGAAATTTTAATATAACAGTCGAACAAGTACAAAATTAATAAAAAACAAAAAATCGAACAATGGAATAGTTCAAACAGAAAAATTGAATAATTCCAAAAGTTGAAAAACTCAAGAAAATGTTAAATCTCAAAATTAAAATATTTAAAAATTATTAAATTTAAAAGTTGAACGAAAAATTCAAAAAACGAAAAATGGGAATAACTAAAATTCAAAAAACAGAAAAACTGAAAAAAAACAAAAATTAATATACTTCAATTAAAAACTCGAAAAATTGAAAAATTGGGAATCGAAAAACCTAAAAAACGGACAATGGAATAGGTAATTGAAAAATTAAAAAACGAAAAATAGAAAAATTAAATATCGAGAAATTGAAAAATTGAAGAAACGAAAGACTAAAATATCAAAATATTGAAAACTCAAAAAATCCAAAGTTGTTTAACCGAAAAATTGAGAAATGGAAAAAACAAAAAAGCAACGTATTAAGAAATTGAAAATTTCGAAAAATTCGATAGTTAAAAGCAAAATTAAAAAATTGTAAAAGCGAATAATAAAAATAAGCAGTTAAAATTTGTGAAATTCCAAAGTTTATTCCAAAAATTAAAGAAACGAAAAATTAAAATATTAAAAATTTAAAAATTGAAAAAGCGGAAAATTAAAATATGTGTATGAAAATTGAGAAATGTTAATTTAAATTTTAATTCAAAAGTCGAACAAGTGCAAAATAAGCAAAAAACAACAAATCGAACAATGAAATGATTAAAACATCGAAAAATAAAAAATTCCTAAAGTTGAAAAATTCAAGAAAATCTTAAATCTTCAATTGAAATATTTAAAAATTACCAAATTTAAAAGTTGAAAGGAAAAATTCAAAAAACGAAAAAAGAGAATAACTAAAAGTCAAAAAACAGAAAAACTGAAAAAACCAAAAATGAATATATTTAAAAATCGAGAAATTTTAAATTGAAAACTTGAAAAATTGTAAAATAAAAATCAAAAGATATAATGGTTGAAAAATCGCAAAATTGGGAATCGGAAATGATTAAAACATCGAAGAATTGAAAAATTCCAAAAGTTGAAAAATTCAAGAAAATCTTAAAAATCTTAAATTGAAATATTTAAAAATTAGCAAATTTAAAAGTTGAACCGAAAAATTCAAAAAACGAAAAAAGAGAATAACTAAAAGAAAAAAACAGAAAAACTGAAAAAAAACAAAAATGAATATACTTAAATTGAAAACTCAAAAAAATTGTAACATTGGGAATCGGAAACTTGTGAAATAGAAAAATTTGCAAATTAAAAATCGAAAAACCTAAAAACGGACAATGGAATAATTGAAAAATTAAAGAATGAAAAATAGAAAAATTAAAGATCGAGAAATTGAAAAATTGAAGAAACGAAAGACTAAAATATCAAAATAATCAAAAAATGCAAAAGTTGTTTAACCGAAAAATTGAGAAATGGAAAAAGCAAAAAAGCAACATATTAACAAATTGAAAATTTCGAAAAATTCAAAAGTTTATTATTCCAAAAATTAAAGAAACGGAAAATGAAAATAATTAAAAATTTAAAAATTGTAACAGCCGAAAATTAAAATATCTGTATGAAAATTGAGAAATTTTAATTTAAATTTTAATTAGAAAGTCGAACAAGTGCAAAATAAACAAAAAACAAAAAATCGAACGATGAAATGATTAAAACATCGAAAAATTGAAAAATTCAAGGAAATGATAAATCTGAAAATTAAAATATTTAAAAATTATTATTAAATTTAAAAGTCGAACCGAAAAATTCAAAAAACGAAAAATGAGAATATCTAAAAGTCAAAAATCAGAAAAACTGGAAAAAACAAAAATGAATATAGAAACTTATTTAAAAATTGAGAAATTTTAATTTGAAAACCGAGGAATAATTGAAAAATTAAAAAACAAAAAATAGAAAAATTAAAAATTGATTAATCGAAAAAATAAAATATCAAACATTGAAATACCAAGAAATTCAAAAGTTGTTAGTCAAAAAAATCGTCTCATTATTTCTTTAAGAATGTTAAACCTTCTCGGGGGTCCCAATTGTCATTTCTAAAAATGTAAAACCTTCTCGGGAACCCCATATGTATTTTTTTTTTAAGAATGTGAAACCTTGTCAGGGGTCCCAATTGTCTTTTTTAAAAATGTAAAACCTTCTCGAGGGTCCCATTGGTCTTTTTTAAAAATGAAAAACCTTCTGGGGGGTCCCAACTGTCTTTTTTAAGATTGTGAAACATTCTCGGGGGCCCCAAATGTATTTTTTAAGCATGTGAAACCTTTTCGGGGGCCTCAATTGTTTTTTTTTTAATATAAAACCTTCTCGGGAGCCCCAAATGTATTTTTTAAGAATGTGAAACCTTCTCAGGGGTCTCAATGGTCTTTTTTAAAAATGCAAAACCTTTTCGGGGGTCCCAACTGTCTTTTTTAAAAATGTAAAACCTTCTCCGCAGCCCCGAATGTATTGTTTTAAGAATGCGAAACCTTCTCAGGAGTCCCAATTGTCTTTTTAAAAATGTAAAACCTTCTCGGGGGCCCCAAATGATTTTTCTTTAAGAATGTGAAACTCCCTCGGGGGTCCCAGTTGTGTTTTTTAAAAATATAAAACCTTCTGGGGGTCCCAAATATATTATTTTAAAAATGTGAAACCTTCTCGAGGGTCCTAACTGTCTTTTTTAAAAATGTAAAACCTTGTCGGGAGTCCTAAATGTTTTTTTTTTAATGTAAAACCTTCTCGAATACCCTAAATGTCTTTTTTTAATGTGAAACCTTCTCGAGAGCTCCAAATGTATTTTTTAAGAATGTGAAACCTTCTCGGGGGTCCCAATTGTCTTTTTTAAAAATGTAAAACCTTCTCGGGGGTCCCAACTGTCTTTTTTAAAAATGTAAAATCTTTTCGGGGGTGCCAATTGTCTTCTTTAAAAATGTAAAACCTTCTCCGAAGCCCCAAATGTCTTTTTTTAAGAGTGTAAAACCTTCTCGGGGGTCCCAACTGTCTTTTTTCAGAATGTGAAACCTTCTCGGAGGCCCCAAGTGTCTTTTTTTAAGAATATTAAATCTTCTCGGGGCTCCCAACTGTCTTTTTTTTAAGAAGGTCAAACCTTATTTTTTTCTATTACACTGTGACTGGTACCTATATTTTTACTTAATAGAGGTTATCACGTAAAAGTACAATTTAAAAGCAGTTTTTGTTGGACGGTACTTCAGAAGCGAGGGAAGTTCTGTAGAAATAACTTTCGACCAATTAAAAAAATAAATAAATTTGACGGCCGACTAAAAGACTTTTTTCCTATTGAACTATTTTTAATGTTGCTTCTTTTAAGTCAACCAGTATATCGTGTTTCATACTTGTATAACTGGTTGCCTACTTTCAAGAAAATGTAATAAGACTTACAAAGATTTTGTTTGTGAATTTATAAACAAGGACATTCACCACAAAAATTCTGTGGTTTAGATTTAAACGATTTGTCTATGCGGTGAGAAAAACCCGTCACTTTATGATTAAAATAAAACTGATTATGTATATTCAAATGTCGAGGAGGATTTGCATTTGGCGCCACGCATGCGTTCGAATTTAAACCTCCCGCTAGAAAATGGCCACCACATAACTCAAAGAACTTCCAAATAACAAATATTAGACACATTAATCACACATTTGTTTACCTATAATTTAAATTTTTTGGGAATTGGTGCCAACTGTAAATTATCATGAACGGAAAGCGTGAAATATTTGGGTCAAAAATTTTAACTTTTCCAACAATGTGTGGCGCAAGAAATAGCTATTGTTTGTAAAAAATCTTCTTTTTTGTACTTTGAAATATACGTGAGAAGCTTAAGTATGACAGCAAAAGTAAATATACCTGTTACAATGGATTTTATCTCAAGTGTACCATGTTCAAATTTGATTTTCTTGGTTGTTTGTTTGAAGAGTAGTTATTGTAACAGTGACTTCAGATTCGTAATCTCCGGAAAATGTTTGGGAACTTTGAAGTCGATTTTCTTGCTTATCTGGAGAGCTGTAGCAATAGACACTTCAGATTCATAATCATTATCTAGAAAATCATCTGTCCGAAAGTACAACTGATACCTCGATTAGACTGATGTTAACTGATACACCTTATCTATCACACTCATTATTAAAGTTAAAATGAAAAAAATTTACTCAAGTCATCTTTGGATCTAATATCAACTTTAATAATTTTCTGGAATTGCGTTAAATAAAAACACCATCTTCATCTTACTTGTTATTTATTTAGAATCACTTCGGTGAAACGTTAAAATTTTCCTTAATACTGTAAAAACATTAAAAGATAAAACAAAAGTAAACAAATAAATTAATAAATTTAACATTAAAACACACTTCTACAAAATAATATCACTAACAACGCTTAGGCGTCACTACTTGTACTCTTGCCGCTCAAAATATCTTGAATTTCCTGCAGACTTTTCCCCGACGTATCTGGAAGATATTTGTACACAAAAATCGCCGCCCCCACGCAACAGGCGGCAAAAATCCCGAACGAACCAGCCGCTCCGATCAAATCAGTGACCAAAGCAAAATATTTGGTTAAAATGAAACCCAGAAACCAACAACCGGCAGCTGTCACAGTAGACGCAGCTGACTTGACATTACCGGGGAACATTTCCCCCATGACAGCCCATGGAAGAGGGCCAAACCCGAGACAGTACGTTATAATGTAAGCCACGAGCGAAAGTACCGGAAGCCACGCAATGGAACTTATATCACCCCCTCCACTCTTAACATAGAAGAACACAGCTAGCGCTCCTTGCGAAACCGCCATCCCCACAGCAGACAGAGTCAAAAGGTACTTCTTGCCTTTCTTTTCCACGAAAATCGGAGTAGCTCCGCTCGCCAGAACTTGGACCACTCCGATAATGATAGTGCAAATATCCGCCGGAATGGTACTACCGGCATCTGTGAAAATATCTTGCGCGTAGAAGAGGACGATGTTAATACCGGAAAGCTGCTGCAAGGAAACTAAGCCCACGGAAATAATCAAGGCTTTGGTGAGTCCTTTGGACTTGAATATATCCATAAAGGAGGCTTTGTTCTTTAGTGATTCTTCCACGCTGGATTTAATATCATCCAATTCGGTTTGGACCGCGTCCTGTGGTTTGGAACGCAGTTTCATTAAAGCTTGAAGCGCTTGGTCTTTGTTCTTTCGTATCAAAAAGTACGGGCTTTCGGGTATGAACATGAAAAAAGCTATTAGGAAGATACATGGTGATATAACACACACAATATTGAAGGCACTGACTGACATGTAGGGTCCGAGAACGTAAGAGAAAAGGAGTCCTATTACGATAAAAAGTTGCATAAAAGAGCCGAGGGAATCACGTACTGCATCTTCAGCGATTTCCCCGATGTACATTGGTAGTACTGTGAAAATCACACCGACGCCTAAACCACACAAAAACCGCATAAGGAAGAACATTAGCGGAGTGGTACCAAAGCTGGCCAGGAGGAAAGCCACAATGAAGGGTACTATCCCTCCTAGCATTGTGTACTTTCGGCCTATTTTGTCCGCAGTGAGTCCAGCGATGAAGGGACCCAGAGTCGCTCCCACGGGAAGAAGGGAACCAATCCAGGACTCTTCACCTTTTGTGAGCGGCATGGCCAGAGGGTTGCCGAACTCGTGCTGGACTTTCATTTTCGGGATTTCGGGAGACGTCCAGCCGAAACTGGTTCCACAAACAAAGGCCGACAAATTCGCTGCAAAAATGAAACGATTTTTAATTGCTTAGCAAATAATTGTAACTATTTTTAGTGAAAAGATACGATCAAACCACTCGAAAATTACAAGTACTGTTATCAAATTCTGTTGATGTAATGTGCATTTTTCGCCTAGAAACAAAATCGATAATTTAAGTTTTGTCAATTTTTTCATTTTTAGTACTAAATATCAAAGCATCACACGTTAAGGTTTCAAACTCACATTTACCTGCATAACAGCCAAGAGCGTCATTTTTGGCCTTGAAAACCCGGTATCTTTTAAAATTATTCGTTGCAGGAAAAAAATAAGGTCAGTCGTAACGCAACAGCACTTACTATTCCGTACCGGTTGGAAGAGGAAGAGTAGATAGTGGCTTTTGTGTTTCTTTCTGAATAAATTTTAATTACTGACAGGAGAAAGAAGGTTATATTTTTTATAACACGTTACTTTCATACCTGGAAATAATTTGTAAGTCATATTTTAAATTCTAAGTACAAAAGTTGTTAAAGGCCACATAACTTTCGTATGAAATCGATTCCTCTTAAGTGCTGTTTATACATCTGCAGACTTGGGAGCAAGCGCGGGAAAGCGTAAAGGTCGATTTATAAACTAGCCGCTGACGTTGCTGTTCACCGTTGACGTTGCCGTTGGGTTTTCAACCAATCAAATTCCGATGCCAACTTGATGGAAAATCCTCTGAAGTAGAGGGGACATTTTTCTGACAGCACTAATCCTACGAAATTCAAATTTTGCCTTGTTTTTCTTAATATACATAGCCATCACAATAAGAAACTTAAAGCATGGTTAAAGTGGTACATTTTTGTAAGGAAATATGGCTTTTGAAATAATGGGGCGGAGCCTAATTGCAAATTCGAAATTTCCTTTTACAAATTTTCCATTATAAACATCTTTTAAGTTTTTTGCTGTGAAAAAGTCTACACCATATTAAAACAAAAAGGCAAAATGTAAGCCCGCCCACCCGCCCTGTCTCTATTCTGATGATTTTTTTATTCGCCGAGAGCCAAGAGGGCGAAGCTTAACTGCAAAATACTTATTTTTTTACAAAAAATTAAAAACATGATTTTGAATATCGTGTCTTTCAAAAAATCATATCTATATTAAGAAAAAAAATTAACCCCGCCCACCCACCCCATCTCAATTGTGATGATTTCTTTTATTCTTAGAAACTAATACACGTTTAAAATGCTAAATTTTTGTAAGTAAGTAAGTAAGGATTTTGCAGTTAAGCTCCGCCCCCTTGGCTCATGATGAATAAAAAAACATCACAATTGAGATAGGGCGGGTGGGTGGGGCTAAATTTTACCTTCTTTTTTTTTCTTAACATGTGTAGACTTATTTCGACAACAAGAAACTTAAAACATGTTTACAATGATAAATTTGTATAGGGAAATATCAATTTTGCAAATACGCTCCGCCCCTCGGTCTGACAACGAATGGAAAGACGAATGGGTGGGGCTTCTCTTTTGTTTTCTTTTTTAACTAATACATTTAGTTTTCTTTGTATAGCACGATTACTTAAGCACATATTTCATATGGTAATTTCTTGTACAAAAAACATGTATTTAATTGAGCTCCGCCCCTCGCCTCACGACCAATAAAAAAAATCATCACAATTGAGATCGGGCGGGTGGGTGGGGCTTATATTTTGCCTTTTTTTTATATACATAGCCATCTTTTCACAACAAGAAACTTAAAACATAGTTAAAATGGTACAGTTTTGCAAGGAAATATGGATGGGGCTTAGACTAAGTGCAAAATCGAAATTTCCTTTTACAAATTTTCCATTTTAAACACGTTTTAAGTTTCTTGTTGCAAAAAGAAGTCTACACATATTAAAACAAAAATGCAAAATGTCAGCCCGCCCACCCACCCTATCTCTATTTTGATGATTTTTTTATTCGCCGTGAACCAAGAGGGCGGGGCTTAACTGCATAATACTTATTTCTTTACAAGAAATTAAAAAGACGTTTTTGAGTATCGTGTTGTTCAAAGAATACAATGTATATTTAGAAAAAAGCAAAATATAAACCCCGCCCACCCACCCCATCTCAATTGTGATGATCTTTTTTATTCTTAGAAACTAACACACGTTTAAAATGCTAAATTTTTGTAAGGAAGTAAGGATTTTGCAGTTAAGCTCCGCCCCCTTGGCTCACGATGAATAAAAAACATCACGATTGAGATCGGGCGAGTGGGTGGGGCTAAATTTTACCTTTTTTTTGCTTAACCTGTGTAGACTTATTTCGATAACAAGAAACATGTTTAAAATGATAAATTTGTACATATAGGGAAATATCAATTTTGCAATTACGCTCCGCCCCTCGGTCTGACAACGAATGAAAAATTCATCACGATTGAGATCGCGACGGATGGGTGGGGCTTCTCTTTTGATTTTCTTTTTTAACTAATACATTTAGTTTTCTTAGTATAACACGATTACTAAAGAACATATTTCATATGGTAATTTCTCGTACAAAAAATGAGGATTTAATTGAGCTCCGCCCCTCGGCTCACGACCAATAAAAAAAATCATCAGAATTGAGATCGGGCGGGTGGGTGGGGCTTATATTTTGCCTTTTTTTAATATACATAGCCATTTTTTCACAACAAGAAACTTAGAACATAGTTAAAATGGTACATTCTTGCAGGAAAATATGGATGTTGCAACTATGGGGCAAATTTTCCATTTTAAACATGTTTTAAGTTTGTAAAAACAAGGCTACACATGTTAAAACAAAAGAATCAAAATATAAACCCGCCCACCCGCCCAATCCCTATTGTGATGATTTTTTTATTTGCTGACAACCAAGAGGGCGGAGCTTAAGTGCAAAATACTTATTTCTTTACAGGAAATTAACAATATGTTTTTGAGTATCGTGTTTTTCAAAGAATACTATGTATATTAAGAAAAAAAGCCAAAATATAAACCCCGCCCAACCACCCCATCTCAATTGTGATGATCATTTTTATTCTTAAAAACTAACACACGTTTAAAATGCTACATTTTTGTAAGGAAGTAAGGATTTTGCAGTTAAGCTCCGCCCCCTTGGCTCACGATGAATAAAAAAAAATTACAATTGAGATAGGGCGGGTGGGTGGGGCTAAAATTTACCTTTTCTTTTCTTAACACGTGTAGACCTATTTCGACAACAAGAAACTTAAAACATATTTAAAATGGTAAATTTGTATAGGGAAACATCAATTTTGCAATAACGCTCCGCCTCTCGGTCTGACAACGAATGAAAAATTTATCACGATTGAGATCGCGACGGATGGGTGGGGCTTCTCTTTTGATTTTCTTTTTTAACTAATACGTTTAGTTTTCTTTGTATAACACGATTATTTAAGAACATATTTCACATGGTAAATTCTCGTACAAAAAATAAGGATTTAATTGAGCTCAGCCCCTCGGCTCACGACCAATAAAAAAAATCATCAGAATTGAGATCGGGCGGGTGGGTGGGGCTTATATTTTGCCTTTTTGTAATATACATAGCCATCTTTTCACAACAAGAAACTTAGAACATAGTTAAAATGGTACATTCTTGCAAGAAAATATGGATGTTGCAACTATGGGGCAAATTTTCCATTTTAAACATGTTTTAAGTTTGTAAAAACAAGTCTACACATGTTGAAAAAAAAAATAATCAAAATATAAACCCGCCCACCCGCCCTGTCCCTATTGTGATGATTTTTTTATTCGCTGACAACCAAGAGGGCGGAGCTTAAGTGCAAAATACTTATTTCTTTACAGGAAATTAACAACATGTTTTTGAGTGTTGTGTTTTTCAAAGAATACTGTGTATATTAAGAAAAAAAGCCAAATATTAACCCCGCCAACCCACCCCATCTCATCTTTTTTATTCTTAGAAAGTAACACACGTTTAAAATGGTGAATTTTGGTAACGAAATATGGATTTTGCAATTAGGCTCCGCCCCTAGGTCTGCCAATGAATGAAAGTTTCATTACTATTTAGCTCAGGGCTTAATCTTTAACTTTAATTGTTTCATAATATACATAGTATTTTTTGAATAACACGTTACTCAAAAACATGTCTTATATGGTAATTTCTTATAGAGAAAAAATAAGGATTTTGCAGTTAAATTTCGCTCCAACGGCTCTCGATAATTAAAAAAAATCATCACAATTGAGATAGGGTGGGTGGGCGGGGCTTATATTTTGTCTTATTTTTTTTCTTAATGTACACAGCCATCTTTTCACGACAAGAAACTTAAAACATCATTAAAATGGTAAATTCTTCTATGGATCTTTCAATTAAGCCCCGCCCCTGTTTATTGTTTTTATTAATATACATAGTATTCTTTGAACAACACGATACTCAAAAACATGTTTTTAATTTCGTGTAGAGAAATAAGGATTTTGCAGTTAAGCTCCGCCCTCTTGGCTAATGACGAATAAAAAAGATCATCACAATTGAGACAGGGTGGGTGGGCGGGGCTTATATTTTGCCCTTTTTTCGTAGTATGTGTAGACTTTCTTCGACAAAAAGAAACTTAAAACATAAACTGAGTTTATAAATGACAATTATCAGCTCTAAAAGCAACGTCAGCGGAAACAGCAACTGCACTTAACGCTCGACTTGACTAACCTACAACTGTGCAATTATGCCTTTATAATTTATTGCTCAACGCAGTAAAATGCACTTTAGTGCAAAATATTATCGTTATCAAGTTAAATAAAAAGCTCGTTGGAACTACATATTTTACTCCGAAAAATACTTTCAACACACTATTTTTAGATAACGCTATCATAAAAATTACATTTTGATTGCCATTCAGAGATCGACTATATTTGCCTAATGTTATAACACCACTTAAGATAAATCCCATAAATCACAATACGATTTTGGAATTATTATCAGATAAAATATCGCGATCGCACCTGTCAATTACCAACACATTAAAGAAGTCATCACGTTGTTGAAAATGATTGATAATGAGAGACACTGGCAAAGTTCTTGTAATCGCGCTAATAAAAAAATGATAACATACCCACACATGCTGCGATATAAAGAAATTTTCTGTTGGTGGGTCCCTTGCTCTCGCTGGACATTTTAACGGACTGAACATTAGCTTGATCATTCTGAGTGTTGACTGCCGCTTCGTCGGTCCCCGCTACTGGCGAATATTCGTACTCTTCCTTGGTGGTCATTCTCGAAGGACTAAAGCTCGACAAACGTTCACAAGCAAAGGTACAAGTGGTAATAACTTGATGAACCGATTTGACACTTATCTATATAAAAGTACTATTAAGTAAAAAAAAAGATAACATCAAGTGGCAATGTCTTTCTTTCATTTATCAACATTTTTTGCCGAAAATGATGATAATGAACTCGTTTGTCCTTGCAGCTAATTTTATGGGGAAAAAGTTCGGAATTGACACGCATCTTGTTTAATTTTGTGGATGTGGCTAAAAAAAGCACACAAAGAAGTGTGCTTGCACATGTGCCAGCTCTTTATCTTGTGTGTACTAGTGTTTACTATCTGTAATTATGTTTCTGATAGCTCTTCACTCTCCCCCACAAAACGCCCATAGAATTATTTTTATCTTCTTTTGTATATATTTTTTTGTGATAATACTTATTGTTCGAAGGTATGTGACAATAAGAGCTCTGTGTTGCGCAATCAAAGCGGTGAACCTATAATTAAATTTAACATAAATTACTACTCCATTAGATTCGCTATGATGTAATTTTTATATTGTTATTAAGATATTTGGCGCTTTGATTTACACATCCGGGCGATTTATACCATTTTTTACATGATTTAACGCACATAAGTAATAGCTTAGCTCCCAGTTTTTAATATAATTTAATCTACGAGAACTACTCTACTGAAGAGACTATCTATATTTTCTAAATCAGTGATTACGTTAATCCTTAAGTACTTTCAGAGATACATACGATTAGTTAAATAAAGTTTGTCTAGAAACAGGTAGCATGACTCTTCTACATTATTTCCTAATCGGTTTTTAAATCAGTTTATACATGGCTGAGACACATGTGGATCATTCGTTAATCACGCAAATCGATTATTCATGCTTCGTAGGCGTCCCATACAATCACTTATCATAGGGCGACGGGTTGCATTAAATATGAACGTAAGACAGTTCAAGTGTAGATATGTATCTAAAATATTTACTCTAATGTTACTGATAATTTATCATCTTACGTCACACTTCGTATATATCTAAGTACATCGCACTTAATGTCGGAGTTTTTTTTTAATGTAAATACATGTATCAGAATAAATGGAGTTTGCGGTGGAGCCCCATTTTGTAGAGTTTTTTTTTTGCTGTGTTCAGTGGCTAAAACTGTGTCATTGTCGCACTCGCTTAAGGTTTGAAGGTGAAGGAAGTAATTAGAAGATGATTCTTGAAAATATAAATGCATTTGTTGAATACTGATACAAACAAAATGTTTCCAGTTGAAGACGTGGCGTGCATTTTAATAACATACTGTTTAAAGCAGCGTGAAGTCATGCCACGTTGCATACTACACGTAAACTTACCAAGAAAATTATTATTCTTATTATGACAATTACAATAATGCTTTAAGTAGTATCTAAAGGCGCTTAAAACAGAATACTTAAGTGTAATCTCAATTTCGTGACACATTACCAATTTACAGAATAATTTCCACACTTCGCTGATTATCCGAACAACGCACAAATAAAAATAGAAAGTTGTAAAAGAAATATCGCTAAACGTCAAAATGATTTTTTGTTCAATCATAATAATTAAATTTTGCCTCTGTAGTTTATATGAAATTGATGTCGTTTAATATGTAGGCTGTCCGTAATGCAATTCTTCGAATTTTTCAGTAAATCCATGTTTCGATTAGAGGATTTTTATTTTTTGTTGTTGTTTTTAAGTTTCTTTTTGTCGAAATAAGTCTACACATATTAAGAAAAACGGGCAAAATATAAACCCCACCCACCCGCCCGATCTCAATTGTAATAATTTTTTTATTCGATGTGAGCCAAGAAGGCGGAGCTTGGCTGCAAAATCCTTATTTCTCTACGAGAAATTTAAAACATGTTTTTGTTCAAAGAATACCATGTATATTAAAAAAATAAAGCCAAAGATTAGGCTCCAGTTATACCCGCCCCAATCTCAATTCTCAATCGTGATTAAGTTTTCATTCGTTGTCAGATCGAAGGGCGGAGCTTAATTGCAAGATCCATATTTGTCTACAAGAATTTACCATTTTAAACGTATTTCGAGTTTCTAAGAATAAAAAAACATTACAATTGAGACAGGGTGGGTGGGCGGAGTTAATATTTGGCCTTTTTTTCTTAACATACATAGTGTTCTTTGAAAAACACGGTACTCAAAAACTTGTTTTTAATTTCTTGTAAAGAAATGTATTTTGCAGGTAAGCTCCGGCATCTTGGTTTTCGGCGAATAAAAAAATCATTACAATACATACAATTTCATTTTGCCTTTTTGTTTTAATATGTGTAGACTTCTTTTTACAACAAGAAACTTAAAACATGTTTAAAATGGAAAATTTTTATAAGGAAATATCGATTTTGAAATTAGGCTCCGCCTCATTATTGCAAAATCAATATTTCTTTGCAAAACTGTACCATTTTAACTATGTTTTAAGTTTATTGTTGTCGAAATAAGTCTACCCATATTAAGAAAAACGGGCAAAATATAAACCCCACCCACCCGCCCGATCTCAATTGTAATAATTTTTTTATTCGATGTGAGCCAAGAAGGCGGAGCTTGGCTGCAAAATCCTTATTTCTCTACGAGAAAAACATATTTTTGTTCAAAGAATACCATGTATATTAAGAAAAAACTAAAGCCAAAGTTTAGGATCCAGTTATACCCGCCCCGACCTCAAGTCTCAATCGTGATGAAGTTTTCATTCGTTGTCAGATCGAAGGGCGGAGCTTAATTGCAAGATCCATATTTGTCTACAAGAATTTACCATTTTAAACGTGTTTAGAGTTTCTATGAATAAAAAAATCATCACAATTGAGATAGGGTGGGTGCGCGGGGTATATATTCTGCCTGTGTTTTTCTTAATATATATAGTATTCTTTGAATAACACGATACTCAAAAACTTGTTTTTAATTTCTTGTAAAGAAGTAAGTATTTTGCAGGTAAGCTCCGCCCTCTTGGTTTTCGGCGAATAAAAAAATCATTACAATCGAGATAGGGCGGGTGGGCGGGCTTACATTTTGCCTTTTTGTTTTAAAATTCTTTTTACAACAAGAAACTTAAAACATGTTTAAAATGGAAAATTTTTATAAGGAAATATCGATTTTGAAATTAGGCTCCGCCTTATAATTACAAAATCAATATTTCCTTGCAATAATGTACCATTTTGACTATGTTTTATGTTTCTTGTTGTCGAAATCCGTCTACACATATTAAGAAAAACAAGGAAAAATATAAGCCCCGCCCACCCACCCTATCTCAATTGTAATGATTTTTTTATTCGTCGTGAGCCAAGACGGCGGAGATTAACTGCAAAATCCTTATTTCTCTACGAGAAATTAAAAACATCTTTTTGTTCAAAGGATACCATGTATATTAAGAAAAAAATAAAGCCAAAGATTAGGTTCCAATTATATCCGCCCCGATCTCAATTCTCAGTTGTGATGAATTTTTCATTCATTGTCAGATCGAGGGCGGGGCTTAATTGCAAGATCCATATTTGTCTACAAGAATTTACCATTTTAAACGTGTTTCGAGTTTCTAAGAATAAAAAAACATTACAATTGAGACAGGGTGGGTGGGCGGGGTTTATATTTTGCCTTTTTTTCTTAACATACATAGTATTCTTTAAAAAACACAGTACTCAAAAACTTGTTTTTAATTTCTTGTAAAGAAATAAGTATTTTGCAGGTAAGCTCCGCCCTCTTAGTTCTCGGCGAATAAAAAAATCATTACAATAGAGATAGGGTGGGTGGGCGGGCTTATATTTTGCCTTTTTGTTTTATAATATGTAGACTTCTTTTTACAACAAGAAACTTAAAACATGTTTAAAATGGAAAATTTTTATAAGGAAATATCGATTTTGAAATTAGGCTCCGCCTCATAATTGCAAAATCAATATTTCCTTGCAAAACTGTACCATTTTAACTATGTTTTAAGTTTCTTGTTGTAGAAATAAATCTAAACATATTAAGTAAAAGAAGGCAAAATATAAGCCCCGCCCACCCACCCTACCTCAATTGTAATGATTTTTTTTATTCGTCGTGAGCCAAGAAGGCGGAGCTTAACTGCAAAATCCTTATTTCTCTACGTGAAATTAAAAACATGTTTTTGTACAAAGAATATTTTGCTTTTCTTTTTAATATACAAAGCCATAGCAATCGAAACATAAAAAAGAATAAATTTAAAAAAATCGAAAAATGAAAATATCGAAAATTTGAAAATCCAGAAATCACATAAAAACCGAAAAACCGAGACTGTCGAGAAATGGAAAGTTAGCAAAAGTGAAACACATTAACGAATTTTAAATCGGGAAGTCCAAATATGAAAAAATCAAAAATCCAAACAAAAAAATGGAAATCGAGAAAAATTTAAGAATCGAAAAACTGAAGATACGAAATGTCGAATAATCTAAATTGAAACATAGAAAAATCGAAACATCAAAAGATCGGGAAACCGAAAAATTGGGAAATAAATTAATAGCCTAAAAACGAAAAAATCGAAACATCGAATTCTAGATAAATCGAGAAATCGATAAAATTAAAAAATAAAACAATTAAAAATCGAAAAATTGAAAAACCGAAAAATGGAAATTTCAAAAACTGAAGAATTTAAAAAGAGAAATTGAAAAATTCCCAAAATCGATGTTGAAAAACTGAGAAATCGAAAAGTCGAAAAATCGGAAAATTGAAATAAACGTAAAAATTTTAAATCTGGAAATCGGAACATTAAACAAATGTAATATCGAAAAACGATGAAATCGATAATCTAACATTAAAAAAATCGAAAAAGTAAAAACCAAAAAAAAGAAATCAAGAAATAAAAAATCGAAAAATTGAAAAAGCCCAAAACTGAAATGTCGAAAAATTTTAAAACTGAAAAATGGGAAAATAGAAAAGTCGAAAAATCGGAAAAATGAAAAATCGAAATTGTAAAATTGAAACAGCGAGATGTTGAGAAGTCGAAAAATTGAAACATTCTAAATTGAAACATTTAAACTTAAAAAATCGATAAGTCGATTGTTTTAATATGTGTAGACTTCTTTTCACAACATGAAACTTAAAACATGTTTTAAATGGAAAATTTGTAAAAGGAAATCTCGTTTTAAGTTTCTTGTTGTGAAAAGATGACTACACATATTATAAAAAAAATTGAAAAATTCAAGAGTTGAAAAACTTTAAAAAACTTGAAACAAATAGGAAAAACTGTAAAATCTAACAAAAATTGGAAAATCGAGAAATTACAAAATCTGAAAACTTAAAAAAATTACTGAAAATTACCAGAATTACACCCGAAAATAATTGGTTGCTTTACTTTCGAGCTCCTGATAATACAAGTGATAAAAACAAACGGAGATATCTAGCAATGCATCAAGGATTTATTATCTACGAGAAATTATTGGAAATAATCAAAATTACATCATTTTTATCAAAAATTAAACAATATGGTGCGACAAATTTTTTTTCGTCACTTTTGGTGACTGTAATTATTTTTTGTAGAATATCAAGTATTAAACTTATTTTGGTTTTCATTCATACTTATGTTTTACTTTTTGAAGTGTTTTAGTTATCTCCATTTGTGCAATATTATTTATTGTTGTTAGGCAAAATTTGTGGACGCAAGTTTTCCGATTTTTTATTCTTCATTGACACAGCAGTTAAAACTCGAAATAACTATAATCCTTTCATTGATTTCATCGAGTCATTTGATTTTGCAAGAGTAACAGATACAAAACCATTTCGACAATCATTATCTGAAAATTTTAAATAATCCATTATTTATTTATATCGGATTATTTCCGTTTATTACTCATATTTGCGAACGTTAACATCCTGCCAATTGCATTATCTTTCTCTGAACAAACACCCACCTGATAAAACGTTTACGTTAAATTTGAAATAATGTCACTTTTCGTTTTAGTTACTTGAGTGATCCTCAAAAATTTGCCCCACTTTGTCACTGTTTATTTACCGAGTTATTTACCGAGTGTGTACCTACTTGCCAAAATCCCAATGCTTAGCAGCATCTCGTACAGTGTGTTATCTTGACACTACGTAAATACCCATGATAAAGATAACAGGACTGTATATCTCTTAGATAACACACACAACATGGGCGTAATGTGATCTCTAGTAGCAAGTACAGAAAAATATAAGGTTTTTGATAAAATGTCGCTAAAGTTTTTTATATATCTTGTGGCTATTTGTATTGTATGTGTAAGAAGTGACGTAGAAAGTGACGATGAGGGAAGTGGATTTGGGTTAAATATGGATGAAACAGCCGACGAGGAACCAAGTCTGAGACAAGTAACACCATTGTTAGACGCAGATAACGAAATAGATTCGACAACAATAACAGAAAATGAAACTGCGGAATCCGCTGAAACAGATCTAGTCACTATAAAGTCGCCTTCTATAACCAGCAAAGAAAACGAAACTGAAATCTTTGAAGAAAATATTAAGACAACGAGTGAAAAAGTACCCCAGAAAGCGATTACAACAACGAGTCCTATTGTTACTACTAGCCGCACTAGTAGTAGTAGTAGTAGTAGTAGTAGTAGTAGTAGTAGTACTAGTGCTACCCCCAAAACTAAACCCACTCGTCCTTCTTTCAATATTACCACGATTCCAGCCGACATTTCGTCAAAAACGTCCAACATTACTGACTCAAGCGACGGCAGTGGAATAAGCCTATTTAGTTCTTTTAATTTAAACTATTTATATTTCCTCCTTTTGTTAATACCGATCGGCGGAATAGGCATTTGGGTGACCTTCTTCTGCAAACGAAAGAAGCGAAAAGGTTACACCGGTAAGGGCGACATTCTCAATCCAAATTCAATTTTAACCCGTTATTGTTTCAGAGGGTAAAGGTACCACTAGAATAAACAAAACGAGAAGAATGTCCACGCCTTCGTGGGTTTTCAGCGAACCTGATTTCGACGACGAGGAAGTCATCACACTGGAAGAAGAAAAAAAATGAATTTGTTAGTGTAACTAAATTATTTAAGTTTGCCTTTTTACATATAAATTTTGCTACTTGCGTTAAGATTTGTTTTACTCCGGGCCTGGTCAATTAGTTCGATTGGGCGACACCGTGGCGCTGTCGAACGTCAACCTTACGTCAATCGTGACCCTAACCTAACAATTGTACAAATGTGAATTATTAACACAAAATTAAGAATGAATATTCAAAAATTAGTCCTGACGAAGGGTAGTTCACCACTTTTCGAATTCTCTACTAAATTGTTATCAGTTCCAGCCGTCTCCGTTTTGCAATCATGCGGAATGAAACATTTCCCGGCGCCCCCAACTTACGACCGTATGATCACCAACCTTATTTCTAACCCCCTACTAACTTGATTTTTCCAGACGTCGAAATCCCGGAGCGCCCCAAACTAAGGTTCGTAGACAAAGTTCCCTACTATGCTCCAGGTATCAAAGCGCCGAAAATGCAGAAAAAGTTGCGTCTGATGAGGGGCCCCGAGCCTGTGCACAACTTCCTCATTCATAAACAATACGGAATTATGGTAGACGTTGACTTAGCGACTTTGTGAAATTTATTTGGTGTTTTTCAGGCTTTAGGGGGTGGCCGGTTAAAGTGGCAACATTTTGAGATGATGCGGCTCGCTATTGGTCGAAAAATTGACCCGCAGAGGATGTTCGCAGTGTGGAGGGTCGACTCACCCTGGCAGCCCCTCACCCGGAAGGGTCAGGGGCAGCGAATGGGGGGAGGCAAAGGGGCTATCGACCATTATGTAACGCCAATTAAAGCAGGTTAGATTGAGTGTGATTTATAAACTTGCTGTTGACGTTGCTGTTTTAAGTTAGTTGTTGGCGAAATAAGTATACACATATTAAGAAAAAAGAAGGCAAAATATAAGCCCCGCCCACCCACCCTGTCTCAATTGTGATGATTTTTTTTATTCGTCGTGAGTCAAGAAGGTGGAGCTTAACTGCAAAATCCATATTTCCTTACAAGAATTTACCATTTTAAAGGTGTTTCAGGTTTCTAAGAATAAAAATCATCACAATTGAGATGGGGTGGGTGGGCGGGGTTTATATTTTGCCTTTTCTCCTTAATATGCATAGTATTTTTTGGACAACACGATACTCAAAAACATGTTTTTAATTTCTTGCAAAGAAATAAGTATTTTGCAGTTAAGCTCCGCCCCCTTGGTTGACGGCGAATAAAAAAAATCGTCACAATAGAGAACGGGTGGGTGGGCGGGCTTACATTTTTGCCTTTTTCTTTTAATGTGTGTAGACTTGTTTTCACAACATGAAACTTAAAGCATGTTTAAAATGGAAAATTTGCATAAGGAAATGTTGATTTTACAATTAGGCTCCGCCCTATAATTGAAGGGTATTGGGAGAAAACAATTAGAAATATTTTTTAGTAATTAATAATTTTACAAAAATTCAATGAGCATTTTTTTTAAATGTTGTAAAATGGGGAGAAAACATTGGTAGTCCTTAATAATATTACAAATACAAAAATCTTGTGTGGGAGAAAACAATCGATTTCATTGGTTTTTTTGATGCGATGAAAACTGAATTTTACTACATCAAGTAGCGAATTAGGCTTAAAAAAATCGAAGTGGCCCCGCCCACCCACACGGTTTTCTTTTTGGTCGCTCATTTTATTGGACGAAAAGTGCATTTTATATTGAACAACAGTGGAATCTAAACAAAAACCTACAACTAACCCCACCCACCTTCAGTTTTGAATTTCATTGGCTTATGTGATTAGATGGAAATAGAATTTTATTTTGTCATGTGATCGAATCTATTTGTAAAAATTCGAAGTGGCCCCGCCCACCCACCCGATTTTCCTCTTGATTACTCATTTTATTGGACAGAAAATTGATAAACACTGGAATCTAGACGAAAAGGTAAAACTAACCCCACCCACCTCCGCTTTTGGATGTCATTGGTTTTTTTGATAAGATGAAGACTGAATTTTACTGTGTCAAATGGCGAACTAGATTTACAAAAATTCAAAGTGGCCCCGCCCACCCACCCGGATTTCCGCCTATTCATTCTTTGTATTGGACAAAAGGGGAATTTTATAGTGACAAACAACGCAATCTAGACAAAAAACGTAAAACCAATCCCACCCACCACCCCTTTTAAATTTCATCAGTTTTTTTGATTAGATGAAGACTGAATTTTAGTACGTCAAGTGGCAAATTAGGCTTAAAATATTCAAAGTGGCCCCGCCCACCCACCCGGTTTTCTTTTGGGTCACTCATTTTATTGGCCGAAAAGTGCTTGACCACATTTTTCCAATAAATAAAATGTGACATTCATTACTTTCTCCTGACAAAATCCATGATTCTTTGCAAAAATGTACTTATCATTTAAACCATATTCTCAGTTTTTTGTTGTGAAAAGTTGGCTATGTATATTTAAAAAAAAGGCAAAATATAAACCCCGCCCACCCACCCTATCTCAATCGTGATGAATTTTTCATTCGTTGTTAGATCAAAGGGCGGGGCTTAATTGCAAAATCCATATTTCCTTATAAAAATTTACCATTGTAAACGTGTTTTAAGTTTCTATGCATAAAAAATCATCACAATTGAGATCGGGCTTTTTTTTAATATACATAGCCATCTTTTCACAACAAGAAACTTAGAACATAGTTAAAATGGTACATTTTTGCAAAGAAATATGGATGTTGCAATTATGGGGCTTAACCTAATTGCAAAATCGAAATTTGCTTTTACAAATTTTCCATTTTAAACATGTTTTAAGTTTGTAAAACAAGTCTACACATGTTAAAACAAAAAAATCAAAATATAAACCCGCCCACCCGCCCTGTCCCTATTGTGATGATTTTTTTATTCGCTGACAACCAAGAGGGCGGAGCTTAACTACAAAATACTTATTTCTTTACAGGAAATTAACATGTTTTTGAGTGTCGTGGCTTTCAAAGAATACTGTGTATATTAAGAAAAAAAGCCAAATATTAACACCGCTCACCCACCCCATCTCATCTTTTTTATTCTTAGAAAATAACACACGTTTAAAACGGTGAATTTTGGTAACGAAATATGGATTTTGCAATTAGGCTCCGCCCCTAGGTCTGCCAACGAATGAAAGTTTCATTACTATTTAGATCAGGGCTTAATATTTAACTTTAATTGTTTCATAATATACATAGTATTTTTTGAATAACACGTTACTTAAAAACATGTCATATGGAAATTTCTTATAGAGAAAGAATAAAGGATTTTGCAGTTAAATTTCGCTCCTTCGGCTCTCGATGATTAAATAAAATCATCACAATTGAGATAGGGCGGGTGGGCGGGGCTTGTATTTTGTCTTACTTTTTTCTTAATGTACATAGCCATCTTTTCACAACAAGAAACTTAAAACATCATTAAAATGGTAAATTCTTCTAGACAAATATGAATCTGGCAATTAAGCCCCTCCCATCGATCTGACAACGAATGAAAAATTTTTTTGGAATTTTAATTTTCAGTTCTTCAATTCGTCGATTGTTTTCAATTTTTCGTTAAACTTTAAATTTTTCAATTTTTCGATTGTTTGACACTTCGATTTCTCAATTTTTCAGCTCTACGATGTTTTAATTTTTTTTTAAATTCTACGTTTTTCGATTTGTCGAGTTTTCAGTTTTTCTATATTGCAATTTTTCTTTTTTCAAATTTTCTTCTCGGCTTTCGATTTCTCGATCCCCTGATTTTTCGATTTCTCCATGTCTCAGTTTTTGAATTTTTGGATTTCTCAGTTTTTCGATTTTTTACTTTTGGGCTTTCAATTTTTCAAATTCTGGAGTTTCGATTTCTAGATTTTTCGGTTTTTTGATTTTTAAATTTTAGATTTTCGAATTTTTATTTTTTGCTTTTTTAATACATATTTGGATTTCGATTTTTCAATTTTGCGATATTTTAATTGTTCAATGTTTTAAATTGTAGATTATTTGATTTACCAATTTTCAAGTGTTTTAACTTTCTGAGAATAAAAAAAATCATCACAACTGAGATGGGGTGGGTGGGCGGGGTTTATATTTTGCCGTTTTTTCTTAATATGGATGGTATTCTTTGAATAACACGATATTCAAAAACATGTTTTTAATTTCTTGTAGAGAAATAAGAATTTTGCAGTTAAGCTCCGCCCCCTTGGCTCACGGCGAATAAAAAATCATCACAATTGAGATTGGGTGGGTGGGCGGGGCTTATATTTTGCCTTTTTTTTTCTTAATATACATAGCCATCTTTTAACAACAAGAAACATAAAACATAGGGCGGAGCCTAATTGCAAAATCGATGTTTCCTTATACAAATTTTCCATTTTAAACATGTTTTAAGTTTCTTGTTGTGAAAAGAAGTCTACACATATTAAAAGAACAAAGGCAAAATGTAAGCCCGCCCACCCGCCCTATCGTTATTCTGATGATTTTTTTATTCGTCGAGAACCAAGAGGGCGGAGCTTAACTGCAAAATACTTATTTCTTTACAAGGAATTAAAAACATGTTTTTGAGTATTGTGTTTTTCAAAGAATACTACGTATATTAAGAAAGAAACAAAAACAAAATATGAACCCCACCCACCCGCCGCATCTCAATTGTGATGATTTTATTTATTCATAGAAACTCAACACACGCTTAAAACGGTAAATTTTTGTAAGGAAATATGGATTTTGCAATTAGGCTCCGCCCCTAGGTCTACCAACGAATGAAAACTTCATTATTATTTAAATCAGGGCAGGGGGGTATGGCTTAATTTTTGTCTTTGATTTTTCATTAATCAACGTAGTATTCTTTGAATAGCACGATTTTGAAGGTAAGCTCCGCCCTCTTGACTAACGGCGAATAAACAAAATCATCACAATTGAGATTGGGTGGGTGGGCGGGGCTTATATTTTGTGTTTTTTTTTTCTTAATATGCGTAGCTGTCTTTTCACAACAAGAAACATAAAACATGGGGCGGAGTCTAGTTGCAAAATCGATGTTTCCTTATACAAATTTTCCATTTTAAACATGTTTTAAGTTTCTTATTGTGAAAAGAAGTCTACACAAATTAAAACAAACAGGCAAAATGTAAGCCCGCCCGCTATTCTGATGATTTTTTTATTCACCGAGAACCAAGAGGGCGGAGCTGAACTGCAAAATACTTATTTCCTTACAAGAAATTAAAAACATGTTTTTGACCATTGTGTTTTTCAAAGAATACTACGTATATTAAGAAAAAAATAAAAACAAAATATAAACTCTCAATCTCAATTGTGATGATTTTATTTATTCATAGAAACTGAACACACGCTTAAAACGGTAAATTTTTGTAAGGAAATATGAATTTTGCAATTAGGATCTGCCCCAAGGTCTTCCAACGAATGAAAACTTCATTATTATTTAAATCAGGACAGGGGGAGTTTGGCTTAATTTTTGTTTTTGATTTTTCATTAATCAACGTAGTATTCTTTGAATAACACGATTTTGAAGTTAAGCTCCGCCCTCTTGACTAACAGCGAATGAAAAAAATCATCACAATTGAGATTGGGTGGTTGGGCGGGGCTTATATTTTGTGTTTTTTTTTTCTTAATATGCGTAACTATCTTTTCACGACAAGAAACATAAAACATGGGGCGGAGCCTAATTGCAAAATCGATGTTTCTTTATACAAATTTTCCATTTTAAACATGTTTTAAGTTTCTTGTTGTGAAAAGAAGTCTACACAAATTAAAACAAAAAGGCAAAATATAAGCCTGCCCACCCGCCCTATCGCTATTCTGATGATTTTTTTATTCGTCGAGAACCAAGAGGGCAGAGCTTAACTGCAAAATACTTACTTCTTTACAAGAAATTCTGTACCTGCGAGCGCAAAGTGTGTAACTGCAAATTGTCAGTTTTCAGTGAGAGCAATTATTTGTGGCTCGTTTTACATACCGGACAAATTATTAGCTTATTCTAAATATATAATACAAAATATTGAATATAACAAATAAAAAATTGTAAATACCTGAATTAGACAAAGAAGCGTCAACATTTTATAGCAAAAAATACCTGTTTGTCCAATTTTATCTAAAAATGGAGTTACTTTGCGCTCTTAGGTACAGAATTAAAAACATGTTTTTGAGAATTGTGTTTTTCAAAGAATACTACGTATATTAAGAAAAACAGCAAAATATAAACCCCGCCCACCCGCCCCATCTCAATTGTAAAGATTTTTTTAATTCTTAGAAACTCAATATACGTTTAAAATGGTAAATTTTTGTAAGGAAATATGGATTTTGCAATTAGGCTCCGCCCCTAGGTCCACCAACGAATGAAAACTTTATTATTATTTAAATCAGGGCAGGGGGGTATGGCTTAATTTTTGTCTTTAATTTTTCATTAATCAACGTAGTATTCTTTGAATAGCACGATTTTGAAGGTAAGCTCCGCCCTCTTGACTAACGGCGAATAAACAAAATCATCACAATTGAGATTGGGTGCGTGGGCGGGGCTTATACTTTGCCTTTTTTTTCTTAATATACATAGCCATCTTTTCACAACAAGAAACATAAAACATAGGGCGGAGCCTAATTGCAAAATCGATGTTTCCTTATACAAATTTTTCATTTTAAACATGTTTTAAGTTTCTTGTTGTGAAAAGAAGTCTACACAAATTAAAACAAAAAGGCAAAATGTAAGCTCACCCACCCGCCCTATCGCTATTCTAATGATTTTTTTATTCGTCGAGAACCAAGAGGGCGGAGCTTAAATGCAAAATACTTTATTCTGTACAAGAAATTAAAAATATGTTTTTGAGTATTGGGTTTTTCAAAGAATACTATGTATATTAAGAAAAAAGCAAAATATAAACCCCGTCCACCCGCCCCATCTCAATTGTGATGATTTTTTTATTCATAGAAACTTAACACACGTTTAAAATAATAAATTTTTGTAAGGAAATGTGGATTTTGCGATTAGGCTCCGCCCCTAGGTCTTCCAACGAATGAAAACTTCATTATTATTTAAATCAGGGCAAGGGGGGTATGGCTTACTTTGATTTTTCATTAATCAACGTAGTATTCTTAGAATAACACGATTTTGAAGTTAAGCTCCGCCCTCTTGACTAACGGCGAATAAAAAAAATCATCACAATTGAGATTGGGTGGGTGGGCGGGGCTTATATTTTGTGTTTTTTTTTTTAATATGCGTAGCTATCTTTTCACAACAAGAAACATAAAACATGGGGCGGAGCCTAATTGCAAAATCGATGTTTCTTTATACAAATTTTCCATTTTAAACATGTTTTAAATTTCTTGTTGTGAAAAGAAGTCTACATAAATTAAAACAAAAAGGCAAAATGTAAGCCCGCCCATCCGCCCTATCGCTATTCTGATGATTTTTTTATTCGCCGAGAACCAAGAGGGCGGAGCTTAACTGCAAAATACTTATTTCTTTACAAGAAATTAAAAACATGTTTTTGAGTATTGTGTTTTTCAAAAAATACTACGTATATTAAGAAAAAAACAAAAACAAAATATGGATTTTGCAATTAGGCTCCGCCCCTAGGTCTACCAACGAATGAAAACTTCATTATTATTTAAATCAGGGCAGGGGGGCATGGCTTAATTTTTGTCTTCGATTTTTGATTAATCAACATAGTATTCTTTGACGACGCATACCTTTGCTGCATGTTTATCTGGTAACGGCAACGTCAGCGGCAAGTTTGTAAATGGACCTTTTATTTATTTTTGATTCAGGGCGGATTATCGTGGAAGTGGGGGGTAAATGCGAGTACAAAGAAGTGGAAGGTTTTTTGCGGGACGTTGCCATGAAGCTGCCTTTCCAAGCGATGGCCGTGTCGCAAGAAATAATGGATAAAGAGAAGAAGGAGGAAGAATGGAGGGAGAAGAATAATCAGAATTACTACACGATGAAGTACGTGATGCAGAATAATTTGGGTGGGTGTCAGAGGTGGATGTCGCCGTTCGATTTTAAGTTTCTAGGGAAATATTTGTAGTTTAGTTGGAATAAATAAAGCGAATACAGTTACAAATACTTTTATTTTACTGATTTGTATGGTAACTTACATATTGTACTTGTACATATATCAGTTGTCTCGATTTACACCAAGTTATCAGTTATATGGATGACATACATTTCTGCTTAACAACTAACCAAAAATATCTCATTAGAGACCGCTCTTGTGAAATCAAATTGGAAAGTTGGACAAACAATTTCTGATATGTCGATCACACAAATCACGCCTCGTTAAATCCATCTTTGCTTTGGTTCAGTTAAAAGAAATCAAGTCAGTTTTATACAAAATTCTATCCTAAAACAAGCTCTAGCGCAGGAGGGAATGTTATGTATAAAACGCACTAAAATCGAATATATTTTGTAACTACATACAATGTAACATTTAATTTGTATTTGAAAGCACAATATTCTCAAGGGGAAGTTCTAACATTTTATATCCATTAACAATGATATTTTTTTTGTTATATACATTCATAAGCAAACAGAATATTCACTTTTTGTAGAGTATTGAACACAAAATCGATTTGAACAAGAGCGTTTATTAATACTGAAGTGTCATGGAGGAAGATCTCAAAACAACGTGAGCACCCGTACGAAAACTGGAAACGTGTAGTTCACTACAAGCTCTGCGATAGTGCTAGAGGTCTAAAAGTCTGAAAGCATACTCCTAAACATTGAAAATTTTGCGTTTATTAGAGGTGGACTAGAACTGATGATCATCTAAGCTTACTTATACTCTCTTAAGCAGTCTATTATTTACACGAAAACAGACGAGTATCCATGCATGAAAAAATCCAGCAACATACTCCATTTCGAACGTATAATACTACCAACATAAATAATAACCCCCTTTTAGCTTCAGTCAGGGCAATATACAATCTACTATTTACACAATTATACAAAACTGTACACAATTCTAATCGTAATTAAATTATAGAATTAAAATGAAAAGGGCGTGCTCTAGGTGGCGCTCTAATCGCCTCTACCGCACTTTTCTATAAGAACGAAACGAAATCAAGGTTCTTCAGAAATTCAATACAAGAACGCAACGTCAGGAACCATATTTGTGCATCTATTTAACGCTTACACTTAAGTATGGCAATTGTTTCATACGTTGTATAAAATACTTTAAATAAAGCTAAACGGTTTTGACTAGATTATTACATTTCAGATCACTGCAAACCTCCTCTAAACATTTCATTAGTCGTTTCGATGTTGTACCCCTTTAATACAATATTGCGGTTGAATAGTACCCGGCGCATGCGCACACTGCATGTCGCCGTCTTTAATACTCTAAGGTCATAATCATAACCTACACATGAATAGTTATAACATGTCTATTATTTATATATTAAATAGTGTCATAAGGACAACCTGTTGTGGCCTAAAAGTCAAACTGTCTGAGTTATTAAATTTGCTGAACGTTCCGAATCTGTTGAAAAAATCATAGTATTTAGGCCACAACCACCTTTAAACAACTAAATAACAAGCTATATAATTCAGTCTTGCAGATTGCATGTATTATTATAGTACGGGTATACAATTGATATAAGAAGAAGGCGAAGGCTTTCTATTCTTAATTGACCCTAATCGAGGTGTGTGTTTAAGCGTACGACTCACTCAGATGGTCAAAGAAGTAATCGAAACTTTGGTTAATATTCACCACGTGGTTCGGACTGATGTTTCCGTTGAGTGCGCTAGCTCGGTATTGTTCGCTGAACGACAATAAAATGTCTCGGATTTTTGCAATGATCTCTTCTACTCAGGCGTTTGATTCCTGTAACAGGGAAACATCGAATGTGGCGGCTGAAGCGATGCCACCCCCGCCACCAACGTGGCATTGCGCTCCGCCACCACCACTTAATCACTCTCTGAACAACGTACCTTCAAATTATCAAAATAGTGCATGATTTGGTCGTAGTCCATGTCGAGCTGGAGGTCGTCCAGACCGGGCAAGTCGGCGGGGGGCGCCGTCGCCGTCTCCGAGCTGCTGAACATTGGGTTTCCGACGATGGTGGCGCGTTTCACCTCCGCGCTACTTCTCCCTACAACAAAGCAACAAACAGTTAGTTGGCTATTTATAGTCCACTCGTCGCTTGAGAACTCGGTTGATCTACAGACCAGAGCACATTCAGGCCAATATCAACTCTAAGCCGACTTAACGATTTACGGATCCGTGTTGAGTTTTTACCTATAGACGTCAAGATTTTTTGAAAAAAAAAAATAGTTATTGGAAGCATGTTAAATTGTTAGTCATTATTTATCCGTTGATCCCCCCCAGGAGTTGATGATAGTCCTGAACTTGTGGTTTATAAATACGCCATTGAGATTTTTCGGCTTTTCGTTTTCTCGATTTTTCAACTTTCGATGTTTCAATGATACGATTTCACAATTTTTGCCCTCTTCAAATCTTCAAAGCTTCAATTTTTCGATTTTTCAGGTTTTTGATTTTTCAATTTTTCGATTTTTTATTTCTCATTTTTTTAGATACTTCTTTCAGTTTTGGGATTTTTCAATATTTAGATTTCTCGAATTTTCGATTTTTGGACACCTGGATTTTTTGATTTCTCGATTTTTTACTTTTTGGAATTTCAGTTTTTCGTTAGACTTTTCATTTTTTCAATTTTAACTTTTCTTCTCGGGTTTCGATTCCTCGATTTCTCGATCTTCTGATTTTTCGATTTCTCGGTTTTTGATTTTTTACTTTTGGACTTTTGTTTCGATTTTTCAATTTTTCAATTACTTTTTAGATTTTCGAAATTTTATTTTTTAATTTTTTGATGTTTGGATTTCTCGATTTTTTGATATTTCAGTTCTGCAGTATTTCTATTTTTCAAATTTTGACGTTGCTAAATTTTTTGTTTTCCGATTTCTCAATTAATCTATCTTCGCTTTTCCCTTTTCTCCACTTTTCCAAGTTTCGATTTTCCAATTCTTCAATTCGTCGATTTTTCGATTTCTCAATTTTCCAATTTTTTTAATTTCTCAATTTTTGGATATTTCTTTCAGTTTTGGGATTTTTCAAATTTCGATTATTCGACTTTTCGATTTTTGTACTCCTGGATTTTTGATTTCTTGATTTTTACTTGTTGGATTTTCAATTTTTCGTTAAACTTTAAATTTTTCAATTTTTCGATTGTTTTATTCTTCGATTTCTCAATTTTTCAACTTTACGATGTTTTATTTTTTTTAAATTCTAGGTTTTTCGAATTGTCGAATTTTCAGTTTTTCTATATTACAATTTTTCAATTTTCCATTTTTTTTAATTTCTGATTTTCCAATTTTTCTTTTTTCAAATTTTCTTCTCGGCTTTCGACTCCTCGATTTCTCGATCCCCTGATTTTTCGATTTCTCGATGTCTCAGTTTTTGAATTTTTGGATTTCTCGGTTTTTCAATTTTTTACTTTTGGGCTTTCAATTTTTTAAATTCTGGAGTTTCGATTTCTGGATTCTTCGGTTTTTTGATTTTTAAATTTTAGATTTTCGAGTTTTTATTTTTTGCTTTTTAATACATATTTGGATTTCTCGATTTTTCATTTTTGCGATATTTTAATTGTTCAATGTTTTAAATTCTAGATTATTTGATTTCTCGATTTGTGTTTTAACTTTCTGAAAATAAAAAAAAATCATCACAACTGAGATGGGGTGGGTGGGCGGGGTTTTTATTTTGCCTTTTTTTCTTAATATGGATGGTATTCTTTGAATAACACGATATTCAAAAACATGTTTTTAATTTCTTGTAGAGAAATAAGAATTTTGCAGCTAAGCTCCGCCCTCTTGGCTCACGACGAATAAAAAAATCATCACAATTGAGATTGGGTGGGTGGGCGGGGCTTGTTTTCTTTCTTTTTTTTTCTTAATATTCGCAGCCATCTTATCACAACAAGTAACATAAAACATGGGGCGGAGCCTAATTGCAAAATCGATGTTTCTTTATACAAATTTTCCATTTTAAACATGTTTTAAGTTTCTTCTTGTGAAAATAAGTACAATCAAATTAAAACAAAAAGGCAAAATATAAGCCCGCCCACCCACCCTATCGCTATTCTGATGATTTTTTTATTCATCGAGAATCAGGAGGGCGGAGCTTAACTGCAAAATACTTATTTCTATACAAGAAATTAAAAACATGTTTTTGTGAATTGTGTTTTTCAAAGAATACTACGTATATTAAGAAAAAAAAAACAAAATATAAACCCCGCCCACTCGCCCCATCTCTGTTGTGATGATTTTTTTTTATTCTTAGAAACTTAACGCACGTTTAAAATGGTAAGTTGTTGTAAGGAAATATGGATTTTGCAATTAAGCTCCGCCCCTAGGTCTGCCAACAAATGAATGAATTATTATTTACATCAGGGCAAGGGGGGGTGTGCCTTAATTTTTGTCTTTAAATTTTCATTAATCATAATATTCTTTGAATAACACGATTATGCAGTTAAGCTCCGCCCCCTTGGTTAACGGCGAATAAAAAAAATCATCACAATTGAGACAGGGCGGGTGGGCGGGTTTATATTTTGATTTTTTTGTTTTAATATGTGTAGACTTCTTTTTACAACAAATGGAAAATTTTCATAAGGAAATATCGATTTTGCAATTAGACTCCGCCCCATAGTTAGGCTCCGCCCCATAATCGCAAAACCATATTTCCTTGCAAAAATGTACCACTTTACCCATGTTCTAAGTTTTTTGTTGCGAAAAAATGGCTATGTATATTAAAAAAAAGACAACATATAAGCCCCGCCCACCCACCCTGTCTCTATTCTGATGTTTTTTTGATTCGCCGTAAGCCGAGAGGCGGAGTTTAATTGTAAAATCGTTCTACGAGAAATTACTATGTGAAAGAAAACTAAATTTTTGTTCTTTGATTTTTTGATGTTTGGATTTCCCGATTTTTCAATTTTGTGATATTTTAATTGTTCAATGTTTTAATTTTAAGATTTTTTTATTTTTCAGTTCTTCAGTATTTCTATTTTTCAATTTTTCAAATTTTGACGTTGCTAAATTTTCAGTTTTCCGATTTCTGAATTAATCTGTTTCCGAAGTTTCGATTTTTCAGTTCTTCAGTTCTTCGATTTTTCGACTTTGCTTGTTTGGTTTTTCGGTTTCTCTATTTTCTAGTTTTTTAATTATTTCGTTTCTTCGACTTCTCGATATGTCGACTTTTGAATTTTTCGAATTTTTATTTTTTGGATTTTCAGTTTTTTTTTTAATTTTTGTTCAATTTCTCGGTTTATCAATTTTTCCGTTTTCAACTTTTCGATTTTGGCCTATTTCTGTTTCTCAATTTTTCAATTTTTCGATTTTTTGCTTTTCGGCTTTTCGATTTTTGAATTATCCGATTTTTCAATTTTCCAATTTTTTTTAATTATCGAGTTTTGATTTCTCGATTCGGAGGAGTTTTTCGAATTGTTTTTTTGATTTTTTGATGTTTAGATTTCTCCATTTTTCAATTTTACGATATTTTAATTTTTCAATGATTTTTAAATATTTTTTAATTTTCAAATTTTGACGTTTCTGAATTTTCAGTTTTCTGATTTCTCAATTAATCTATTTTTTTGTTTTTTTTCATTTTTCGACTTCCCAAAGTTTCGATCTTTCAGTTCTTCAGTTCAATTTTTCGATATTTCAGGTTTTTGATTTTTTAATCTCCCAATTTTTAGAAGTCGTTCATTTTTGTAATTTTTCAGTTTTTCGATTCTTTAGTTTTTTTTGTATTTTTTAAATTTTTCGATACTTGAGTTTTCGAATTTTTCGATTTCTGGACTTTTTATTTTTACGTTTTGGATTTTCAATTTTTAGTTTTTTTTTTAACTTTTCTGGATAATTCGATTTTTCAATTTTTCAAATTTTGACGTTTATAAATTTTCAGTTTTCCGATTTCTGAAGTAATCTTTTTTTTGTTTTCCCATTTCTCGACTTCTCAGTTTCGATTTTTCACTTCTTCAATTCTTCAATTTTTCAATTTTTCAGGTGTTTCGATTCTTCAATTTTTCGATACTTGAAGCTTACGATTTTTCGATATTGCTTTCTTAGTTTTCTGATTTCTCAATCTTCCAATATTTTAATTTCTCATTTTTTTGGATTTTCCTTCAGTTTTGGTATTTTTCATCATTTCGATTTTTGGGCTCCTGGATTTTTTAACTTTTCGATTTTTTACTATTTGGATTTTCAATTTTTCTTTAAACTTTAGAATTTTGAATTTTTCGACTGTTCAATACTTCAATCTCTTAATTTTTCAACTTTTCAGCTTTTAAAATTTTAAGTTTTTCGATTTCTCAAGTTTTTAGTTTTTCTACATTTCAATTTTTAAATTTTCGATTTTCCAATTTAAATTTTTTATTGTTTTAAATTTTAGATTTTTCGATATCTCGATTTTTCATTCAGTTCTTCAATATCTCTATTTTCAATTTTAAATTTTTTTTCGACTTTTCGATTTTTAGATTTCCCCATTTTTCAAGTTTTAACAAAATTTTTCGATTTTATTTTTTTTTATTTTCGATAAATTCAATTTTTTGGTTTTTCGATCACTGAGAGCTTTTTCGCGTTATTGCTAAAAATAAAAGTAAAAACTAACTACCAGAATTGTGACTAAAAAATTCTGACCGCTTAGAGTCGACATTGGCCTGCGCGCGCTCCGGTCTGCGGATCAAACAAGTCCGCAGACGACTATCGTACTGACCGTTCCCGTTGGAATTCGGCGACTTCGGGTACTGCACGAACTGCACGTTCTCCTCGTCGTTCTTCGGAGGTTTACTTCTCATTTTCACTTCTTCCTTCTTCTCTTCTTTGGGAGGTTCGTCGTCGAATTCGAAAACGCTCTTCATGGGTTCCTGACTCGCGGCCATGACGATGTCTTCGTCTTGAGGATTGATGCTCCACCCGTAGTCGCTAGCCGTCCTATGGTGATGCTTGTTGTCTTGGTGTTTGCTGTTCCTGTGATGGTGGTGGTGGTGATGCTTCCGAGGCGGCGTGGCTTCCAGCGACGTGGTCACTCCGATATTGCGATGCGGCGGCACCGGGGGCCGGTAGTCCTCCACGGTCTGCGGGGGCTTGGGCTGCAGGGGCACCCCGTGCGGCGGCAGCGGCGGCGGCGGCGTCGGCTTATTCCTAAAACAATCATCGTTACTATTTTCAAGTTTGCGCTAACTTAACCCACCATATTTGCAAATCGTCATTGTCGTTGCTGCTCCCGGCGGTGGCGGCAGTACTCTTGCTTTTGCAGTACGTACTAGTGTCAATCGGCCTGTTCGAGTTGATATCAGCTTGCGACGAACTTGGCAGTTCGATATGACTAGGATTGCTAAAACTCGTTGCTAGACAGTCGTCGGGATCACAATAATTCAAATTGAGCGGGTTCGTGGTGATCCTCATTTCGCTTGCGTTCGGGTTGGTGGCGGCGGAGTTTCGGTTGGAGCTGTCGAGGGTGGCCCGACCCAGCCAGACCCAGTCGTGTGCGTTGGTGGTGGTCTCTCTGGGTTTGCGGTTTTCGCGGTGAACCACCAGGCTGCCGGGGTTCACCGGGGCGGCGCGGACCCCCGTGGCGATGCCGCCTTCTTCCGCTTTGAACTTGGAGGCGTACACCACACAGGATACCACGAACACGACGATGGCGCAGCAGAAGGTGCCGAGGAGGACGTACATGCTGATTTCCAGAGGGGTCATGTGCTGGGAGGTGTGCTGCCGGATCACGCCTTTGCCCCCTTGGTACTGCCGGGCTTGCACGTTGGGCTCTTGCGAGTCGTCGTCTTTGAGGGGGGTGCCTGAAAGGGAAAATTTTCAGTCTCGATAATAGAGGCCGATTCATAAACCATAGGTATTTCTCAGTTTTGTTATCCCGCATTGACCGCATGCTCCAGATTGTTTTCGGCGCAATCTGGGAACCGTCTAAACCTGAACAGACAAATGGCGCTGCGAAAATTGTGCGCTGTTCTGACAATAAAAATTCTTATGGCAGAGGACCCGAGCGTTATTAGTGGCCGTTTTATGAATTTCACTAAAACATTTACGGTCAAAACGTGCTTCTTCCCGTCTATAAACAACGTAAATAATGCCTTGTTTAGAGATCCTAAAATCCTTACGTTTTTTTTATGTCGGAACGATTTAATTTTTTAACATTAACAAGCGAGATATCGCCGCGAAACGCGTCAATAATTATTCATAACTCATAATAATAATGCTTTATTTCTCAACGGGGTTATACCAGGGGCGGCTCATGAGTTGAGAAGTTGATGAAGCGAAGCACATTTTTTTTTATTTTCGATTTTTCAATTTTTGGCTTTTCCAATTTTTATCACTTATAGTTTTTGGTTTTACGATTTCTCAGTTTTTCGATTTTTATTTTGCAATTTTTTAATTGTACAATGTCTCGATTTGCAAGTTTTTGAGTTTTCATTTTCAGTTTTTCAAAATTTTGAATTATCAACATTTGAGTTTTTCAATTTTTTAATTAACAATTTTTCGATTTTAGAGTTAGACCAATTTGTGAATCTCTAGATCGTTTGTTTATCACAATTGAGATCGATGCGGACATAGGTGAAACTTAATTTTTGGCTTACTTTTTTACATAATACATACATTTAATTTTCTTTGAACAACACAATGACTTGTTTCACATGGTAATTTCTTGTAGAGAAATAAGGATTTTTTATTAAGGTTCGCCCCCTGACTCACGACGAATAAAAAAAATCATCCCAATTGAGATAGGGTGGGTGGGCGGGGCTTATATTTTGTCTCTGTTTTTCTTAACATACGTAGTCTTCTTTTCTCAAGAAGAAACTTAAGCTTTTGGATTTTCAATTTTCAGTTTTTCAAAATTTTGATTTATCGACATTTGCCAAGTTCTAGATCGTTTATTTAGTTTTTGGTTTTTCCGCTTTCCCCATTTTAATATTTCGATTTTCAAATTTTCCATTTGCGAATTTTTGTTTCTTCAATTTTTCGGCTTTACAGTTTTCCGATTTTAGGTTTCCTAGTTTTCAATCTTTAATTTTTTATTTACAATCTTTCTAATTTTTTATTTTTTTATTTTGTAATTTTTCGGTCTCCCAGATATTTAATTCGCTATTTTTCGATATTGCAATTTTGCAGTTCTCAATTTTTCAATTTGTAGATATTTTAATTTTTCCTTATTTCAGTTAATCGAGACTTTTTAGTTTAGCTTTTAAATTTTTCAAGTTCTCACTTGTTTCATTTTCCCAAAAGCTAATTTTTAATTTAACTAAAAAAGAACAAACTTATTAAATCTAAAATTTTCGCGATTTTGGATTTTTCAATTTTTATATTTTTATATTTAAATTTTTCTTAACTAATTTTTAATTGCATTCACCGCGTTTATTTATATTGTGTTGACTGAGGATTTTTGAGTTTCTAAAAATTCTTTAGTTTTCCGATTTTGTAATTTCTCGATTTTCTGATTTTTGTTAATTTTTACAGTTTTTCGAATTTGTTTTAAGTTTTTCAAAGTTTCTATTTATCAACTCTTGGATTTTTGAATTTTTCGATTTTACAGTTACTTAGAGTTTTGACTTTTCTATAAAGTAGTCTTTTTTCTATGAAAGAAAACCATTTTAATATGTTTTGAACATTATTGGGAAATATTTTTCTTATTTTTTAAGTTTTTTCAGGGATTAAAACAAAAATGACCTCAAATTATTAATCTACGAAAAACTCTAGATGAATCAGTATTTTTCATTTTCGCATAGCTGTCCTTTTCACAATTTTTGGAAATTTTTCGAAAATATATATTGCCAATTTTCTTGCTTGTGGAAATGGACAGAATCAAAATGATGTCAAATTATTAATCTACAAAGAATTATCTATAAAGTAGTCCTTTTTTCCTTTGAAAGACGAAGGGAGACCACTTTAATATTTTTTGGAAAAGTTGTGGAAAATATTTTCCTTATTTTTAAGGTTAGAACAAAAATTACCTCAAATTATTATTAATCTATGAAAAACTTTATACGAATCAGTATTTTTCTCTTTCGTATAGCTGATGTAATTTTAACAATTTTTGGGCATTTTTGAAAAATTTCGAAAAAATATCTTGCCAATTTTCCCGCTTGTTGGAATGAGCAAAATCAAAATGACGTCAAATGATTAATCGACAAAGAAGTTATATAAAATAGTGTTTTTTTTTCTTTGAAAGAAAGAGACCATTTTAAATTTTTTGCGAATTTTTTTGGAAAATATTTTCCTCATTTTTAAAGGATTAAAACAAAAATGATCTCAAATTATGAATCTACTAAAAACTCTCTATGAATCAGTAGGTATTTTTTTCTCTAGCTGCTCTTACAACAATTTTTGGAAAAATTTTTAACATATATTTTGTCGATTTTTTCCAATTTTTTCGTTTGTTGGAATGGGCTAAATCAAAATAACGTCAAATTGTTATTATTCTTAAAAAACTAATATTTTTTGGAAAATTTTGGAAAACATTTTCCTCATTTTTACAGTTTTTTCAAAGATTAACAAAAACATGACTTCAGGTTATGTCTGTGAAAAACTCTATGAATCAGTATTTTTCCATTTGTGAATTTTTGTTTCTTCAATTTTTCGAGTTTACAATTTTTGGAATTTTTTAATTTTTGATTTTGTAATTTTTCGATCTCTCAAATATTTGATTTGCAATTTTTCGATATTTCCATTTTGAATTTAGCATTTAAAATTTTTAAGTTCTCAATTGTGTAATATTTCATTTTCCCAGATTCTAATTTTTAATTTAATTCAAAAAGACCAAATTTATTAAATCTGAAATTTTCACGATTTTAGAGTTTTTGGTTTTTTCAATTTTTATATTGAAATTTTCTTAACTAATTCATTTTTAAGTGCTGTTCACCGCGTTTATTTATATTGTGTTGACTGAGCATTTTTTAATAGCACCCATTTTTGAGTTTTTAAAAATTCTTTAGTTTTCCGATTTTGTAATGTCTCGATTTTCCGATTTTTGTTAGATTTTACAATTTTTTTAATTTGTTTTAAGTTTTTCAATGTTTCTATTTATCAACTCTTGAATTTTTCAATTTTTCGATATTACAGTTACTTAGATTTTTAATTTTTGTATAAAGCAGTCCTTTTTTTCTTTGAAATATTTTTTTAACATTTTTGGAAAATAATTTCATTTTAAAATTTTTTGCACGGTTTAGAACAAACATGGCCTCAAATTATTAACCTAGGAAAAACTCACCATGAATAAGTATTTTTTCCCTTTCGCATAGTTGCCCTTTCAACAATTTTTGGTAATTTTTTGAAAATTTTTGCCAATTTTCTTGCTTAGAGCAATGGACAAATTCAAAATGATGTCAAATTATTATTCTACAAAGAATTATCTGTAAAGTAGTCCTCTTTTCGTTTGAAAGAAGGAGATCAATTATTTTGGAAAATATTTTCCTAATTTTTAAAGTTTTTTCAAGGATTAAAACAAAATGACCCTATGTTATTAATTTACGAAAAGTTCTATATAAATCGGTGTTTTTCCCCATTCGTATAGCTGTCATTTTAACAATTTTCGGGAATTTTTTGAAAATTTTTGAAAACATATTTTGCCAATTTTCTCCCTTGTAGGAATGGGTAAAATCAAAATAACGTCAAATTACACTGGGCAACAATATTAAAAAAAAAAATTGTGCCATGCATAATTGCAATCATTTTTACTTAATATGGGGTTGCTAAACACGTCTATAGTAATAAAAATGCACAATTGGTAATAGTTTTTGAAAAATAAAAATGTTTATTGAATAATATTAGTATTTAAAAATTGAACGTTTTTTAACATTTATGTAATTTTTCTTTTTCGACTTTGGCGCTTATACTTCACATCTTGCTCTTTAATTGTCAAATCTAGGTGCGAATGTAGAAAGTGAACTTTTAAAGACATATTGCAACCTAGATTTTTATATGCAGTTAACAAATTTTGCACTATGTCTTTATAATTCTCGGCTCGGTGGTTTCCAAGAAAATTCGTTGCAACATCTTTAAAGGCAGTCCATGCAGTTGTTTCGTTGCCAGTAATGATGTTCTCAAAATCTTTATCTTTGATGAGTTCTCTAATTTGAGGACCTATATATATGCCTTCACCGCAAATGTGGCAAAAACTGTCACTACTATTTTTACAATTTCGCGGCATTTTTTTTATACAAAAATGCCCTATATATACTTTTAAACTAACACAAAATTTAAAATTAATTTGTTTTATAAGAATGGCAACTTTTCTAGAAAGTTTCTTTGACAGTTGATGTCAGTTATTTGTTTACTATGGTAACTGGATTTATTAAAAAGACTGTAGCAATTAAACATTTTGTGAAAATATGTGTGTATGTTATTGAAAAACTATAACCAAAGGAGACTTTCTATTATCAATTTTGTATTGAGTATACGTAAATTAGTAAGATTTGATTATTTACACTTCCGGCACAAAATGACTGTTGCCCAGTGTTATTAATCTACAAAGAATTACCTGTGAAGTAGTCCTTTTTTCGTTTGAAAGGAGATCACTTCAATATTTTTTGGAAAATTTTTGGAAAATATTTTCCTCATTTTTAAAGTGTTTTCAAGGATTAAAACAAAAATTACCTCAAATTATTAATCTACGAAAAACTCTATGAATCAGTATTTTTCTCCCCTTTTAAAAAATTTTTGGATATTTTTTGAAAATTTTTGAAAATCAAAATAACGTCAAATTATTAATCGACAAAGAATTCTCTATAAAGTAGTCGATTTTTCCTTTAAAAGAAGACCATTTTTATAGTTTTTGGATAATTTTTGGAAAATATTTTCCTCATTTTTACAGTTTTTTCAAAGATTAGCACAAAAATGACTTCAGGTTATTAATCTACGAAATATTCTCTATGAATCAATATTTTTCCATTTGTGAATTTTTGTTTCTTCAATTATTCGACTATACAGTTTTCCGATTTTAGGTTTCCTAGTTTTCAATCTTTAATTTTTCAGTGTTACAATTTTTGGAATTTTTTATTTTCTGATTTTGTAATTTTTTGGTCTTCCAGATATTTGATTTGCAATTTTTCGATATTTCAATTTTGCACTCTCAGTAAATTGAGATTTTTTAAATTTACCTTTCAAATTTTTCAAGTTCCCAATTGTTTAACATTTCATTTTCCCAGATTGTAATTTTTAATTTAATTCAAAAAGAACAAATTTATTAATCTGAAATTTTCACGATTTTAGAGTTTTTGGATTTTTCAATTATTATATTAATTTTTTTTAACTAATTTTTAATTGCTTTCACCGCGTTCATTTATATTGTGCTGACTGAAAACTTTTTCATAGCACCCATTTTTGAAGTTATACAAATTCTTTAGTTTTCCAATTTTGTAATTTTCCGATTTTCTAGCAGCGATTTTGGCTAATGAGATACGCTAATAAACACTTAAAAGCTAAATTAAAAATTGAAATCTCGATTGCTTGAAATAAGTAAAAATTAAGATATCTACAAATCAAAACATAGAGAAAGTGCAAAATTGAAATATCGAAAAATTGCAAATCGAAAATCTAGCAGACCAAAAAATTACAAAATGAAAAAATTAAAAATTCCAACAATTGTAAAATTCAAAAATTAAAAATCGAAAACTAGAAAACCTAAAATCGGAACACTGTAAAGTCGAAAAATTGAAGAAACAAAAATTCGCAAATGGAAAATATGAAAATCGGAATATTAAAGTGGGGAAACTGGAAAAACCAAAAACTGAATAAACGATCTAGAAATTGACACATCGGGCTAAATGTAAAATCGAAAAATTGTAAATTAAAAAATTGGAAGACTCAAACGTTGATAAATCAAAATTTTGAAAAATTGAAAACTGAAAACTCAAAAGCTGTGAAACAAATTTTTAACTCACTGTGTTGTTTAAAGAAAATTATATGTATTTATTTTAATTAAACGATAATTTAAATTTTCATGTCTTCAATTTTTTGCTTTGCAGTTTTTCTAGTTACCAATTTTTAGTCTTTTCAAATTTTAGTTTTAAATAATCAAGTTCTCGTTTTTGCATTTTAAAATTTTGGACACAAAGAACAAGTTTATTCGAATTGAAATTTAGAAAAATTGTAAAGCACGATTTTTTCCATCTTGCTCTTATGTTTTCGATGTGTTTCTTCGAAAAATGGAAACATTCAAAATAAAAAATCCAAAAATTGGAAATATAACAACTGAAAAACGAAAAAATAAAACGTTGAAAAATTGAGAAAATTGAAAATAATAATAGAAAAAACCAATCCTAAAGGTGAAGCAACGAAATATTGAAAAATCGAAAAATTCAAAAGTCAAATTTGGGAACTCAAAAAATTCCAAATCGAAATATTGGAGAACGGAAAAATAAAAAACCGAGGAGCGGAAAATTCGGAACGCTGAAAAAATGGAAAAATCCTAAAGTTGAAAACTCAAAAAGTTGATAATCGAAAAATGGATTTATTGAAAAATTTTGACCAAGATGAGAGTGACAATAATGTTTCATACTTATTTTTAAAATAGTAGAAACTATAACCCCTTACCTTTTAAGATGTCCTGAAGGTCTTGGAAGTCCCTTTTCGAACCTCCGAACGAGCCGCCGTCGTTCTGCAAAATATCAGGCCTATGTTGCAAGTCGCTTGAGCTGAAATCCACGGTAACTGAAGCCGACGCCGTCGCCAAGGGCCCAGGCCCTTTAATTTTGGGTCTCGTGCTAGTTCTACATTCTTCGGCTAGCAAAAGAGTGACTTGGAGCAGGTCTCCATTACCTTCACCCACGGCAATCACCCGTGGGTGATGGGAGGCCACCATTGGTGCGAAAGCAACCACTTCAGGATCCAAGCTTTCCACCACCAAGTGGTAGTCCGAATCGGCTATATCGCGAAGAGGGGTTCGAGTGCCGTCAGAAAATTCCATTTCGATATCCAACAAACCCTCCTAAATACAAAAACACAACCAAAAATAAAAATCGTGTTTATTTTCGTTTCGTACTAGTACTAAGTTAACAAAATCACATGCGAAACGCTGTATAACCTAAGTATAAATTGCTTTCGGGTTAAAAGGGTCATTAACCCACCTGATACTGGGCCGTCAGCTTCCTCGTAACACTCGTCTCAGCGATGTACCCATTTTCGATGGAACTGTCTGGGGAAATGTTGAGCTGTAACCCCGAAACGACTTGCACTAAAAGTCGCGCCAGCCCGACTTTGTCATTTCCCACTCTTATCTCCTTCGCTCCTATAACGCGTCCCGTAATGGGAGAAAGGACCTGCACTTCCGTGCGCCCCAAGCTGCGCCCTTGAAGGATCCTCCCGTGAAGACTGGCGATCCTGGGGTCGCTAACCCTCAACAGCGGCAAAACCAAATCCGTCACCCTCAGCCACGTCCGTCTATTGATCAAGTAACTTATCCTTCCGGAATCATGATCCACCGCCATGAAGCGGGCGTACACGTCCACGGGACTCTGCTGATATCTCAAGCGGCACATGGGTTTTTCTACCACATTGCCCATGTCATCGGTGGGATTAGAGGCTCCCCAGTTGCTGCTGTACGAGCGCTTTTTCCGGCGGGATTTAGTGCCGCTGAAACAAACGGGTTGGATAACGCGCTCTTTTTTTTGGATTGGAATGGGTGGTGTGTACCTGGGGTGGTAGTCGGGGACGCGCCAGGACTTCATTTGGGAGAGACGGGTGTCGGTGACTTGAAGGTCGAGGGCGAATTCGGGCATCCAGACGGTGAAGCGGGCTAAGCCGATGTAGGTGCCGTATTTAACCAGGACTGAGCCGTTTACGGAACCTCGGGCTTCGCTGCCGTCTACGTACACCGAACTACATGATGAGGAGACCTGTCAAGTTAAGAATTATTGTAAAATCGATGGTGCAGACGAATGTTTTCTGCTTGAAGTGAGGCAATAAATTACAAGGCGGGACGAAGTTAGACGCTAAGTTCGTTCTTTGTAAGTTCGAAATAGTGCGCTCTTGATTGTAATGGGCACAATTTATTTAATTGTGTTGCATAAGTGAGATAAACGTGAGTTCGCGATGCTGTTTTCTTTAATGAAGGTGCTAAAAACGTGTCAATAGGGTTTATCGAAATTAATTCTTAAAAAAAAAAGTTTTGCCATTTTTGTGGAAAATCTTTAAATTAATTTTTCAATTTTCTTGGTTATTTGTAGAGACAGAGTGAAAATGACTTCAGATTCGTAGTTTAAAACAAATCTTCCAGTGGATCAGTGCTTTTTTCGGATAGGTTGTATGCACTCCTTTGAAATTTTTTGGAAAATATTTTCCCCTTTTTTTCACTTTTTTTTTCAAACAATATAACAAAACTGAACTCAAAAGGTGACTTACTCAACAATGAATCTAAAAAGAATTTTCTATAATCGAGTGGTTTTTTCCTTTTGAATGGATACCGTTTTCACATTTTTTTGGAAAATTTTTGGTTATTAGTTTACCAATTTTCTCGGTTATTTCCAGTGATCAAATGAAAATTACTTTATATTCGTAGTTTAGTGAAAAATTTCTATTGGCCCAGTGATTTATTTTCCTTCAGATAGGTTATTTGAACCTTTTTTTCGACATTTTTGAAAAATATTTTCTCCATTTTCTGTTTTTCTTGGACATTTTTTGGAAAAATTAAAAAAAATATTTTGCCACTTTTCGTAGTTGTTTTAACGGGCAGAAGCAAAATGACGTCAAATATTTAATCTACAAAGAATTCGAATTTCACTTTTTTTTTGGATTTTTTTAATTATTATTTTTCCAATTTTGTCCACTATTTGTAGAGACAGAATAAAAATTACTTCAGATTCCTAGTTCAGACGAAATTTTCTATTGACCCAGTGCTTTTTTCGAATTTTTGGAAAATATTTTCATTTTTAAAGTTTTTTAAGAATTACAACAAAAATTACCTAAGAATATTAATCCATGAAAAACTCTCTATAAATCAGTATTTTTACCTTTCGCACAGCTGCCCTTTTAACAATTTTTGGGATTTTTTTAACATTTTGCCAATTTTTTCGCTTTTTGGAATAAGTAAAACGAAAATGACGTCAAACTATTAGCCTACACAGAGTTTTCTATAAAATAATCCTTTTTTCATGTGAAACAAGACTAGTTTAATATTTTTTAAAAATTTTCGGTCATTTGAGGAGACAAACCAATGCTTGTTTTTGGAAAGACAGTTTGGAGCTTTTTTGAAAATTTTTGGAAAGTGTTTTCCCCATTTTCAACATTTTTTCAAGGGGTAGAACAAAAATGTCCTTCTATTATTAATCCACATAGAAAGAACTCTTCTTAAATCAGTATACACAGCTGATATTTTAACAATTTTTGGAATTTTTTGTAAATTTTTGATAACATATTTTGCCAATTTTGTCCCTTGTTGGAATGGACAAAATCAAGAAGACGTCAAATTATTAATCTACAAAGAATTCTCTATAAAATGGTCTTTTTTTCCTTTGAAAGCAGACCACTCTAATATATTTTGAAGACTTTTTGGAAAATATTTTCCTCATTCTTAAAGTTTTGTCAAGGATTAGGACAAGAATGATCTCAGATTATTAATCAATGAAAAATTCTCTGTAAATCAATATTTTTGCCCTTTGGGGTAGTTGTCCTTTTGACAACTTTTGGGAATTTTTTGAAACTTTTTTAAAATATATTTGGCCAATTTTTTCGCTTGTTGGAATGAACAGAATCAAAATGACGTCAAATTTTTAATCTACAAAGAATTCTCTATAAAGTAGTCCTTTTTTCTTGTGAAAGAAAGACCACTTTAACATTTTTTGGAAAATTTTTGGAAAATATTTTCCTCATTTTGAAAGTTTTTTCAAGGATTATAGAACAAAATAACCTCTGATTATTAATGTACGAAAAAACTATAAATCAGTATTTTTTCCCTTTCGTGTTTAACAATTTTTGGGAGTTTTCTGGAAATTTTTGAAAACATATTTTGCTAATTTTCTCGCTTGTTTGATTGGGCAAAATCAAAATGATGTCAAATTATAAATCTACAATGAATTCTCAATAAAATATTCCTTTTTCCTTTGAAAGGAGATCATTCTAACATTTTTTGGAAAATATGTTCTTCATTTTTAAAGCCTTTTCATGGATTAGAAAAAAAAATGACCTCAGATTATTAATGTACGAAAAAACTCTGTAAATCAGTGCGCATAGTTGCCCTTTTAACAAATTTTGGGAATTTTTTGAAAATTGTTTAAAAATATTTTGCCAATTTTCTCGCTTTTTGGAATGGGCAGAATCAAAATGACTTCAAATTATTAACCTTACAAAGAATTCTTTATAAAACAATCCTTTTTTCCTTTAAAAGACCATTTTAATATTTTTTTGAAAATTTTTGAAAAATCTTTTTTTAATTTTCTCGGACATTTCCAGAGACAGTTTAAAAATTACTTCAGATACGTGGTTTAGCAGAAATTTTCTAGTAGCCCAGTGCTTTTTTTTTGAGAAAGCAGTTTGGTGCTTTTTTGCAAATTTTTTTTTTCACATGTGATATTTTAACAATTTTTGGAAATTTTTGAAAAATTATTTTGCTATTTTTGTCGGTTATTGGAAAGAGCAGACTGAAAATGATGTCGAATTATTATTCTACAAAGAATTTTCTATAAACTAGTCCGTTTTCCTTTCGAATAGATACCATTTTAATGTCTTTTGAAAAATTTTTGGAAATTATTTTTCTAATTTTCTTCATCATTTACAGATTGCTTTAAAATTACTTTAGATTCGTTGTTTAGAAGAAACTGTCTAGTAGCTCTGCATTTTTTTAATTTTTGGAAAATAGTTTTCTCATTTTCTTTGAAAGGAGACGATTTTCATGTTTTTCGGAAATTTTTGGAAAGTATTTTTTTAATTTTTCGGTCATTTGAAAAGGCAGTTTGAAAATTACTTCAAATTCGTGATTCAGAAGAAATTTTTTAGTAATGGGATGCTTTTGTTTTGGAAAGTTTGGAGTTATTTAAAAAATTTTAAAAGTGTTTTCCCCATTTTCAAAATTTAACAATTTTTGGAATTTTTTCGAAAAGTTTTCTATAAACTAGTTCGCTTTCCTTTCGAATAGATACCATTTTGATATGTCTTCTGGAAAATTTTTGGAAATTATTTTTCTAATATTCGTCATTTACAGAGCTTGCTTGAAAATTACTTCAGATTCGTGGTTTAGAAGAAAGTGTTTAGTAGCTCAATGCTTTTTTTTAATTTTTGGAAAATAGTTTTCTTATTTTCTAAGTTATTTCAAGGAGTAGAACAAAAAGGATCTCTGACTGTAAACTTATAAAAAACTTTCTATAAATCTATATTTCAGTCTTTTTGGATAGTTGCCATTTTAACAATTTTTGTAAATTTTTGGAAAAATTTTGAAACAATATTTTGCCATATTTCTCGGTTTTTGGAATGGACAGAATCAAAATGACGTTAAATTATTAATCTACAAAGAATTCTCTATAAAATAGTTGTTTATTCTTTTGAAAAGAGACCATTTTAATATTTTTTGGAAAATTTTTAGAAAATATTTGTTTAATTTTTTCGGTCATTTGTAGAGACAGTTTGAAAATTACTTCGGATTAGTGGTTTAGAAGAATGTTTCTAGTAACCTAGTGCTTTGCAGCAGTTTGGAGGTTTTTTTAAAATTTTTTGAAAGTATTTTCCCCCGTTTTCAAAATTATTTCAAGGGATAAAACAAAAATGACCTCATATTATTACTCCATCTAGTACTCTTCTTAAATTAGTACACATAGTTGATATTTTAACAATTTTTGGAACATTTTGAAAATTATTTTGCTATTTTTCATGGTTATTGGAATGGACAGAATGGAAATGACGTCGAATAATTAATTTACAAAAAATGTCAATAAACTAGTCCGCTTTCCTTTCGAATGGATACCATTTAAAATGTTTTTTGGAAAATTTTCGAAAATAATATACTTTTCTAATTTTCTCTGTCATTTGCAGAGACAGTTTGAAAATTAAGTCACATTCATGGTTTAGAAGATGCTTTCTAGTAGCTCAATGCTTTGAAAAGGCAGTTTGAACCTTTTTTTTGAAAATTTTTGGGAAGAGATTTTTCCACTTTCAAAATTATTTCAAGGGGTACAAGACAATGACCTCAGATTTATAATCCACGAAGAACTCTTAAATTGTATGTAATTTTTCCTTTCACATTGCTGCCGTTTTAACAATTTTTGGAAATTTTTTGGAAAATTAAAAAAAAATATTTTGCCACTTTTCTCGGTTATTGAATTGGGTGGAATGAAAATGATGTCTAATTGGTAATCTATAATGAGTTTTTTTATAAATCAGTCATTTTTTTTTTAAGAATGGAGATCACTTTTCAGTGTTTTGGAAAATTTTTGGAAATGATTTTTTTCTAGTTATCTCTGTTATTCGCAGACAGTTTGAAGATTACTTCAGATTCGTGGTTTAGAAGAAACTTTGTAGTAACTCAATGTTTGTTTGTTTTGAAAAGGCAGTTTCAACCTATTTCCTCAAAATTTTTGGAAAGTTTTTTCTCCACTTTCAAATTATGTTAAGGGGTACAACATAATGATCTTAGATTTATAATCCACGAAGAAGTCTCCATAAATCAGTACTTTCCTTTCGCATAGCTGCCGTTTAAACAATTTTTGGAAATTTTTCGGAAAATTTTTAAAAATATTTTTTCCCTTTTCTCGGTTATTGAAGTGAATGGAATAAAAATGATGTCAACTTGGCAATCTATAACGAGTTTTTTATAAATTAGTCATTTTTTTCTTTAAGAAGGGAAATAATTTTTCTGTTTTTTGGAAAATTTTTTGAAATTATTTTTTTCCAATTTTTCTTTTTATTTGCAGAAACAGTTTGCAAATTACTTCAGATTCGTGGTTTAAAAGAAACTTTCTAGTAGCTCAATGCTTTTTTTTGAAACGGCAATTTCAACCTTTTTTTCTGAAAATTTTCCCCACTTTCAAAATTATTTTAAGGGGTACAACATAATGATCTTAAATTTATAATCCACGAAGACTCTCCATAAATCAGTATTTTTTCCTTTCGCATAGCTGCCGTTGAAACAATTTTTAGAAAATTTTCAGAAAATTTTGAAAAATATTTTGCCACTTTTCTCGGTTATTGGAATGGGTAGAATAAAAATAATGTTAAATTAGTAATCTAAAATGAGTTCTTTATACATTAGTACTTTTTTCTTTTCGAATCAGAAGATCACCTTTTTGATTTTTGGAAAATTTTTGGAAGTTATTTTTCTAATTTTCTCGGTCATTTGCATTTGAATATTACCTTAAATTCGCAGTTTAGAAGAATGTTCCTAGTTGCCCAATGCTTTTTTCTTTTGAATAGGCAGTTTGAACTTTTTGAATTTTTTTGGAAAATATTTTCCCCACTTTCAAAATTATTTCAAGGGGTACAACATAATGAAGTCAGATTTACGAAGACTCTCCATAAATCAGTATTTTTTTCCTTATGCGTAGCTGCCGTTTTATCAATTTTTAGAATTTTTGAAAAATTTTTAAAAACATTTTGCTATTTTTCTAAAAATTATGTCAGATTAGTAAGCTACAATGAGTTCTTTATAAATTAGTCCTTCTTTCTTTTCGAATGGAGATCACTTTATTATTTTTAGGAAAATTTTTGGAAATTATTTTTCTAATTTTCTGTCACTTGCATTTGAATATTAATTGAAATTATAGTTTAGAAGAAATTTTCTAGTAGTCCGGGCAGTTTGAACCTTTTTTTGAAACTTTTTGAAAATATTTTCCCTATTTTTAAGTTATTTTAAGGAGTAGAACCAAAATGACCACAAATTATTATTAATCTACAAAAATTCTTTATAAACTGATTCTTTTTTCCTTTCGAATGAAGATCGTTTTAACACGTTTTTTGGAAAATGCTTGGATGGATATTTCCAATTATTATTTCCGTTGTTTGCAGAGACAGAGTGAGAATTATTTCAGGCTCGCAGTTTCGAAAAAATTCTAACTTTTTTCCTTCCATGATTTTTTTTTTTTGAAAATTTTTGTAAACTATTTTTCCCATTTTCTATAAACGTGTGAATAGGTTTCATCTCCACACACGCACATTCCAAATTAATTCCCTCAAAGAAATCCGCTCCTCGTGCACTTTAATTCAAGCCACTTAATTGTTCGCAAAGCAAAAATAAAAGTAGAAATCGCGATCCCCTACATCCACAAAGCAGTTAATTAAGAATAAGATCCAAGTAACATTCTGCAGCCTCCTCCAACAAAACAAACAAAACGTATCGCCGCCACTGCATTGTCGTTGTCCACTCTCGAAACTCCTTCTAAGCGGATTGTGTTGTATTGTGCATCGGCTTTGTTTGTTTTTTAGTTTACGACACACCGACAAAAGTTTGTTCATCCCTGTACATACAATGCAGTCCAACTTCTCCCCGACCACCTGTAAAAGCGTCTGGAGTGCACGTACCTTTAACACACTGTCGTCTTCCGAGTGACACGACGCCTGGAACGTGACATCGGCCGCTTTTCCTGCTTGAGATACGATAAAAACTTTCATTGCCTGCGAGACCTGGCGACCAGTTAAAACCGCAGTGTTTAGTACTTCCCAGTTCTGCAACAATAAAATGCAACATGAGCAGTCTTTCCACGTCTCGGTTCTTTTTTAACACACTACACTAAACCTGGACGGGGTTACGTAACGAAGCTTCGATAAATCTGTCCACAACTTTGTTGTTATGTAAATGGAGTCGCATCAAAGTAATCGGATATTTAAGAGTGTACAAGCCGCGAAAAACGAGCAATTTGACAACAAAACCTAAACCACGACCCTGTCTCCTCTAAATTACGCGAATCCGGCCCGTCTGTTCGTCGTAACGTTGCGTCTTTCCACGTCTAAATTTGTTCCCAGCGTTCTTAGTATTCAGTCATTGTGAGGTTTTTTCCTCCCGACGTCTTCTAATATCATAAATCTACCGAAATTGCTTTTAGTGAGTGCGAGTCGTCCGTCTTGTCTCATTCCGACTTGATAATCCTTAATTTTGAGGAGGCGATTACATCATTAAAGCGTTTGAAATTGGGCGTGCGTTTTTCTGATATCAAAACAAGGGCTGGGTGAAATTGGGCGAGATTAATTCGGCCGGAAATCGGATTCGATATGAAAATAGATCTGCGGGATCATTTAGGCAGAAAATGGCGCTTTGCGGATTTGCTGCTCACGTACAAATAATATTACGAATGAGGAGATGCGATGCCTTCTGCGGCACCAATCAATCGCGGGAGAAGGTGGATTTACATATGGGAAAAGGGATCTACAAATCGGGAAAGCCATCATGGCTGGAACAGTTGCATTTTTCTTGGGGATAAAGGGAGAGTGGGCGTGAGGCGTGAGAAAGGGGTGGAGGGGAATTTGTGGTTGTGTTGTGGAATTCTAAAAGAGTTTGAGTTTGCATTTTTTGTATGTTTTAGATATGGATTCGGAATTTTAAACTAGAGATTTTTTTCTTTCGAATGTAGACGGTTTTAAATTTTCTCCAAGACAAGTATGCTTTTTTCCATTTAGATGGACCGATTCAGGTTTTTTTTGAAGATTTTTGGCATAATTTTCGCAATTTTTTGAGGTTATTTCAAGAAGTAGAACAAATGACCTTAGCTTATTACGAAGATTTCTCTATAAACCAGTACTTTTTTCCCTTCGCAAAGCCATCGGTTTAACAATTTTTGGAAAATTTTGGAAAGTTACTTTTCCAGTTCTCTCGATTATTGAAACGACCAAAGAAAAAATATCGTCGAATTATTAATAATCTGCCAGGATTTCTCTATTAATATTGGCAGAAAGAGCCAAAATGACTTTATGCTCTTTTCGTTTCGGATACGCTGTTTTTTTGACAATTTTTGGAAAGCTTTTTCCCATTTTTCTACGTTATTACAAGGAGTTGAACAAAAACGATTTCAGATTATTAATCTACGAAGAATTCTCTATAAACCACTACTTTTTTTTTTCGCATAGCTGTCCTTTTAACATTTTTTGAATTTTTTTGGAAAATTTTAGAAAATTATTTCCCAATTTCTGTCAGTTATTGGGATAGGTAGAGGCAAAATCACTGAAATTATTCTTAAAATTAAAATAAAAAAAAATTAAAAATCAAAAAATTAAAACATCGAAAAATTAAAACATCGGGAAATGAAACATTATTTTAGTTATGGATTAGGAATTTAAAACTAGAGCTTTTTTTCTTTGGAATGTAGACGGTTTTAATAGTTGGCTGAAAGTTCTTGGGAATTATGTTTCCAATTTTGTCGTCGAAAATGGTTTTAAAATCGTAATTTCAAGAAGTTTGCTCTAAGACCAGTATGCTTTTTTCCATTTAGATGGAGGCCGATTCAAATTTTTTTTGAAGATTTTTGGAATAATTTTCGAAATTTTTTGAGGTTATTTCAAGAATAACAAACATGACTTTAGATTATTACGAAGATTTCTCTATGAACCAGTACTTTTTTCCCTTAGCAGAGCCACCGGTTTAACGATTTTTGGATTTTTTGGAAAATTTTGGAAAGTTACTTTTCCAGTTCTCTCGATTATTATTGAAACGATCAAAGAAAAAATATCGTCGAATTATTAATAATCTGCCAGGATTTCTCTAATAATATTGGCAGAAAGAGCCAAAATGACTTTATGCTTTTTTTCGTTTCGGATAGGCTGTTTTTTTGACAATTTTTGGAAAGCATTTTTCCATTTTTCTACATTATTTCAAGGAGTTGAACAAACACGATTTCAGATTATTATTAATCTACGAAGAATTCTCTATAAATCAGTACTTTTTTTTTTCGCATAGCTGCCCTTTTAACATTTTTTGAATTTTTTTGGAAATGTCAGTTATTGGGATAGATACAGGCAAAATCACTGAAATCATTCTTAAAATTAGAATAAAAAAAAATTAAAAATCAAAAAATTAAAACATCGAAAAATTACAAAATCGACAAATGAAACATCATTTTAGATATGGATTGGGAATTTAAAACTAGAGCTTTTTTTCTTTCGAATGTAGACGGTTTTAATAGTTTGCTGAAAGTTTTTGGGAATTATGTTTCCAATTTTGTCAGCGAAAATGGTTTTAGAATCGTAATTTGCTTTTTTTCTTTTAATAAATATGTATAGACTTCTTTTCGCAACATGAAACTTTAAATCATTTTTGGAAGATTTGTATACGAAAATATCGATTTTTCCATTAAGCTCCGTCCCATAATTGCAAAATCCATACTTCCTTCCAAAAATGTACAATTTTAACCAAGTTTCTTGTTGTAAAAAGATGGCTATGAATATTAAGAAAAAAAAAGGCAAAATATAAGCCCCGCCCACCCACCCTATCTCGATTATGATGATTCTTTTTATTCATCGTAAGTTGAGGGGCAGAGCTCAACTGCAAAATCCTTATTTCTCTACGAGAAATTAAGAACATGTTTTTGAGTATCGTGTTATTCAGAGAATCGTATGTATATTAAGAAAAAAATAAAGTCAAAGATTAGGCCCCACCCATACCCGCCTCGATCTTAAATTTCGATTGTAATGAAGTTTTCATTCGTTGTCAGATCAAGGGACGGGGCTTAATTGCAAAATCCATATTTGTCTACAAGAATTTATCATTTTAAACATGTTTTAAGTTTCTTGTTTTGAATCGACGACTACGTATATTAAGAAAAAAGAAAATATAAGCCCCGCCCACCCGCCCTGTCCCAATTGTGATGATTTTTTTAATCGTCGAGAGCCAAAAAAGTGGAATTTAATTGCAAAATCCTTATTATTTCTATACAAGAAATTAATCTTTTTGAATATCGTGTTATTTAAAGAATACTATGTATATTAAGAAAAAATTAAAGTTCCACCCATACTTGCCCTGATCTAAATAATAATGAAGTTTTCATTCGTTGGTAGACCTAGGGGCGGAGCCTAATTGTAAAATCCAGATTTCGTAACCAAAATTTACCATTTTAAACGTGTTTTAAGTTTCTAAAAATTCAAAAAATCATTACATTTGAGACTGGGTGGGTGGGAGGGGTTTATATTTTGCCCTTTTTTCTTAATGTCCATAGTATTCTTTGAAAAACACGATACTCAAAAACATGATTTTAATTTCTTGTAAAGAAATAAGTATTTTGCAGTTAAGCTCCACCCCCTTGATTAACAACGAATAAAAAAAATTGTCACAATTTAGACAGGGCGGGTGGGCGGGCTTACATTTTGCCTTTTTTTTTGAAATATGTGTAGACTTCTTTGCACAACATGAAACTATAAATCATGTTTAAAATGGAAAATTTGTATAGGAAATATCGATTTTGCACCATTTTAACCATGTTCTGAGTTTCTTGTTGTGAGATGATTAAGTACCTATATTAAGAAAAAAAAGGCAAAATATATACTCTTTTGGTTTCGTAGTTTTTTTTTTTTTAATTTTTGGAAAGCATTTTCCCATTTTTCTACCTTATTTTAAGGAGTTGAACAAAAATGATTTCAAATTATTATTAATCTACGAAGAATTCTCTATAAACCACTACTTTTTTTCTTTCGCATAGCTGTCCTTTTAACAATTTTTGGATTTTTTTTGGAAAATTTTGGAAAATTATTTCCCAATTTGTGTCAGTTATTGGTATATTCTTAAAATTAAAATAAAAAAAATAAAAAAATCAAAAAATTAAAACATCGAAAAATAAAAAAATCGAAAATGAAATATCAAATTCTAAAAATTAAAAAATCGAAAATTCTAAAAATCTGAATTTAAAAAATCGTAAAATTTTGAAAAATCGAAAAACTGAAACTTGAGAAATCGAAAAATCGAGGAATCGAAATATGTAATTGAAAAATTGGAACATGGCGAAATCTAAAATGAAAGATCGAGAAATCGAGAAGTCGAAAAATCACAGAAAATTAAGAAATCGAAATAACCAAAAATCGTAAAAACGAAAAATTTAAACTTAAAAAACCGATAAATTGAAAAATTAAAAAATCGAAAGAACGAAAAACTGAAAAATCGAGAAATTTAAAATTCGATAAATCAAAAATTTTAAGAATTGCAAAACTGATATCTCTAACAATCAAGAAATCAAATTGTCTAAAATTTAAGAAATTGAAAAATCGAAAAATCGCAAAATTTTCAAAAGTCAAAAAAGTAAAATCGAAATATTGGAAAATCCCAAAGTTGAAAAACTCTAACTGAAGTATCAAAAACTTGAGAAATCAAGAAGCAAAATCGAAAAGTCGAAAAATCAAATAATCGATTAATATAAAAATAAAAAAATTCAAAAATCTAAAAACTGAAATATAGGAAGAATCGTCAAGTCGAGAAATTGGGAAATCGAAAAATCAGTAATCAGTTCTGTTTTTTTTTTTAATTTCCATATTTAGAATAAGAATTCAACACATATTCATGAACCACAAGTTCACATTTAAATTTTCTTCGACAAAATTATAAGATCACCTAAGCAATTCCTGGGAGAGGCAAGAACGGATAAATTGTGATTAACGATTTACTGTCTTTCCGATAACGTTAAAACGTTTGCAGATTTCAAACCGCTCATATACCTCGTGGTGGTAATACAGGGTGTTATTGAAAGGTACGT